CCATTGCAGGGAGTCGAGATGGAGACGTTTGCCATTCCACAGGAGCCAAAAATAACATGGCCGGCTTGATTGGGAAGATGGGAACATATCCTATGACATCTCATAGAGCAAAATGTCCTGGTCATACCTGCATTTCATCAATCCTCCTGATACAGAAAGTGCTTGCTAGTGGCCTGTTTCCATCAATAATATCCTGCATTCTCATGAGTCTATGTTTTCAACTTAATTTTCCAGGTGCTTTTTTTTTAAGGAAAAGCTACATAAAGTCAACACACAAATTATAAACATAAAACAGTAAAATAAGAAGAGGAAAGTGTGAAATGTTCAATACATTCAGAATATAGGCAGAAGTGGAGTGTCCAGATTAAGGGAAGCAATAGCATAGCCTCCAACATTTTTCCGATGAAAATAGGGACGCTCCATTCCAGAATGATAATTTTACTCTTTATACCCCATACATCTAACTGGGTTGCCCCAGCCACTCCGAGCAGCTTCCAACATATATAAAAACATAATACAACATTAAACATAAAAAAGCTTTCCTATACAAGATTGCCTTCAGACAGCTCAGGGGGTCGTCTTACTCCATACATTTACTCCAACATTTCTCCAGTGAAAATAAGAACATCCTAAGGAAAAGTGCGTCCTAAGGGACGCGGGTGGCGCTGTGGGTTAAACCACAGAGCCTAGGACTTGCCGGTCAGAAGGTTGGCGGTTCGAATCCCCGTGACGGGGTGAGCTCCCATTGCTCAGTCCCTGCTCCTGCCAACCTAGCCGTTCGAAAGCACATCAAAGTGCAAGTAGATAAATAGGTACCGCTCCAGCGGGAAAGTAAACAGCGTTTCTATGCGCTGCTCTGGTTCACCAGAAGCGGCTTAGTCATGCTGGCCACATGACCCAGAAGCTGTAGGCCAGGTCCCTTGGCCAGTAAAGCGAGATGAGTGCCACAACCCCAGAGTCATCCGCGACTGGACCTAACGGTCAGGGGTCCCTTTACCTTTTTAAGGAAAAGTGGGACATTTCAGGACAAATCAGAAACCAGGATGGCTTCTCTAAATAGGGACACTTGGAGGGTCTGCAATGGTACTGCTCTGTTCAGCCTTGGTCAGACCACACCTGGAGTGCTGTGCCAGGTTCTTGGTGCCATAGTTTAAAGAAGGATATTGACAAGCTGGAACGCATGCAGAGGAAGGTGACCAAGATGATAAAGGGTCTAGGAATCAAGTTGGCTAGGGAAGAATCGACTGAGAGGTGATATGAAAGCCATCTTCAAATATCTGGAGGGTTGTCACGTGGAAGACGGAGCAAGTTTGTTTTCTGCTGCTCTGGTGGGTAGGACCCGAACCAATGGATTCAAATTAGAAGGAGATTCCAACTAAACATTGGGAAGAACTTCCTGACGGTAAGAGCTGTTTGGCTGTGGAACAGGCTACCTCAGAAGGTGGTGGATTTTCCTTCCTTGGAGGCTTCATGGCAGAGGTAGGATGGCCATCTGCCAGGGGTTTTTCAGAAGTGATCCCTACATTCCAGAGGATTGGACCAGGTGACCATTGGGTTCCTTCCAGCTCTACAATTCTATGCCCTGAGTGCTCACTGGAAGGACAGATCCTGAAGCTGAGGCTCCAATACTTTGGCCACCTCATGAGAAGAGAAGACTCCCTGGGAAGGACCCTGATGTTGGGAAAGTTGGAGGGCAAAAGGAGAAGGGGACGACAGAGGACGAGATGGTTGGGACAGTGTTCTCGAAGCTACCAACATGAGTTTGACCAAACTGCGGGAGGCAGTGGAAGACAGGAGTGCCTGGCGTGCTCTGGTCCATGGGGTCACGAAGGGTCGGACACGACTAAACAACTAAACAACAACAACATTATCTTAGGATTGCGATATTTCAAAAAGTGAAAAGTTTTTGAGTTGTTGTTGTTGTTTTTTTAATTGCCCCCCAAAAAGCAACACTTCCATGGTTGCCATATGCCCAGGTTTTCCCGGGTGCTATGTCTGGCAAACGAATCCCACCTATGTCTAGGCATATGTCAGCCTCTATATCTGCTCTTGTGACATTTTAACCAGTCTTGTGCATGTGCCTGCAGTTGTGTGTGTTCATACATGCTTGCACAAGGGAGGGCAGCAAGCATCCCTATAAAATATTTTTGGCAACGTAGCCCTTAGAACAAAATTGGTTCCCTACCCCTGTCCAGTTTCTCCCATCACTAAATTCTCACTCTCCTCCTCTTCTGTAACAAGTGGTTTCTGACTCTCTCTGTGTGTGTGTCTCTGTGCTGCCATTCTCCTGGTATGTAAGCAATTTTGAGGGGGGAGTGTTGAGATGTGTGAGTCGTCATTTCTTGCTCATTTGGAAGTGAATTTTTTCCTGTTCACCCTCTTAACAATCGCTTGACGCACGCTCACTTTTTATAGAAACCTCATCTGAGGATTTTTAATTTTTTTTTGCATCGCAGGGGGCGGGGGGGAGGGAAGCATTCACAAACTCTTCCACTCATCTTGTCGAGAGAGATATTTCCTATTTTCGTCACAAAACAAACAAAGGGCAAGATTAATCATATCAGCTCTTTCAAAGACTCATTCTGAGCCCTGCCCTTCGTGGAGAGACCGTCCATTAAGATGAATAAGGTGTGCCACACCTTCTCAATCAATTGTGGCACATTTAGTCTGGCCCACTTGGTATAAATGCGACAGCTTTAGGAAGAGCTTATCCAGACTCTCACACTGCTAAAGCCGCAATGGACCACCTGCCGAAATTGTCCAAGCGTTCCTTGTGGATTATTTTGCTGTTGTTCCTTAACTTAACAGGTAAGGATTTTTTTTTGCCTCTAGATCTTCTTCATGCTAGATTCCCAGGTTCCACGGAGCTTCCAGACAAGCTGTTTTGTTCAGCTTTCATTCTGATTTGTTTCCAAGGGAGCTTAGATGAATTTGAATCAAAGCAAGCATTAATCCACACTTCCTAGAGCATTTCCCCCGTCACTTTTTTTATTGCAAACGTCAGGTTCTTCTGGAGAAACGGACGTGTTGTGCAAGACCTCCCAATCAACTATAATTGCACAATCTGAATTTGCCAGCGTGCAGTTGAATCCTACCTAAAAATAGAGGTGGGTTGGAAAACAGACCTTACAAGAGAGGCACGAAACTTGCAGCTCCCTGCTTCTCTCCTACGGCAAATGAGGAGGGTACTAGCGAGGGAGAATCAGTGGGAGGATGGGGTACCTAGCAGACCCTCCAAGTGTCCCTATTTTCCAGTGACAGTCCCAGATTTATAGAAGCCGTTCCAGTTTCTGATTTGATCCCAGAACGTCCTGCAGAAATCACCAGTTTCCAGAACAAATATGTGGTTTTTTTAAAGGTTTCTAGCCCTCATGAAGCAAGTATTCTTTCTTTTGAAATATGAGAAGCTGGAGGAGCAGCTTAAAATAATCTAAATTTCTATTATGTGTATTTTTTTGGGGGGGGGAGTTATTTGTGGGCACCGTATATAACCCGATATTCAAAATGGTGTGTGTGTTTTAAAGAATAATAATATTTATTTAGGATCCTGTTTTGTAGCCCCAAGGAGTTCTTCAAACTGACTTACAAATAAAAAAACTCACTCAAATCAAGAGCAAGTTTACTGCAACCATAGAAGCCAACTCCTAGGGGCCGAAGTCCCTTTGCCCCTCCCCAGTAAAATATTTGAGGAGGCCGGGATCCCTCAATGTTGATGGGAAGTGCCATTCAAATTGTGTGATCGATTATGTGGCGTGGGACTTACCTGCCGCCACCGCCACCCCAATTTTTATTGAAGTTGGCACCCCGACTATAGCCCCAAAAAGCTCATGCCATAAGGAATTTGTTAGGATGCTTCCAGATCAGTGTTTAACATGGGAATGGTACTGCTTGTGAATGTGGGTCTCATCCTTTCTTTCTATTTGCCCAGCATTTTGTTGACATAAAAATGTCAGCCTTTATTTCCCCCATCCAATTTAATGCCTATTCAACCTTTCTGGCAGTACAGTGGTACCTAAGGTTAAGTTCTTAATTCATTCCGGAGCTCCGTTCTTAACCTGAAACTGTTCTTAACCTGAAGCACCACTTTAGCTAATGGGGCCTCCTGCTGCTGCTGCCGCGCCGCCGGAACACAATTTCTGTTCTCATCCTGAGGTAAAGTTCTTAACCTGAGGTACTATTTCTGGGTTAGCGGAGTCTGTAACCTGAAGCGTATGTAACCTGAAGCGTATGTAACCCGAGGTACCACTGTAATCATATCTCAGTGATCCATTTGGAGAATTAAGCTGCTCTCCAAAAGCAATCCTCATCTCGCTCAGCCCACAGTGGCAGCAATCTTGCCTTGTCTTGATAAACTCCCTCAATTTCAGCCTGGAAATTACCATATTTTTCCATGTATAACACTCCCCCCCCCCCTCTCTCTCACACACACTGTGTAACACGACCCCTATTTTTTGGGACTCCAAATAAAGAAATCCCCCAGATGCACTATCCATGTATAAGGCGACCCCCAATTTTAAACTTGAAAAAATACGGGGGGTATAGTCTTATACACGGAAAAATACAGTATCTGCCCTGTCTGGTTTACTTCCAAGCCAGGAACGCCTTGCTAGGATCAGGCCAATGTCTGGCATGTTGACATGCGATGAAGACATAGTGGCCACTTTTGTCGGAAGGACTTTAAAGCCATTAAGGAAGGCGAGCAGGATCTTCATCCGTGTTCTACTCTAGTGTCACTTTTCGGTTGTCGACTAGCAGCTAAAGCCACTACATTTTGTATAATTTGCACGACAGTCGGGTTTCAGAATTCAGCAGCTCCTGACACCACTTTTACACCTGAAAACCAGGACATGCCAGGAATTTTCCTGACGTATGGAAAGCCTAAAATTCCTGCAATGCAGAGGTGTCATGTAAAGGGAGATGTAAAGGCACTCGCATAGCCAAACTTCTCAACAGGACTAGAATTATGCCTCTAAAACGTTTTAATAAAGTTTAATCGTATTTTATAGATGCCGCCTCTGGCGCAACCACTCCAGCTCCTGCAGCCTCTGGCGCACCCACTCCAGCTCCAGCAGCCTCTGACGCAACCACTCCAGCTCCTGCAGCCTCTGGCGCAACCACTCCAGCTCCAGCAGCCTCTGGCGCAACCACTCCAGCTCCAGCAGCCTCTGGCGCAACCACTCCAGCTCCTGCAGCCTCTGGCGCAACCACTCCAGCTCCTGCAGCCTCTGGCGCAACCACTCCAGCTCCTGCAGCCTCTGGCGCAACCACTCCAGCTCCAGCAGCCTCTGGAGCAACCACTCCAGCTCCAGCAGCCTCTGGCGCAACCACTCCAGCCCCAGCAGCCTCTGGCGCAACCACTCCAGCTCCAGCAGCCTCTGGCGCAACCACTCCAGCTCCTGCAGCCTCTGGCGCAACCACTCCAGCTCCTGCAGCCTCTGGTGCAACCACTCCAGCTCCTGCAGCCTCTGGCGCAACCACTCCAGCCCCAGCAGTCTCTGGCGCAACCACTCCAGCTCCAGCAGCCTCTGGCGCAACCACTCCAGTTCCAGCAGCCTCTGGCGCAACCACTCCAGCTCCAGCAGCCTCTGGCGCAACCACTCCAGCTCTAGCAGCCTCTGGCGCAACCACCCCAGCTTCTGCAGCCTCTGGCGCAACCACTCCAGCCCCAGCAGTCTCTGGCACAACCACTCCAGCCCCAGCAACCTCTGGTGCACCCACATCACCTCCAGAAACCTCTGGCGCACCCACATCACCTCCAGAAACCTCCGGCGCACCCACATCACCTCCAGAAACCTCCAGCGCACCCACATCACCTCCAGAAACCTCTGCCGCACCCACATCACCCCCAGAAACCTCTGGCGCACCCACATCACCCCCAGAAACCTCTGGTGCACCCACATCACCCCCAGAAACCTCTGGCACAGGCACCTCCTCTTCAGCAACCTCTGGCACTGCCACACCGGACTCAGCAGCCACTGGAACGGGCACCTCAGCTTCAGGGGGCACTGCATCCTCCGATACAGGCACAACAGTCCCCACCCCTGGTGCCAATGTTACAATGAGTTCTGGAACCACAGATTTAACTTCAGCATCAAATGCTACCACAGGTAGGATTATTTATTGGTATTACAACACAGCACTTAAGGTCCCCATATTAGACATAAATATCTGTGCAGACAAAGACATTATGTGAAGAAGGCTTTGACCTGGGTGTTTCCCTGGCGTATTATTTTCCTACATGCAGGGATATGCTTTTTCCACTGGAGGTCCAGATATAGAAGCCCTCACTGGCAGCCTGAAATGGCACATGCTGTGAAAGGCATTACCTCTTCACAGCTGGAAGGACTAGGTTTGTGTAGCTTGGTTGTGAGAAAATGGGAGAGGAGCATGATAGTGGTCTTCAAATATTTGAAAGACTTGTCTGGTTGCTCCAGAAGGCACTACTAGTAGAATCTGACAGGTGGCAATTGCAGCAACCCAGATTTTGGATGGGCGTGAGGAGAAACATCCTAAGGGTATGAACCGAAAGCCATCTGCTTTCACTGTGCATCGAATGTGCTTTAAATGCATGCACGGTGCAGTCAACACCAGGGATGGGAACCTGTGGCTTTCCAATAAATTGTTGGCCACCCCTGGCCATTGGCCTTCCCTCCTCATTATGGTAACCCGCAAAAGAAGCGTGTATGTGCATAGTTCTGTTAATGCCTGACTCATAACCCTTATCTTTTCTCTGCAGAAAACCCCAAACGGGACGAAGGCCTGCCCGCTTGGGCCATCATTCTGATCAGTGTATCCGCTGTGTTGGGAACTGTTCTCGTGGTTTTCCTCAGCTGCTTGGTAAGGAACATGGGTGGCGCAAGAAAGCAGACCCTCCAAGTACCCCTCTTTTCCAGGGACAGTTCCGGATGTGCAGAAGCTGTACCAGTTTCTGATTTGACCCCGGAATGTCCCGCTTTTCCTTAAAAGGTAAAGGTAAAGGGACCCCTGGCCATTAGGTCCAGTCGTGACCGACTCTGGGGTTGCGGCGCTCATCTCACTTTATTGGCCAAGGGAGCCGGCGTACAGCTTCTTGGTCATGTGGCCAGCATGACTAAGCCACTTCTGGCGAACCAGAGCAGCGCATGGAAACACCATTTACCTTCCCGCCAGAGCGGTACTTATTTATCTACTTGCACTTTGACGTGCTTTTGAACTGCTAGGTTGGCAGGAGTTGGTAGGACCCCGGAATGTCCCGCTTTTCCTTAGGACGTCCCTATTTTCACAGGGGAAATGTTGGAGGTTGTGGCAGGGCATCCCTGTCTTCATGGGAGAAATGTTGGAGGGTACGGAATAGGACAGCTCTATTTCCATCGGAGAAGTGCTGGAGGGTTTGAGAAAGTCACCCAGCAACAACAAACACAGGAATGGAGAGCAAAAATGTGTTTTTAGAAGTTGTGTGTGATTGGTTGAGAGCAGACAACAGGGTGCTGGACCACAATGGACCATTGGTCTGATTCAGCAGGACTCTTCTTCTGTCTCAGCGATAGAGTCATCGTTTTAATAGCTACGGATGCTGTTTCTTCCCCGTTTAGGGAAGCTTTTAATGTCTGATGCATTACTGTATTTTAATATTTTGTTGGAAGTGGTTGGGGAAGCCCAGCCAGATGCACGTCAAAGTGCAAGTAGATAAATAAATATATTATTATTATTATTATTATTATTATTATTATTATTATTATTTCTGCTCTACCTCTTACTCATGTGATGTATCTTTCTTTCTTGATGTTTCTGCTATGTAGATTTGCTACTCCTTAAGGGCAGAGAGCTACAACACTCAAAACCAAACCCTCCCAGTTTACCGAACCCACAGTTTCCTCCAGAGTTTTCGGAATTGCAGTCAGTGGTGAAGGAAAGGAGATTCACCCGCAGCCTCTTACAGCGATAAGCTTCTTCGGAGCAGCTTTGCAGAATTCGGTCCGCTCCCGAAGCTTTCTTCCCAAGCATCTAAAGACTCCTCCAGTGGGCAGAAGTGGAATCCCCAAAACATTTAGTCGCAAAATGACTCTAGAAAGGAACCCAGTGAAATCTATAGGGATTATTTCCCTGTTTTGTTTCTGCCTTGCGCAGCCAACTGAGCCCACTTGATCTCAGAGCCGAGCATGTTGTTCAGCAGAAATAAAGAATATGGACAGGAATGTGGAAGCACAAAGCTGATGACCTGAGAATTAGCAGAGCTTAAATGGAGAACTTGGGAAACCTGGTTTAAAATCCTTGCTCGGGCACAGGAAGTAGACTGGCTAATCCTGGCCAGAAAAGCACTGGTTAAAAATGTGGCACTTATTTTCTAGAAGATGCAGACCTGGAAACCTGGAATACTGTACCACCAGCCAAACATATATCTATATAATATAATTCCCCCCCCCTCCAAGTTCCTTTGCATTTTTTTTTTAACCATCTGGTGAAGAGTGATGGAGCACTTGAAAGCTTGCATACTCCATACTATTTTGTGGTATTGTTATTGTTCTAATAAAAAAGTATTGCCCCAAGATGAATTTTTGAAAGTTTCTAACGGGCCAACCTAGCTACCTCTCTATATTTTATTTTTTTGTGTGTGTGACAAATTTGGGCTCTGTTCTGTTAAACACCCGCCTCACATCTTAACAACACCACCGGCTACGAATCCCAAATGGAGGTGTTCTGGAATGTACAATCTAGCCAGGATGTATTTATTCATATATATGTCTGTGGAAGATTTTAATAAATAAATGCAACAATACTGCGCTGTCTAATTATTGGCATGTCCTGGTAATTATTCTACCTGAAGGAGCGTCTCCACCCCCATCGTTCTGCCCAGACACTGAGGTCCAGCTCCGAGGGTCTTCTGACGATTCCCTCATTGCAAGAAGTGAAGCTACAGGGAACCAGGCAGAGGGCCTTCTTGGTAGTGGCACCCGCCCTGTGGAACACCAGAAGTCAAGGAAATGAACAACTATCTGACTTGTGTGCAGTAGTCACTCTCTGCAGAGCTGGCAGCGGCTTGCTAGTCATCATGGGAGAAGGAGGTTGATATTTACCTTTGCTGTCCTAGTCACCCAGCCACATGTCCCCCAGTCCTAGCCTTCCTAGATCATAGAGGAGAGGTGAAGCAGGAATGTCTGGTCCTGCACATCATGTTGTGCCCTTGCTCTCCGCAAGCACCTCTCTGTAAAGTGTTCCCAGTCTAGAAGCATTATGCATCGAGGGAGGTTTGGCCAAAGCTACTCAAAGACGAGAGGAGGAAAGAGCTATACAGGTCATGTTCGAGCAAACTCAGAGGGGATGTGAGGAGCACTTTAAAACAATCTCAGTGCAAAGTCCTGAGCTCATAACCTCCTTGGCTGAAACCATTCATTTAACTTGCAGCAATGCTTTTATGGCTAGCACAGGGTTGTATATAGCCCTGAGTATATCGCCTGCACACAAGTCATAATAATAATAATAATAATAATAATAATAATAATAATAACAATGATATATTTATACCCCGCCCATCTGGCTGGGCTTCCCCAGCCACTCTGGATGGCTTCCAACAGAATATTAAAATACAATAATCTAATATTAAATACAATAATCTATATTATAAATTAACAGCCTTGGGCTTGTCCACATTTCCCTCCCGGGGAAAACCCGCTCTTTACTGCTGAATTGGAGCAAATGTTCATCAGGTTTTCTGCAGATCAACGTTTGCTCCAATTCAGAGGTAAAGAGCAGGTTTCCTGTGTATAAGGGACTACTTGGAGCACCCCACAATCGCCTAACCTTGGCTCCCATAGGTTCAGGTTGGGGGTCACAAGCAAGAGACTTCACCCAGGAGATAGAAGCAAAACAGTAGCCTGTAGGCCTGATCTTTATTGTTACAACAAGGCTCCCCACTAGTACAAAGATGAAGCAGCCAGGAGCCCCAAACAATGTTTACATCCGTATTTCAAAGTTTCCCATAATACATCTCAGGATGCATCATCAAGACAGCATAGATATGTCACAGAAAAATGTGTGGTCTCAGGTAGAACCTGAGATCCAGATGTCAGGAGCTCGTCCTACACTCGAGTAGGACCCCGGTAGAGTCGCATGCCTGACTGGCATGTTCCCTCCCTTCTGGTCATTTGTTCGGGAGCTTCAAAAGCTTTCTTCAGCCCACACATCACAGCGACCAATGCCAACAGACATCGGCACACTTAGGGATCCGCAGAGTCGTCACAGCTTGTGTAACAGACCACAACAACTCAGCATTTTGGCTAATCTACTTTATTTACATATAAACACACACAGAGCACTGCAACATGGCTCCTTCTCTCTCTAGCATCAGACAGCAAAGGGGGGAAAAACAAAGGACAATAGTCCCACTTCACGGAACACAGTAACACAAACATCCTGTCTCTATCACTTCCCACTCTTTGGAGTCAAAACATACACCGTCATGTGATAGACAAAAATCCCATGACTGCAATCATGGAGCAGGAATTCTAACACCAGACATGCCCCTTCACTCAAATATAGTCTTTCACACTTACTCCACCACAGTACAAAGGAAAGCATTTACAGTTCCCTGGTCCCCGAGTCAAGTCTGATACTCTTGGGCAGGATATCGTCCTGATCTCAGGGATTATGGTGGGCTCACTAACCTCTCCTCTTGTACCTCACTTCCCTGGGTCCTACATGCCACTGGAACTGAGAAGATTGATACGACAAGTGATTTCTTAAGAATTTCTAAAGTTTTCCTATTGAGCCAGTACATAGATGCATTTATCAGTGAATTGCTACATTTGGTAATATGCAGCAGATTCTCTTTGTCTTTGCCTCGTAGTGTGGAAAGGAAAGGCTCGTGGGGGGGGGGTGTCTCTCACCCGCCCCCTTCCAATTTCCCGGTGACACCTGGGGGAAGCAGTGGGGCACACTAAAAACTGCTCAGACCTTTCTCGACATGGGACAAGCCTAAGTCAGTTAGTAGGTACAAGTCACTGATCTCTCATGGGTAAATTGGGGGGAAGCAGCCTTATCACTGGGAAAGAATCTCTCACACTCACTGAATTCCTATGTGGTGAATCTGCTTCACTATGAGGAATAGGATTAGGAAGGACAGCTCAGGAACTCCCAACCCAACCCCTTTGTTGATGGCCCCAGAGTGAACCATAGCCCCCAAATTCCTATCTTCCGTTTTAAAAAGAGAGAGCAAATTTCTAGCATTTTTGGAACCTGAGATATGACGCAAAATGTACGGACAACATTCTTTTCGGTGGAAGTTAGGCTGCTCCACCTTTTCTATCTCCCCCCCCCCATAGCCTCCCACCCCCAAATTTCTGCAAGCACCCGTGTGTGTGAGAGAGAGGGACAGATCGGGGGAGAGAGGGAGTTTGGGAGAGAGATGTAGGGGTATGTGAGAGGAGGGAGGATAGTGAATATTTGCAGTGCGTTTGTAGCACATGTTGTTGTACAAATATACCAAAGAAAATGTTGTTGCACAAATATACAGACTGAGTAGGTGGGAAGCAGGCTTAAAGAAACTCTCCAAGTGTCTGAGTGCAAACCACTTGCAACTGCTAGCAACCTTTTTCCTTAGCTGCATACAAAACCCAAACTGTTCTCTCTTGCCAAATTCAACCCAGTCTTCCTTTCAGCATATATATTATAGAATCATAAATCAGAGAGTTGGAAGGAAGCTTGAGGAACATTTAGTCCAATCTCCTGCAAGGAAGGAATCTACAGCTGTATTAGGACCCAGACTACTCTTGTTCTTTTAATTCATTTTAAAGGGGTTTGAACATTGTGTTTTAAATTGCTGTGACCTGCCATGTGACCTCAGGGTGAATCGCAGTTTAATAATACTAATATAAAGAAGAAGAAGAAGAAGAAGAAGAAGAAGAAGAAGAAGAAGAAGAAGAAGAATTTGGATTTGATATCCTGCTTTATCACTACCCTAGAGAGTCTCAAAGCGGCTAACATTCTCCTTTCCCTTCTTCCCCCACAACAAACACTCTGTGAAGTGAGTGAGGCTGAGAGACTTCAAAGAAGTGTGACTCCTCCAAAGGTGGAGGAGCGGGGACGCGAACCTGGCTCACCAGATTACGAGTCCACCACTCTTAACCACTACACTACACATACAGTCATACCTTGGAAGTTGAACAGAATCTGTTCCGGAAGTCCGTTCAACTTCCAAAATGTTTGAAAACCAAAGTGCGGCTTCAGATTGGCTACAGGAGCTTCCTGCAGCTAATCGGAAGCCGTGGAAGACCTGTCAGACATTCAGCTTCCAAAAATAGTTCGCAAAGCAGAACACTCACTTCCAGGTTTGCGGCGTTCAGGAGCCCAAACGTTCGAGAAATAAGCTGTTAAAAAACCAATGTATATGCATTTACACCCCAGGTTTCCTAAAGGGAAGAGCACGTGAACAGATTCGTACAAAATCCATATAACAGTATAAAAATGTGGATGCATTAATATACTTATAAAATTATGCTGCAGAAATGGAGTACTGCACAGAGTTTGACCTTTAATGCATATTATGCATATAAAGTATGTATTTTTAATACAGTTCTGTGTATAATTTTGCATGCAATTAGTAAGGCTTCTTTTTAATAATAAAACAATCCCAGCAATGAACAGTTGGCTGAAAATGAGCAAGTGCTGAATGCAAGAGATGAACGGATGCAGCCAAAGCTCAATCAGGTGAGAACTGCCAAATTCCATGTATATAAACCCATTTAAAATGGATTTATCCCTAAAGATAGGTAAAGGGTAAAGCGACCCCTGACCATTAGGTCCAGTCGTGGCTGACTGGGGTTGCGGCACTCATCTTGCTTTATTGGCCGAGGGAGCCGGCGTACAGCTTCCAGGTCATGTGGCCAGCATGACTAAGCCACTTCTGGCGAACCAGAGCAGTGCACGGAAACGCCATTTACCTTCCCGCCGGAATGGTACCTATTTATCTACTTGCACTTGACGTGCTTTCGAACTGCTAGGTGGGCAGGAGCTGAGACCAAACAACGGGAGCTTACCCCGTCGCGGTGATTCAAACCGCTGACCTTCTGATCGGCAAACCCTAGGCTCAGTGGTTTAACCCACAGCGCCACCTGCGTCCCTATCCCTAAAGAAAACACCTGGTTATTTCCAAGTATACTCAATTACCAGATATTGAAGGGGGGGTAATAAAACAATTCGCTGCAAGGGTGGGGAGAGAGTGTGCATACAATGAAGGGGATAAACATGAGGAAGCATAGAAGAAATTACATGCCGTTCTCATTTTCAATGGGACATTAGCGATGAATGGGGCTCAAGGCATACTTTCCACTCCTCAAGCCACTCTTGGCTCCAGACTTCCCGAAACTTGACTGCGGCCCTCCTTCCGCGCAGATTCAGAGTGAGCCCGAGGAGCATATCTCGGTGTCACTCGGCCGTCACAGCGCTGAAAACCTGCTGCTATTATTAGGTTCCTCTCCCCGCAAATGCATACCTCTCCAGCACAAAGGTGATGCAATGCGTTCCGGACACTTTATTTTTAATTTCCCATCAAGGGAGCCGCACCTGGGGAAAGGTAAGAGGGTGAAAGTATGCAGGCAGAGACAGGCACGGAGGAGATCTGCAGCTCAGCTATCCTCCCTCAGCAAGGAATCTGGATCCAAACGCTCATGCAGCTTCGCTCCTGTCCACCCTGCAAAGCGGAAAGATGAAACTGCTGAGGATTCTGGTATCAGGGATCAATTACCTGATCCTCCTGCTCTTCTCCATCTTCTTAGCAGGTAGGCCACTGGAGCCATCTTAGCGGTGGTCCGCAATCTGACCGGTCAGGGAGAAAAGAAAAGAAAAGAAAAGAAAAGAAAAGAAAAGAGTAGGGGGCGAGCAGGGTCCCTCCTCCTGCTCCTGCTCCTGTTCCTCCTGTGGTGCCATAACATGTGGAGGTTATTCTAAAGTGTCTCACTGTCCATCCAGGGTGGTTGGAGGAATTGCTTCTTCAGATGACCTGTTTATTGGTCCTGGTTTGCTTGTCCAATGCTTACACAGAAGAAGGGATGGACAAACATCAAAGATGCTCAATCAGTGTGGTGTAGTGGTTAGAGTGTCGGACTAGGACCTAAGGGAACAGGGTTCCAATCCCCACCCGGATAAGAAACTCACTAGCTGACCTTGGGACAGCCATTGCATCCCCTCCAACATGTTGAGTCCCCAAACTGGGATGCAGGTATCTTCCCGTCTGTGATATCACATGAGTCATGTGACCCGGTTGACATCACAGCGCTCCCAACATATGCTTTCTTTTCAGGGCCGTGCTCTCACAGTGCCCCAGACCACACATTTTGGGGCACCATGCAAGATCTGGAAAAGTAAAGCTTTTTTAGGACAAAATCTTCTGGGGCGGTGGAAATTGAGTGTCCTGTTTTTTGGGGACACTTGCAGGCTATGCCGCTGCCCCTCAGCCTAACCAACCCCATAGGGTCTTTGTAGGGATTAAATGAGGAGTTTCTTCATAAAAGTGATGCACCACACTTTGTAGTACCAATAGCTCCAGTTGTGTTAGTAGATCGTAGATCATAGAATCGTAGAATTGGAAGGGACCCTGAGGATCATCTAGTCCAACTCCTGCAATTCAGGAATATGCAGCTGTCCCAGGCAGGGATCGAACCTGCAACCTTGCTATTATCAGCACCACGCTCTAACCAACTCAGCTATCCGGGTGATGGGTAGTCTTGGCAGATTATAAATTTAACAAGAACAGTAAGAGGGCTGTGTCCCTACTAAATATGCTCTGAACTGGGTATTCTTAATATCCGGCATGAGAATTGGGGAAGCTTTGAGTTTGAGATGTCCGCCCCCCAAATGTCAGCACACAATCTGACCAGCCACTGGCATAGCTATCGAGGTTTCCCTTTTTTTAAGGGAAATTCCCTTATTCCGAATAGGATTCCTCACAAGAAAAGGAAAAAGTTGACAGCTATGACCACGGGGTTTGAACCCAAAGAGCCAGCAAGAGTTGGCTACTTGATGTCAGTGTCGTATGAGGCGATGCTAGCACATGTATTGTGTTTTTTTTTTTTTACAGAGGTAGATTGAAAACCAGTTTGTTTGGGTTGGGATGGGGGAAAGCTCATCTGTCAAGGAGAAACTGTCACTGCGAAAGAAACAAGCCCTTGTGTCTGCAACAGAATAAGATTCTTTTCTTACGGGAAGGGTGGCTGACGTGAATAAAGGCAAGAGTTGAAACAGAGTTCAATCCTGCTTTAAAAGCCAGAACCAAGGCCAAGAAGTACAAGCCAAAAAGAAGTTTACTTACGTTCAGTTCACAGTAGGTTCCCTGAAGGCAGGCTTTAGCTTGTAGTTACAGAAAAGAGAGTGGGTTCATCCCATGTTGGGAAATGAGCCCATGTGCTGCTTGCTGGCTGAGAACCAGCAGACACCCAAATACCGTATTTTTCGCCCTATAGGACACACTTTTCCCCCTCCAAAAATGAAGGGGAAATGTGTGTGCGTCCTATGGGGCGAATGCAGGCTTTCGCTGAAGCCTGGAGAGCGAGGGGGGTCAGTGCGCACCGACCCCTCTCGCTCTCCAGGCTTCAGGAAGCTATCCACTAGCCGTGGGAGACACAGCTCTCCCACGGCTAGCGGAGAGCTTGCCTGCACCCAGAAGCTTGGGGCGCGCTGAGCTCAGCACGCCCCAAGCTTCGGGCTTCGCACAGCCCTCCGCTAGCTGTGGGAGAGCCACGCGAAGTCGCACGGCTCTCCCACGGCTAGCGGATAGCAGCCTGTTCTGGGGGCTGGGGTCGGGGGAAGCTCGGGCTTCCCCCGCCCCAGCCCCGCACCTGGGGGGGGAATAAAAAAAAATTCTTTATTTCCCCCCCAAAAAACTAGGTGCATCCTATGGGCCGGTGCGTCCTATGGGGCGAAAAATACGGTACATCAAGATGGAGTAACTTGAAGAAGAAGGGGAAAGATGGCTGTGGGACTGACCCTTTTATTGGGCCTCACAGGCTCATGCCCATCTACCTGGTCACACGCAGAGGGAGGATGTCCAGGTGTGACAGGAAGTCCTCCCGGCTGGAGCAACATCCCCCTGTGTGTCCACTCTGGGCAAACAGGAAGCGTTGTACTTGACTGCTTATGTTACATCCCACAGGAATAACGATGTCAACTATTTATGGATTGTTTTGTGGAAAAGTTACACGATGCTGCGTCAAGCAAGTGCTGTCCCATACTTCCCAGGGCATCTTTCTGGTCACAGTTCGTATCGCTTAAAAAAAGGCCATTTTAGGGAGTGAAATTGGTTTGTTGCTCAGGATCTCAAAATCAGCTTTAATTCCGCAGCCTGAATTTGCTGGTATGTGACTCTCACCTGAAGAAAAAAGTACCAAAAAGAATCCAAGGTTTGTGGATTTCACAGAGGGATTTCACACCTCCCTGCACCCCATTATTTGAGTACTGTGTAATGTATGAATTGGGTTTGACAGTTCTCTCCCATTATCAGCCGCTGGTACAAATACATCTGTCAGCACTATGCTGCCCCTAGTGGCTCTGAGTGGTAGCGCATCAGGAGCCACAGAGAACACAATTGCACCCGCTGAAAAGATGAGGCCTACCAAAACACATCCCAGTGGAAACACAACTCGAGTGGAAGAACAACATGACTAACAAGTGTGACTCTCAGCACGACTGAACCTGTTGAGGACTTAAGGTTTCACCACCCCTGCCACCTTCGAGATGGCTTATGGTCAGAGTGCCTTCTGGACTGTGCTTACTTGGTGCCGAGTGTGAACTGCAAGGGCTCCTGGGAAATATGTTGCCATGGTAAATGAAGAAGATCAAGCATCTGCAACAATTAAATAGACTCCACTGGACTTAAGCATATACCCTCTGAATTTAACCAGTGTTTAAAGTTCTAAGATTACAGCATTAACCAGAAGCTCCTATAAGCTCAGGTTCTGTTAACATCTTGCTATCGGGAGCAAATCTGCTATGATACTAGTGAAGCTCAAGCTTCCAGGGCCCCTCATCTTGGAGAGACCCAGAAGCAAATTTAGTCCACATTGCTTTTAAAAAATGGGCCTAGTAAACCCAATTTGAGTCGCGCGAGTCAAACTGATTAAATTTTGGTTGTCTATCTTTCAACAGTCCCAAGGTCTGAGAGTCACAGATGTTGCAGAGGTCTGGTGATCTGTAATAGAACAACCCCATTGAAGAAGATAACAAGAGTCACCCAGACCTCGTTTCTGGGTGCAAAGGGGGGCCCCCATAACAGTTAAAGCTTCAGGGCCCCCAAAAATGTAGGCCTGCCACCGCTTGTGAGGTCACAAAAATTAGTTGTAAATAGTATATTTTGGGTCATGACCTTGCAAGGAGAGGAGACGATATTTACAGAAGAGTAGGGTGATTTACTGGCTTAATAATTATTTGCCTGGATTCCCCTTTCTTAATAATAATAATAATAATAATAATAATACAGTGGTACCTTGGGTTACATACACTTCAGGTTACACACTCCGCTAACCCAGAAATAGTGCTTCAGGTTAAGAACTTTGCTTCAGGATAAAAACAGAAATTGGGCACTGCAGCAGCAGGAGGCCCCATTAGCTAAAGTGGTGCTTCAGGTTAAGAACAGTTTCAGGTTAAGAACGGACCTCCGGAACGAATTAAGTACTTAACCCGAGGTACCACTATAATAATAATAATAATTTATTATTTCTACCCCGCCCATCTGGCTAGGTTTCCCCAGCTACAGTGGTGCCTCGCAAGACGAAATTAATCCGTTCCGCGAGTCTCTTCGTCTTGCGGTTTTTTCGTCTTGCAAAGCACGGCTATTAGCGGCTTAGCAGCTTAGCGGCTATTAACGGCTTGGCGGCTTAGCGGCTTAGCGGCTATTAACGGCTTAGCGGCTTAAAGAAAAAGGAAACAAACTCGCAAGAACTCGCAAGACGAAGCAAGCCCATAGGGAAATTCGTCTTGCGGAACGACTCAAAAAACGGAAAACTCTTTCGTCTTGCGCGTTTTTCGTCTTGCGAGGTACCACTGTACTCTGGAGAGCTTCCAACAAAAGATTAAAAATACATTAAAACATCAGTCATTAAAAGCTTCCCTAAACAGGGGAGTAGAAGGGATTAATGCTCCTGAACAGCAACTGCTGGAAACCACGAGAGGGGAGAGGGCTCTTGTGCTCAGAGGGTTTTCCATATGTATTTGGGTGGCCACTGGGAGAACAAGATGCTGGACTAGATAGGTCATTGGGCTGATCCAGTAAGCTCCCCTTATGTTCTTAGCAGTTTCATTTTTCTCCTCACTTGCCAGCCACTGGTGTTGGCACCTCAGGCAACATCACCACAGGAACCACGAGCACACCAGCTGCACCAGTGACCAACAGCACCATTCTGCCAGTTAACACTGCCAACACCACCAGGACATCTCTTGCTACCACAGCTTCATCCACGGTCGCTAGTGGCAACCAGCCATCAAACACAAGCGATGACGCTGTACTGCTAATGAGCATCACCACATCAGCAGGAGCCCATGTTGAAACTGATATTGCCATACCAGGTATGGATAGGCCTACTAAACTTCCTCAATTTCTTCCCAAGCTCACCTTTTGAAGGCCACCTTCTGTCTGCCCCTTTCTAACACCCTCTCCGTCGCCTTCTTTCACCGCAGGAACAGAGATGACACAGAGTCCAGAAGATCAACCGTTGACGTTCTGGGGGATCATTCTGATCTCCTTAGCAGTGACTGCAACTATCACAGCAGGCTTCATTGGATGCTTCTTCTTCTTCTGCAGAGTAAGGCGGGCATGCCAGCTTTCATCATATTGCTGGGAGATGGGCCAGTGACATAATCAGAGCCAGGATTCAAGTGAATAAGATGCTGGGAAGACACTGGCACTTTTCAACACAGCGGCTCCCTGGTAGCTCAGCTGGTTAGGTGCTGATCATGCCAAGGTTGCAGGTTCGATCCTGTTGGTCTAGATCAGGGATATCCAACAGGTCGATCACGATCTACTGGTAGATCCCTGTGATGTTTTGGTAGATCGCGGTCGATCTCTGGCTCCCTTTCCTCTTCGTTGGTAAATCTGACTCCTGCGCCGACCTCATCCCGGCCTCCATTGTTGTTTGAACTCAGGAAGGGAAGACAGAGCTCCCTCTGTGTGGCTGTTTTCATCCACAGCGATGTTTTTGTGTGTGACTTAACCCCAACCTCCCTTGCCTTCCTCCACCACCCCAAAACGGAACTCCCCTCCCCCCAAAAGCCTGCACCTTAACCCCCCCAAAAAACGGGGCTTTCCTCCTCCCAAAGAAAGCTCAACAACTTTGAACTGAACCCCTTAAAAACGGGGGTAGATCACTGCCAGATTTTAATTCTGAAAGTGGATCGCAGTCTCTTGGGAGTTGGCCACCTCTGGACTAGATTATCCTCAGGGTCCCTTCCAACTCTGCAGTTCTATGACTGGCCCTAATGCCATGTCCTAAGCTAGCTAGATGCTTGCTAAAATAGAGTACACTGGCAACAAGGAGAGATTGTCGCAGCATATATCATTTTGTTTGCAGATAAAGGTAAAGGTAAAGGGACCCCTGACCATTAGGTCCGGTCGTGGCCGACTCTGGGGTTGCGGCGCTCATCTCGCTTTATTGGCCAAGGGAGCCGGCGTACAGCTTCCAGGTCATGTGGCCAGCATGACTAAGCCGCTTCTAGCGAACCAGAGCAGTGCATGGAAACGCCATTTACCTTCCCGCCGGAGCGGTACCTATTTATCTACTTGCACTTTGACGTGGTTTTGAACTGCTAGGTTGGCAGGAGCAGGGACCAAGCAACGGGAGCTCACCCCGTCGCGTGGATTCAAACTGCTGACCTTCTGATTGGCAAGTCCTAGGCTCTGTGATTTAACCCACAGCGCCACCCGCAGAGCAAAATAGATGTGAGTTGTTTATAGAATTATTTTTTTTAAAAAAACCCCTACTTATTAGATTCAGGAAGTGGCAGTAAAGGAAAGGGTATTCATCCTTTATATCCTGCCCCCTCTTCCTTTCCTCTCCCACCCTTCACAGAGTCTGCCATTTGTTCAACTTTGGGGAAAGAGGCACAGAGCATCTATCATCTGCAGGAGGACGTTAACAGCATAGGAGAGGTATAGAAATTTAATTGGAGAAAGAGTATGAGAGGAAAGAGTTAAACATGCTCGCTCTCGAGTGCTCTCTCTTCCCCCCCCCCCCCAACTCCACTTCCTTGATCATCCACATGAGGCCACTAATGAGTTCTTGTTTTTAAAGAAGTAGATCCAGGTCATAATTTTGTACATCTCACCTGTTGTTGTTTAGTTGTGTCCGACTCTTCGTGACCCCATGGACCAGAGCACGCCCGGCACTTCTGTCTTCCACTGCCTCCCGCAGTTTGGTCAAACTCATGCTGGTAGCTTCGAGAACACTGTCCAGCCATCTCTTCCTCTGTCGTCCCCTTCTCCTTGTGCCCTCCATCTTTCCCAACATCAGGGTCTTTTCCAGGGAGTCTTCTCTTCTCATGAGGTGGCCAAAGTATTGGAGCCTCAGCTTCACGGTCTGTCCTTCCAGTGAACACTCAGGGCTGATTTCCTTCAGAATGGATAGGTTTGATCTTCTTGCAGTCTATGGGACTCTCAAGAGTCTCCTCCAGCACCATAATTCAAAAGCATCAATTCTTGCAGTGCAAATAACGTCTTCACCAGGACAACAGCAAGGAAGAAAGGGGTTAAATGCCCTCTCTCTCTGCTGTGATCCCAGTCACAGAATCACAGTATTGTAGAGTTTGAAGGGACCCTGAGGGTTATCTAATCCCCTGCAATGCAGGAATTTCAGCTAAAGCATCCATAGCAAATGGCCATCCAATCTCTGCTTATAAACCTCTGAGGAAGGAGAGTCCAGGAGCTCACAACACAGTCCTTTTTACCATTAAACAGCTGTTACTGTCCTTTTTTATAACTTGAATCCATTGGTTGGGGCCTACCCTCCAGAACAGAATACAAGCTTGCTCCTTCTTCCATGTGACAGCCCTGTAGATATCTGAAGGTGGCTATAAAGTCTCCTCTAAGTCTCCTCTTGATTCCCAGATCTTTGATCATCTTGGTCACCTTCCTCTGCAGACATTCCAGCTTGTCAATATCGTTATATGGTGGTGCCCAGAACTGGACACAGTGTTCCACGTGTGGTCTGACCTAGGCAGAATAGAGCGGGACTATTATTTCCCTTGATCTGGACACTATACTTAAGCACATGTAAAGCTTTTGGTCTACCAAGACCCCTATCCTTTTCACATGTACTAGAGGCAATCTAGGTGTCCCCCATCTTATATTTGTGCATCTGGTTCATCCTGCCTTAGTGCAGAACCTTACATTTGTCCCTATTGAAATTCATTTTGTTAGTTTTGACCCTGTTCTCCAATCTGTTAAGGTCATATTGAATCCTGATTCTATCTTCATTGGCTCTCAGTACATTTCCGAGCACAATTTAAAGTGTTGGTGCTGACCTTTAAAGCCCTAAACGGTCTCGGTCTTGTATACCTGAAGGAGCGTCTCCACCCTCATTGTTCTGCCCGGACACTGAGGTCCAGCGCTGAGGGCCTTCTGGCGGTTCCCTCGCTGCGAGAAGTGAGGTTACAGGGAACCAGGCAGAGGGCCATCTTGGTAGTGGTGCCTGCCCTGTGGAATGCCCAGCAGATGTCAAGGCAATAAACAACTATTTTACTTTTAAAAGAAAACTGAAGGCGGCCCTGTTTAGGGAAGTTTTTAATGTCTGACACTGTATTGTTTTTAATATTCTGTGGGGAGCTGCCCAGAGTGGCTGGAGAAACCCAGCCAGATGGGTGGGGTATAAATAATAAATTATTATTATTATTATCATCATCATCTTCTGTGGCATTAGCTGCCCCTCCCATTCGCTACCCCCAGGGGCGGAGGAAGGTGGCGGTGGGGGCGGTGCGCACCGGGTGTCATCACTGAGGGGGGTGACATTCGGCGCACCGCCCACCCGCAACTCCCAAGCCTACCCCAACCCATCAGGGGAAGAGGCAGAGCTGCACCGCTTTGCCGGTGGCCTTCCCCCCTTCCTCCTCTGTATTGACAGCTCGGGGGAGGCTTGGGAGTCACGGGCAGGTGGGCAGATGGTGTGCCATTGCCCCCCACTCCCAGGCCGCTTCCTGGGAGGGAAGCCTCCCCCAAGCTGTCAAAATGAAGAGGAAAGGGAGGAAGTCTGCTGGCAAAGCGGCGTAGCTCCCTCCCCAACACAACGCAGGAAGCAGCCCACCATGGGCGGCTCGCTCCACCACTACCCCTGGCAACTCGCTCCGCCCCCATGAGCGTCTTGCCCCTTGGGACACTCGCCCCGTCCCCATGGCCCCACCCCAAGGTGCACAGCTTGCTCCGCCTCTGGCTACCCCTCCCAGTTTGACGCTATAATTATGGTCTCCTCCCAGAAGCTGCTATTTGTACTTGCTCATTAATTACAATGTATTTAGCATGGCACATTAAATATAATGTATTTAACAACACATCTAATTTGGCTGGAAGGATCAGGATTCCTGACTTATTTCAGAGTTTTGGAGAAGAAATGTACTTACAGTCATACCTCATGTTACGTCTGCTTCATGTTACATTCTTTCAGGATACGTCCCGCAGCGACCCGGAAGTACCAGAAAGGGTTACTTCCGGGTTTCGCCGCGTGCGCAGACGCACAAAATGATGTCACGCACATGCGCAGAAGAGGCGAGTTGCAACCCACATGTGCGCAGACACGCCATTGCGGGTTGTGCTCTTTGTATGTTGCGATCGGGCCTCCGGAACGGATCTCGTTCGCAACCAGAGGTACCACTGTACTTACTGGCAATTAGAAAAATGGTTCAACAGTCTGAGTTGAAACTTGGCAGTGTAGGAAAGGTGAGCCATGAATCCTTGATGAGTTGGGAGTAGAAACAATTACTCACTTTGAATGAGTGACTTCATTTGATGAGTGACTTCATGAATATATATTATGCTTGATGATTTTAAAAAATGCTTAAGCGGACACTATTGCCTAAGTTGGGCTTGTTGTTTTTTCTGGAACTATTGTTATCTTTTTTCCTCTTTGCTAACAAGAATACTTCTTTGTCTTTAATTGCAGAGAAATAATTTCTAAGCCAAAATCCAGGTTTCAGCCCCTCTTCCTTGTACCTTCCTTATTCAAGAGAATAAACAAGGAACTGCTGTTACACTTGCTCAGGGGTGTGGCAACCAGATCCTGTGGCAAGTGTGATCCCCAGAAGATCCATCCGTCATCATTTGAGCATCCTTAAACTGGGACCAGAAGTTCCACAACTCTCTTGAGTCTTCCCAACTCCTAAATCAAGCACCAGACCTTAACTCAAGTACAGAGAGACTTTAGAACAATGTTGTGGAGCACCAATGTTTTCAAATGTGGAAAAAAAATAAGACACACAAGCTATTTCTATCAAATATCTTTTGCATTGTCTTGGTTTTCTCAGCCTAAAAATGTAATGAAGTTACATAGTTGCATGCTAACGATCCCCTGATGGGTGAGATCTTCCAGTTACCACTTGGGGTACTATTTCCTTTGCCACAAAATTCTGCAAAACATTGGGGGATCACCAAACACAAACATGAGACTTCAGTGTGCAATTGTGGAATCCAATTCCATGGGGAAGCTTGCACTTCTTTGACTGCAGAAGGTGGCAGTAGGGATTATCTATATATCATAAAGAAAACTCATTAAGCAATTATGACTCACTGCTATCCTGTTCTGCAAATGCTGATATATGCAAAAATAGGCACCTATAATGTGTCTAATAGTAAGCACCACCACCTCATTCCCAGTGCTTCATTGCTACACAGACTTGCTGACTGCACAGCACGCTTCCAGGCCCCCACAAAGCCTCAAGCTGCTGTTTGTTCTGTAATTTGCTGCTGTCACCTCAGTTGTATCCTCCAGGGAAGGGAACTTTTATTTGACAAGATTAGCTGAGGTATTGCAGGTTCTGTGTCTGGCAGCGTCATGTAATTAATAAATTAGGCAGGGTTTTAATAGCACACTGGTGCCTTGGTCTTGACATTCTGTGCCAGCATGCAAGGTGAGTTATGCCTGCTGGGTACGAAGGTTTGATTAAACCCCAACACCGCTGACACCCCATGACCAATCATTGAGGGTGTATCTTAGCCCTCCAATGTTTGGTGAGCGATGCTGACAACAGGTGCTGCTATTGGCTCAGCGCGCTTTCTTTACAGCAGAGAATTCTGACCCAAAAAAAAATGGAAATGGGAGCCACCTGCTCTGGGCACTAGGGATGGGGGAGAAATTCAGTTCCCATTTAAAGGGGAACTTACTTAATTCACACAGTGTGGCGTAGTGGTTAAGAGCGGTGGACTCGTAATCTGGGGAACCGAGTTCGCTTTCCCACTCTTCCACATGCAGCTGCTGGGTGACCTTGGGGCAGTCACATTTCTCTGAAGTCTCTCAGCCCCACTCACCTCACAGAGTGTTTGTTGTGGGGGAGGAAGGAAAAGGAGGTTGTTAACCGCTTTGAGACTCTTATTCTCCTGACAGAACTCTATTAGCCTTTTGAGACTCCTTAGGGTAGTGATAACGCGGGAGATCAAATCCAAACTCTTCTTTCAGAAACAATGCACATGCCGAAACACACCCACCCTTTGAAATTCACGCTTCTTCATATTTTGTATTGCAGTCCCTCAGTCCAGTAACATATACAAAAAATGCATATATTAGGGCAAAGTATGCATAAAATTGCATATATTAGTAAAAATAATATACCAAAATTGCATTTTATTACAGAAAATCTCTTTGCAAAAACAAAACAAAAAAGTATATTAGATAAAAGTGCATACAAAAATGTGCCTATCAGGAGAAATGTGCATGTTTGAATTTTCACAAAAAAACTTTTTAAAAAAGGAAACACAATCTGATGTAGGAATGTGGAGAATCAATTGTGGAGCTGGAAGGGATCACGAAGGGCATCTAGTCCAACCCACTGCAGTGCAGGGCTCAAACCCACAACCCTGAATCATATTGAGAGAGTCTCGTGCTCTACCAACTGAGCTATCCCACAGGCCCTGAAAAACAGATAGAACCCAAAATTTCCAGTGTCACTCATCTCTACCAGGCAAAGATGTTTGATGGGCATTCAGATTTCCTCTGCCCTTTCAATGGGGCACACATAGAGCCAGCTCAAGTCATTTCACTGCCTAAGGTGAAAGACGCAATAACACCCCCATTTTCATTCTTCATACAGAAGTCAACCAGACTGGCATTGGACTTTTACTTCGTTATGAGTATTAGGATAGCACAGTGGTGGCAAACCTATGGCAGAGGGGGCACTCAGAGCTCTCTCTGTGGGCACGCGTGCCATCGCCCCAGCACAGAGCCGGCAGAAGGCAAGGGCAGCGCGTCGAGTTCTCAGCTCAACTTGTGTCCGAGTAGAAGTGCCTCAGATGGGGCGTCGGGGTGTGTGTGTGTGCAAAATGCCACAACCTCCAGAGTGGCTTTCCCTTAGGGAGCCTCCACTGTGGGTGGGGAGGGCGCAGCGCTATGCACGCGCTCAGAAGCGCGCTGCCACGTTGGTGGGCCGCCGAAAGTTCTGAGCAGTCGCCTTCCTCCTCCTGCTGCTGCGAGGTTAAGGCTTTAACACACCTTCTGGCCGGGGACAATGGGAGTGGATTCAGAAGTGGCGTGGAGGCTTTGCGCTCCCCATAGGAGCTGCCTGATCAGTGGCGTAGCGTGGGTTGTCAGCACCCGGGGCAAGGCAAGTAATTTGCACCCCCTAACCCGTGGATTTGCGCCCCCTAACCCTAACCCCCAGATGTTGCGCCCGGTGCGGCCGGCCCCCCCTGCACCCCCCACGCTACGCCACTGTGCCTGATCCCGCTCCTACTTGCATGCAAGCAGGGCGGGGATCTGTCAGCTGGGAAGCATGAAGCCTCCACTTCTGGGAGATCCCCGCCCTGCTCCTGCTTGCTCACCAGTAGGAGCGGGAAGCTCAGCTGAGGAGCACCTCGCTGCCTTCAGGTGGTGCAGAGGCTCTCAGATGCAGCTTCCAGGCTGCCTCCACCTTCCCCAACCTCAGCAACTATTCAGCCTGACTGCCTTCATGGGGTTGCAGGGAATCTGATGCAGAGGTGGGGGATCCTTTAAACTTCTCCCTTGAGGGAAGTGCAGCCGCGAACCCCTCAATGGAACGTGTGACAGAGCCTGCACCTCCCCAGCTGAGCAGCCCCGATCCAGCTCCTGTTCCCGTGCAAGCCGCAACACTGCCTAGCAGAGGGGCCCAATCCCACGCCTACTTGCCTGCAAGCAGGAGCAGGCTGGGGGGGGGGGGCAGCAACATCAATATGATATGATATGATATGATATGATATGATATGATAATCTTTATTGTCATTGTCCCATACAGAACAACAAAATTGAAAAAATCTACATCAGACATTCAAACACCAACAAGCCTGCTATCCCAGCCTGGTTAACTCCCTAAAAACTCTCATACCCCATAATTAAATACAATATACTCCCATAGAGACTACCTTACACTGCGTTTAAAACCAAAATCCCTTGCCTGCTCGCTTGCCGCCCCAGCCCAGCCTTCCCTCACTCAGTGCCTCCGGAGCAGGGGGGGGGGTTGCTGTTCCGCTTCTGAAAAAAGTTTGACAACCAGAACACTCATTTCCGGGTTTGAAGTGTTCGGGTTCCAAGTAGTTTGAGAACGAAGCTGTTCAAAAACCACTGTATTGCTCTACTCTTTCTCCACATGGATGTGCCAACCTCCCCTTCTAAACTAAAACCTTCTAAACTAAAACCTCAGTATTCGGGTTAAATTGCAGTGTTGGCACTTTGAGATAAATAAGTGGGTTTCGGGTTGCGGTTTGGGCACTCGGTCTCTAAAAGGTTTGCCATCTCTGTAATAGCATCTCACATGTGGGGGCCGAAGGGTAGATATAGAAGGGAGCCAGTGTGGTGTAGTGGTTAAGAGTGGTGGACTCGTAATCTGGTGAACTAGGTTCGCGTCTCCACTCCTCCACATGCAGCTGCTGGGTGACCTTGGGCTAGTCACACTTCTCTGAAGTCTCTCAGCCTCACTCACCACACAGACTGTTTGTTGTGGGGGAGGAGAGGAAAGGAGATTGTTAGCTGCTTTGAGACTCCTTAAAGGTAAAGGTAAAGGTAAAGGGACCCCTGACCATTAGGTCCAGTCGTGGCCAACTCTGGGGTTGCAGCGCTCATCTCGCTTTACTGGCCAAGGGAGCCGGCGTACAGCTTCTGGGTCATGTGGCCAGCATGACTAAGCCGCTTCTGGCGAACCAGAGCAGTGCATGGAAACGCCATTTACCTTCCCGCTGGAGCGGTACCTATTTATTTACTTGCACTTTGACGTGCTTTCGAACTGCTAGGTTGGCAGGAGCAGGGACCGAGCAACAGGAGCTCACCCCGTCGCGGGGATTCGAACCGCCGACCTTCCAATCGGTACGCCCTAGGCTCAGTGGTTTAACCCACAGCGCCACCCGCATCCCCTTGAGACTCCTTAGGGTAGTGATAAAGCGGGATATCAAATCCAAACTCTTCTTCTCTTATAGTTGTGCTATGTCTCACACAGAGCTCTATCCTCCTACATAAAGATATGGCCAGGAATAACATCTGGTGGCTTCCACCACAGCCCCTCAGGACCAGCCGCCTGAGACAGTTGCCTCATTCTGCCTAACAGTAGGGCTGACCTTGAGCACACTTTCCTTTACGTGTGCGAATTGCTCCACACAGCTAACATGAATAGAAAATTATTATGTGCATAAGCAACTCTGGTTGGAAGTGGCAGTTACTCCACTAGTAGGTACAAGAAGCTCACTTTCTGCTTGACTGTCTGGTTAGATTCCTTCTGTGCCCAAAGGAGTCATTATCCAATGCCCTAGAGGGGAGGGGGAACCCTTTTCCTTCATTCAGAGGGAAATATGCAAATACTTCCTCTTGCATGTTTCTTCCAACTGCCAGCGACTGGTTCTTTCTATTATCTTATCATGCTTACACATCTAGGCAACATGTTTTCTAATTAGACTGAAAAACTACAAGCAAATGGATCTCTTATCTTAAACAACAGAGTGCTTATAAAGTCTCTTCCCTAAGGAGCAGCTGCTAGCAGTTGACCCTTGCTGGTTTACAGGACATTTGCCTGATTATTAATGATAGAATAATAGAATATCATCATTTGCTAATCAATCTGGAATGGGTTTGGCACACCTCCACTCACTGGGTTTGCAAGCCCAGATTCTGAGCCACTAAACCCGCCCTGTTAACTGGTAATAATAAAAAATAATAATAACAATAATTTTATTTATACCACGCCCAAGTGGCTGGGTTCCCGCCGCCACTCTGGGAGGCTTCCAACAAAAAATTAAAAATACATTAAAACATCAGACATTAAAAACTTCCCTTTTGATAATTACTACCTTTCATGAGTGCATGCATAAATATTCAGGCCAGGAAGAATGGACTGTTTGGATGGTTGCAAGGGCTGGGTAGTACTTTTATTATGGCTGTGAAGATTGCATTAGAGCAAACAATAGATATTTCTAATGCAAAGATTTTATTTGGAGTTTTTTTATTGTGCAAGAAGCAGTCATAATTGTCTTCTCGCTTGTAATCAAGTGGGTGGCATACAACAGAAAATAGTTCTTGATAGACGGAAGAGTTGGGTAGGTAGGTAGAGAGAGACAGATAATGTATACATGTATCATATAAACAAATAGACATAACTGCATTTCAGGTAAAAATGCAACATTACAAGATAGTTCGATTGAACGGTGGCTGGAATTTGCTCTGCAATTCACCAAAGCTGAATTGTATCTTCAATGACAGGGTGAGTTATCTTCTTTTTCCAGTTGTCACTCAACTTCCAAGAGCTATTCAGGAAAGATTTACAACAGGAGCCAGTCTGGACTTGGAATACGCATTGCTGACACCGGAATGCACATGTGTGTGGTAAATAGAAGGTATGGTTCTATATCAGCCGCAGGAGAACCCTGGAGAACCTTGCTGTGTAAAAATTAATCCTCATCAGAGGGTTGTTTAGGAGATTTCCCTGAATCATCCCACTCTGGCAGTGGTGGCCAAGGCGCAACAGGCATCAGAGGAGATGGTAGAAAAGGGTCATCAGGCAGCGGTGGCTTAGGAGGACTGGATGGTCCAGGAAACGGTTGTGGTTTGTTAGGGCCTAAAGGTGTTGGTGGTTGTGGTGACCTTGGGTGTCCAGGATCAGGAGATGTAGGGGGGCCTTCTGGCCACGGCTTCCCAGGCACCAAAGGCCCCAGTGGTTGAGGACCTTCAGGCTTGGGTGGTCCCACAGGCCAAGGTTTCTCTGGAACAGGAACCAACGGATTGTCGGGTTTCGGCACAGGAGGGACTCCTCTTGATCCAGAAGGGCCAGGCCCTGGGTGACTTGAAGACATGTTGAGCCACCACAGGAGGGTGCAGAGCTAGAGAATCCAGGAGGGGAGAAGGTGAAGATCTTTTGCAACATCTGAGAGTAGAAAATGAGCTGATAGAATCTAGCACAAAGCAGTCATAAATGTAAGAGTTTAAAAAAGAGTTTGTAGTACCATGTACGTTCCAAACAGACTGAACTCAAACCAATGTCTAATTTCCAATATGCAAAGACTCAAACCTGTCAGGGAGACATTGAATCCCCTTCCCCAGGGGATTAAATCAAGTTGATAGACTATGCCAAAATGGTGAAACTAACTGGGAAGCTCAGGAACCAAGAAGACAATAACTTTAAAAAAAGAGTGGGGAAAGTTTATAATTTATATACAAGATCATTGTAAGCAGGTTAAAACATGGGCAGGATTTTAAACACACTTGTAATGTAACAGAATATATGGATAATTTAGAAAGACTAAAAATTGGAGAAGTATTGCTATGCAGTGGGAAACAGTATCATGGAAGGGATGGGAGGAAATCAGGAGATTCAGAGTAATCTCGATATTTGGATTCGGAATTGATTTTGTTATGTGCATATATCCTTGAAAATCAAATCAAAATTTATTTCAAAAAAGAAAAAGGAAGCCCTTTAATCCCACATTTTTGCAAGTAGCCAGTTATCCAAGCAGCCATCTTACACTCAGAAATTACCTTCCTGCAGTTAAACTGTACATGCTAACATATTTCTCTAGAAGTCACTGCAAGCCAATATGTTTGCAGGGAAAAAATGAACTTTCTTCATCACTGTTAGAAACATTAATCGCTAAGATAAAACGTAGCCATGTATTTATTTCTTGTTACACTCCTCCTTATATTAAGAACATAATATATTCTTAGGAGTCTTTATCTTTGCTATTATTATTATTATTTAAAAAGATCTAAAAGCCATAAAAACTGCAAATAGAACTGTTCAGAGCTGTTCCACTGAATCATTTATATTATAGAAATTTAAATACCTTTACTGTCAAACACACTACAGTACCCCCAAGCTCACTCTGATACCCATGATAATGCCTATACCTAAATGCTGAGAGATGTTGTCTTTGGCTCCCTCAGGAAAGCAGCAGTCACTCCTCTGGGAAGCACACGGCTTTGGTGCTTTGAGGGCTCTGCCTGGCTTATAAACCCTCAAGGACCAGATAAACCAGAGCTGTGGGAGTTTCTCAAATAGCTCCATCTCCACCCACAGTGGAAGCAACTTTCCAGGCATCCTAACAAAGTCTACTGGGGGGAGGGGGTGGCAGGAAATGTGTGTCAGCATATCGGGGAGTCACTCAGACCTGTACAGGGCATAGGATGCTGAGTCAGAGAAAAACCAGGTGAGCCAGGGCAATAACAGCCGCTGGGAAGAGGTTTGTCAACAGGACACAGCTAGTGATAAGGAGTTAGACTAAGATGCTCAAACAGGAGTCCCTGGAAACTTACTAGTAGAGAAGCTCTTTGATTTGCATTCTTATTATATGGGCATATAGTGCCTTCAATGTTTTTTGGTGTTTAATGGTGAAGAAGAAGAAGAAGAAGAAGAAGAAGAAGAAGAAGAAGAAGAAGACCAGAAGTTTTTTTATTAGGCATTTCAGGTATATTATTAGGTATATTATATTATATTATATTATATTATATTATATTATATTATATATAATATAATATAATATAATATAATTATATTATTATATTATATTATATTATATTATATTATATTATATTATAATTAGGTATATTATATTATATTTTATTAGGCATATGCCAAAAGAGAAGAAGAAACTTCTTATGTATGCTACAACTGCAGCTAGGAGAATGCTAGCCCAAAGACGGAAAAGTGATGAAATACCAAAGACCTATGGCAAGAAAAGCTGGTGGAATATGCTGAAATGGCGAAGCTAACTGAAAGACTCCGAGACAAAGACAACATAGAGTTTTAAAAAGACTGGGAACCATATATGATGTATCTACAGAGGCAATGTAAAGAAATGAACTCACTGGCAGGGTTTGAATAAACACTTACAATTAATAAAATAAATATAGAAATTAATGTTGTTGTTATTTAGTCGTTTAGTCGTGTCCGACTCTTCGTGACCCCATGGACCAGAGCACGCCAGGCACTCCTATCTTCCACTACCTCCCGCAGTTTGGTCAGACTCATGTTTGTAGCTTCGAGAACACTGTCCAACCATCTCATCCTCTGTCGTCCCCTTCTCCTTGTGCCCTCCATCTTTCCCAACATCAGGGTCTTCTCCAGGGAGTCTTCTCTTCTCATGAGGTGGCCAAAGTATTGGAGCCTCAGCTTCACGATCTGTCCTTCCAGTGAGCACTCAGGGCTGATTTCCTTCAGAATGGAGAGGTTTGATCTTCTTGCAGTTCATGGGACTCTCAAGAGTCTCCTCCAGCACCATAATTCAAAAGCATCAATTCTTCGGTGATCAGCCTTCTTTATGGTCCAGCTCTCACTTCCATACATCACTACTGGGAAAACCATGGCTTTAACTATACGGACCTTTGTTGGCAAGGTGATGTCTCTGCTTTTTAAGATGCTGTCTAGGTTTGCCATCGCCTTTCTCCCAAGGAGCAGGCGTCTTTTAATTTCGTGACTGCTGTCATCATCTGCAGTAATCAGGGAGCCCAAGAAAGTAAAATCTCTCACTGCCTCCATTTCTTCCCCTTCTATTTGCCAGGAGGTGAAGGGACCAGTGGCCATGATCTTCGTTTTTTGGATGTTGAGCTTCAGACCATATTTTGCGCTCTCCTCTTTCACCCTCAATAAAAGGTTCTTTAATTCTTCCTCACTTTCTGCCATCAAGGTTGTGTCATCTGCATATCTGAGGTTGTTGATATTTCTTCCGGCGATCTTAATTCCGGCTTGGGATTCATCCAGCCCAGCCTTTCGCATGATGAATTCTGCATATAAGTTGAATAGGCAGGGAGACAATATACAGCCTTGCCGTACTCCTTTCCCAATTTTGAACCAATCAGTTGTTCCATATCCAGTTCTAACTGTAGCTTCTTGTCCCACATAGAGATTTCTCAGGAGACAGATGAGGTGATCAGGCACTCCCATTTCTTTAAGAGAAATTACATAGAGGATGTAAAAACGAGAAGAGAATAATAATATTGATATAAAGAATTGAAAATGAAGATATACTATAGGAAGCAGGGGAAGTTAATATGTAAAAAAAACAAAACAAAAAAAAACCCAGAAAGGGAAGTTGAGGGAAGTTGGGGGGTTGGAATTGGAGAATTGTATTTCTTTTTTGTTATTTGATATGTATAATGTAAAAATTGTAAAACTCAATCAAAACAGAAGAAGAAGAAGAAGAACTGTAGGTTCTCTCCCCAAGGAGCTTACAGTTAAGAGCTGCCCCTGGCCCAAAACAGAAGTAGATCTGAAATTTCCAGAGAAACTAAATTGATAAGATTAGTGAAGAAGTGAAATATTGGGGGGAGGGAGGGGAAGAAGAAGAGGAGGAGGAGGAGTTTGGATTTGATATCCTGCTTTATCACTACCCAAAGGAGTCTCAAAGCGGCTAACATTCTCCTTTCTCTTCCTCCCCCACAACAAACACTCTGTGAGGTGAGTGAGGCTGAGAGACTTCAGAGAAGTGTGACTGGCCCAAGGTCACCCAGCAGTTGCATGTGATCATGGTATCTCCCCTGCCAGGTAAGTATCCCAGCAGCTGCATGTGGAGGAGCGGGGAAGCCAACCCAGTTCACCAGATTACAAATCCACCGCTCTTAACCACTACACCACACTGGCTTGATGTGTCTCAAAAGTGGCGAGTGTCAAATTTTCAATTTAGAAGCAAATGTTAAAGTTCCGCCCCTGTAAGCCGTCATTAGAAATGTCTGGGGGTCGTAGAAGGATTTTGCTAAGAGACTGATGAGATCATGTCATCGTCATGTCCAAAGCACTTTTTTGTGTGTGCTGGTGTGCAACGCCGGGCGTAAGGTTGTCTCCAGTTTAACTAGTGAAGGGAAAAACCCCGGTGATCCTTGCTGATTCATGCACGGTGTATTATGGCTCAGAATGGGGTTGCCCTGGCCAAATGCATGCCAAGATGAGCTCTACAACACCTTATGAGACAAACTAGATTGTGAATATTTGCATGGCAAATTTGTCGGCTTCGCTGTCAACATCATGCAGTTGACTAAGCAGATTGCTCCCAAAGTCCGCACTATTATGTCTCAGTCTCTTAATCCAAAGCAAATTTACCCAACGGGTCTCATGTCTAATTAAACATGCTTAGGTTGCATTGCACGGCCACTTTTCTACTTAAGGTTTACATTTTCATTTATATTAATGTCTGATGATTGCAATGAGGATTACAAAGCGAAGGAAATGCGTTTGTATTGCAAGTGGGCATCCCAGCCAATGCAGTTTTTTATCTTCGACTTACAGACAAACTGAAGCAAGAATGACTTTAAGCCTCACAAGTGAAAAACTCCCAAAGAGGCCACAGCAGCTTTGGGGCAGAGGTTTGTAATTCTCGCTAATGAGATACATTTTCCTTGCTCCTGAATGTCTGAAGAGTGTGAAGAAAACAGGGACGGGCCAAGTTACCATACGACTTTTAGAAGACTTCTGAAGGCAGCCCTGTATAGGGAAGATTTTAATGTTTAATGTTTTGTTATGTTTTTATATATGCTGGAAGACACCCATAGTGGCTGGGGCAACCCAGTCAGATGAGCGGGGTGCAAATAATAAAACTGTTGTTGCTGTTGTTATGCAGCTTGAGGTGAAAGAGTTTACTTATGCCACATTTATATACTGCTTGATTATCACAAAAATCTAAATGCAGTTCCCAAAAAGAACAAACCAATAAGAATATCAGTTAAAAGAACAGTTAAAAACAACAAGACTCAAAAACAATTAATGATAAACACATACAAACACATGGCAGCTTCCACATGCTCAGATAGGTTTGCCTAGACTAAATTGCTTTTAGCAGGTGTGGAAAGAATAATAATAATAATAATATTTTTATTATTTATAACCCGCCCATCTGGCTGGGTTTCCCCAGCCACTCTGAGTGGCTTAACAGTACAGTGGTACCTCGGGTTACATACGCTTCAGTTTAAAGACTCCGTTAACCCAGAAATATTGCTTCAGGTTAAGAACTTTGCTTCAGGATGAGAACGGAAATTGTGCTCTGGCAGCGTGGCAGCAGCAGGAGGCCCCATTAGCTAAAGTGGTGCTTCAGGTTAAGAACAGTTTCAGGTTAAGTACGGACCTCCGGAACGAATTAAGTACTTAACCCGAGGTACCACTGTATACATAAAACATAATGCCTGAAATCAATAGGCAGGGAGTTCCACTTCCTCTCTGTGCTCTCTATCTGCGTGGGTGCTGCCATTCTCTAGCAGACATTAGGCTGGCCCTCAGACCTCTCACCAAGTCTAAAATACCGGTAATCAACAAGAGGATCAAGAAGTTCATCTGCCATCAGTCTGATCACTATGATTCAGCGTAACTGGCACAAGCTCGCAGGTATTGACAACAGAGTCTGCAGAAGGTTCCAGGGCCAAATCTTGAGGCCCGACATTGGGCATGGCGGTAGTAAGAAGACAAAGCACATGCTGCCTTCAGGATTCAGAAAATTCTTTGTCCACGGCGCAGAGATTTCTCACAATGTTTCGTCCAAGAATTGGAAAGTCATTGTTAAAAGAGCAGCTCAGCTTGCTATCAAAATTACCCAGCCAACTGCCAGACTTCACAGTGAGGAGAACGAATAAAGAGTTGCTCTTGTACAACTGTATTTAATTAAATGTCAAAAAGTTTAAAAAAAATTAGGGAGTTCCCAGGTATGGGTGCTGCAACACTAAAAATAAACAAATCCATATTTAATAAGGTTAAAGTGGTCCGTCTCTCGCTGGTTCCACATGTAGAAACCAACTGGAGTGGAATCCTGTCAGTCTGCATTTCTTAGTACAGAAAGTATTGATCGGATGTGTAGAGATCTTTCCTATTCAGCTTTTTGTGCTCTATAGCTCCTTACTCCTCCTTACGACTAGCTGAAAGAGAATCTATTAGGCATAATAAGCAAATATGTAACATTTGTTTGTGTTATGTATTGGAGTTCTCACCCTGGCCACCGGGGGGGATTGTGTATGTAGTTTTCACTCAGGTCCACGTCAGTTAATTTAGGCGGGAAACCCTGGGCTGTTGTCGTTACAATGTTGACAGCCTATAAAAGTAGGCCGGCTGAGCTGTTTGCTGTTCAGTTCAGTTTACTCAGCTTACTTATAAAGAACTACAGTGGTACCTCGGGTTAAGTACTTAATTCGTTCCGGAGGTCTGTACTTAACCTGAAACTGTTCTTAACCTGAAGCACCACTTTAGCTAATGGGGCCTCCTGCTGCTGCCGCGCCGCCAGAGCACGATTTCTGTTCTCATCCTGAAGCAAAGTTCTTAACCTGAAGCACAATTTCTGGCTTAGCGGAATCTGTAACCTGAAGCATATGTAACCTGAGGTACCACTGTACTTGGAGAAATCTCTGTGTCGTCTGCTATGTCCACCCACTACCTAATAGTTTGTTCATAATTCGGAATGCCTTGCCACAGGCCACTGAAAATGTGGGGAAGAGCGAGTCTTTGTGTTGTGTATGCATCCTCACCTCTGCTTATAGCCTCAAATAAGATACGGTTCACATATTTTCAGGCTTTCCTATGAAAACCGCAAATGCTCTTTTGCTTTCTGAAATCTCACATTCTTGGGCTCACCCCAAGCGTTCCGGGACTGGTTGCCAGATGTTCTCCAGACTTTGACTTGATGACAACAATGGAGGCTGTGAGATCCCTGATCCGTAAGATCACTGAAGGCGGCGAACCAAAGCTAACAATGAATCATCTGATTATTTGGGTGCTGACTGTTGATTGTCCTGCAATAAAAGATTGGAGGAAGGTTTTCGTTTGCTTAGTGATGTCAGCAATTAGGCCACCGGTTTCATTATTACTGTTGAATGTACACTTTTTGCCAATGCTCAAAACTGTGCATGCGTACTCCGTTCCTGCACTCAATTCAAGGCGCTGATTACTTTTATTTGATTGATTTGTAAATTCATGTATAACCAGGGCTCTTTTTTTTCAGCCGGAACTTACCGGAACCCTACCCCACCCCCAAAAAAGCTTCCATCCAGGAGATTAAACATGGGATGAGGGCAAAGTTTCAATAGGATGATCAGATGTAAGGCTGGGCAGGGGTTTTGTTTTGTTTTTGTCTCTTTAAACATGCAGGTGGATTTCCTGGGATCTCCTCCCTCTCACCTCAGCCTCCCAGGAACTTTTTGAGTTTCCTTATTCCAAATGTAGATTGCCTAGGCCTCCCTGTGTTTGCTGATACAGAGGCCTAGGTGGGCCAATTCACTTACCTCTGGCTGGTCGCCATGGAGATGCTTCGGCTACCATGTTGGGTTGCCATGGAGCTCTGCATCCTGGGAACCAGCTGGTTCTGCTACCAATTGTAGGATGCTTAGAGAGATCTGGCGATGGGGATGGGATCCAAGCCCAGGCTGAGCTACTAGCAGAGCAGGGGATGAAGCTAGCCAGCATAATAGGGTGTAGGTATATTTGCCTTCTGAAGTTCCTTTATTAGTGAACTATTTGTAAACACAGCTTTTGGCTATCTTTCCCTCCTCTAAAATCTTATACAGTGGACGCTCGGGTTGCGAACGTGATCTGTGCGGGAGGCACATTCGCAACCCGCAGCGTTCGCAACCCATGACCCGCGCATCTGCGCACACGCGGGTCACAATTCAGCACTTCTGCGCACGCTCAAAGCATGATTTAGCGCTTCTGTGCATGAGCAAGCGCCGAAACCCAGAAGTAACCCGTTCCGGTACTTCCGGGTTTGGCGCAGTGCGCATCCCAAAATCGCACAACCTGAAGCATCTGTAACCCAAGGTATGACTGTACTGTGGTTTTGTTTTCAGAAAAGAAGAAATGGCTCACTTGATAGCGTTAATGGTCCATTTGTTGCTGTTACTGACGGTTCTAATGGTGTTTTTTTCCAGATTGTAATAATGAAGAAATAAAGTTGGTTTCTTCGATGATCCCCAGCACTATACTTTGATGGTATACTGGCTACTCCTTTCACCATCTAGAAGAGCTTATCTCATGGGTGCACATAAGAAAATAGAGTATAATTTAAAAAAAATAAATCAGCCCTAATTTTGAAATGCAATGCAGTGCAATGAAATTTCATAACTCTTGGAATATCAGATGTGGATAACTGATCATCAAATATTTGCAGAATATCCAGAGACTATTTGCAAATACTAGGAATGACCATTGGTTGTGTGCAGCCTGATTAACATAGTGAATTTGGCTGATTCATGACAGATTGCTCAAATTCCTCCTGAATTGGACTGCATCATTAACAAGTATGTCAAGGTGAATTAGGCAGTTCCCAGCGTTTGTGTAGCTCCATTGCCTTGTTTTCCCCCTAAAAGTTCAACACACAACCTCCCCCATCTCCCCTTCTTTCCTGAGAAATGAAAGCAAGCCCACGGGAGAAATTCCCAGATTTGAAGAGGGGAGAGGATGGGGAGATCTTTTATTTCAACATGCAGCTTTTGATGCAGCTTAGGTCCAGGCTATTTTGGAATTTGAGTGACAACTAAGAAAAGAAGATAATTTGAGCGCACAAAATGTGTTCTTATGAGACACTCAACTTTGATAGTGCTGGGCATCACCTGTTCCAAGAAGTGGGAATTGTACAAGAAGCTCCCCATAAAATATTTTAACATGAACTGCATTTTCTCTGCTCTAATGCACAATTTATGAATATGATCGTTTGTGCATACATTTCCAGCTTCAAAGCACCAAACCGTCTTTGACTCTAAAACCTGAATTTGCTGGCATGCACGGTGCACCTACAAAATAGTGACAGTCTGGAAACCCATAATTTCACACAAGAGAAAAGTCTGATTTGCTTCTGCAACCAAGAGGGAAATGGTTATATTTGTGAGTGTCTACTGCCCTCTAGTGGAGAGTATCATATCTACTGGTTGTGTGTCTCTCCATTGCCACCTCCTGGAGAAAATAAAACAGAGACTAGACTTGTTTTTAAGGCAGTTCAAGACCAAGGCACATTGATATGAATGTGTGAACAGCATTATTATACCCATGTGCAGATGAGAAGGGGGATGTTAAAAGACAGGAACATAGGGAGCAGCCTTACAGTCAACGAAACCATTGTTCAGCTATAGATGGGCCCCAGTATTGTCTAGGTCATTTTAGGAATGGAAAGCTCTGCAAATCTTGGTTCCCTCCATTTCTCATTTTTCCAATCTTAAAATCAGTTCCCCACATTTGAGTAGTATTTATTTATTTATTTTTTAAAAAATATCCTCTTGAGAACTCCTTAGCATTTTAGTGCAATCTTCTCCCAATGCACATAGCTTTGTATGCAGTTTTGACTAATATATACATTTTTGCCACCAGTTTCCCCTTATATGATGCATCTGTTAAGTTGTGGGTGAACATATCAGATGATACAGCTATTCTTCAAACAGCTCTTGTTTATTCACAGGCCAGAACTGAATTGAACTGAAGGGTTCAGCCAGCCTGCTTATATAGAGCTCCACTACAACGCAACAGTAACCACTTTCTGTAACTATCCAATCACTGAATGTCACTTTCAATCCCTTATTTGCATATGTGGACCTGAGTGAAAACTATCTACAGTATTCCCCCGCTGGCCCAGGGTGAGAACTTCAGTACATAACAGCATCTATTTAAGTCATTTTCACTTATATCTTCCTTTTTAAGCACAGTTTCCCCTGATACGTGCATTCTTGTAAACACTGGCTGGTTGGAGAAGTGCATCGCAAAATGCAGCTAAGTGCGAATTCTGAAAGACCAGCTGTGTTTCAATTTGCATACTGTTTCCAAATGTGTGGATTTGATAGCTTCTGCTTAAAATATGTGCTGAATTGAATCCCACCCACCCCCATCCCTAGTCATTGGTCTTTCACGGGTGGCCCAGTGAGACCCACAACTGGGGTGGGTCATAACAGCTGCACTACAACCATACAGATATATGGTAAAAAAAATTAAAAGATATGGGTCCCTGCATGCATGTTTGGGTTACAAGTTAGTCCGCAGTCTAAAAAGATTGAAAATTGCTGTGCTGAGGGAAGCTGTAGCCTTCCTGATGTTGCTGGACTCTAACTATACCTGATAATATGCTGGCTGGAGTTCATGGGAGTTAGTTTGTCTATTAATCAGAATAGTATCTGAAGTATCTGGAAAAGTGTGCATGCACACCACACAAAAGCTCATACCTAAAACTACTCAGTTGGTCTCTAAGGTGCTACATTATAATTTTAAAACTCTTTTGGAAGAATTCTTTTAAAGACTTTCTTAGATCATATAACTTTTTTGAAGACTTGATTCTTTTGTGGGAGTTTTAAGGTTTTTAAGAAGAGTCTTTTTAACTATCTTCTAAAAGAATTGCTTTAATTTATTTCGACTATGGCAGACCAACACGGCTACCTACTTGAATCAGAGACTGGTTAATAATAATAATAATAATAATAATAATAATAATAATAATAATTGTTGTTGTTGTTTAGTCGTTTAGTCGTGTCCGACTCTTTGTGACCCCATGGACCAGAGCACGCCAGGCACTTCTGTCTTCCACTGCCTCCCGCAGTTTGGTCAAACTCATGCTGGTAGCTTCGAGAACACTATCCAACCATAATAATAATAATAATAATAATAATAATAATAATTTATTATTTAGAGCCCTCCCATCTGGCTGGGTTTCCCCAGCCACTCTGGGCGGCTCCGAACAAAATATCAAAAACACGATAAAACATCAAACATTAAAAACTTCCCTAAACAGGGCTGCCTTCAGATGTCTTCTAAAAGTCGGGTGGTTGTTTATTTCCTTGACATCTGTTGAGAGAGCATTCCACAGGGCAGGCGCCACCACCAAGAAGGCCCTCTGCCTGGTTCCCTGTAACCTCACTTTACAGGGAACTTCACCTGGTTCCCTGTAACCTCGCAGTGAGGGAACTGACAGAAGGCCCTCGGCACTGGGCCTCAGTGTCCGGGCTGAGGTTGGTGTGGTGGTTCCCCCTTTTGCTCCACTGTGTCACCCCATCATCTTTCTCTTCAGGTCTTCTTGGCGAGTTTGCCACAGACACCTGGCTGGCTACTGTGAGAACAGAATGCTGGACTAGATGAGCCATTGGCCTGATCCGGCATATTAGTGATTCCACTCAGTGAGTGACCGGATCTGGCTGTGCTCTGATGTCCATCCATCCCATCTTCGTCACCAGTATTAAATAGTGGGTGGACATATCAGACGACACAGAGATGTCTCCAAGTAGTTCTTTATAAGTAAGCTGGAACTGAACTGAGCTGAACAGCTCAGCCGGCCTGCTTTTATAGGCAGCCAGCTGTCAACATTGTAACAACACCACCCCAGGGTTTCCCGCCTAAATTAACTGACGTGGACCTGAGTGAAAACTATATACACAATACCCCTGGTGGCCAGGGTTAGAACTTCAATATATAACATGGCAGGGTTCATTTTATGTTCTCAGAGTGTCTGGAACATGACAGGGATGAATGTGTACAGTTCCAATTCCACATATAGTTTACCATGGGAGTACAATTATTTGGTAGCACCAGGGGCCACCAATCTAGAGGTACCCACAGGCCGAGGGGATAATAAGGATGAGGAACTCCCAAGAAACACGTGGCCAGCAATGTAATGCTGCCAATTCCAAGATGGCTGCCCTTATTATGCAAGGATCTACTCTGAGTGGTTCTCTTCTGAGTGAAGGCTGCTCTCCTATGGTCACAGTACATTGTGTATCCCTCACACGTCGGCTGAGTGAGATCTAACTGCTCAGCCCCACTCCCTTACCTCAGAGAGCATCAGTAGAGGCTTTTGCCTAGCAGGCAGACGGCTAAAAGGGCAGTACTGAGAAAATACAACAGTATGGGTTGCAGTGGTAACTGGTACCCATTAGGACCGGTATAGTGAAAGGCAGGGAGCCCCCCCCACACACACACACTGTCAGGGGTTCAGGGAGAGAGGCACAGGGTAGGCAGGAGATGGAGAGCGATGGGGATGAATTCCAAGCCAGCGAGGAAGAGGATGACAATGACTCAAGAGATTCCATGAGTCTTTCCAGCGAATCAGAGGATTCCCAGAAGGGGCGCCGGTGGTCAAGGCCAGGGGAGCCCCAGGGGGGAGGTGTCAGGAGCAGGGGGCCAGCGGAGGATCCCAAAGTGGCAGCTGGGCGTCAGGACCAGCCTCCCCACCAGAGTGCAGCGAAGGGGGTGGAGTTTCCAGTGTGTCAGGGGAAGCAGCTCCGGCAGCAGAGAAAGGAGGGAGGTCAGAGCAAGCCGCCCTCCCGGAAGGGGAGCAGTGAAGGGAGCAGTGTAACTGTCAAAAGGAAAGTTAGAGGTTTGGCCCGCGCGCCAAGTTCAAATGTAGAGGCGCGCGGAAGTACAGGGAGCCCGGAGGAGGGGCCAGGTCCCAAAGCCCGCAGGAGGGGGGAGAGCAGTCTGATTCCGCGTCAGAGGAATCCAGGAGGGGCGAAACCCCAGCGGGCAGAAGGACCCTGCGGAAAAGGAAGGAGAGAAAGAGGTGGAGCAGCGCAAGCCTCTTAAATTGGTGTAGGGGAGGGACGGATTCAGAGAGGACTTCAGCGGTCTAAGCGTAGCAGACGTAAGGCTGCGCGCCTAGGATGTCAAGCAAACAATGAACTGCAATAAACACTTTTGTATATAAGAAGACATAGGCGTTGGTCTTTTGTGAGCTGAGACTTGAGGCAGCCTTGACACACACCTTTTAACATATGTGGTGGACCTTTAAGGCAATACAAACTTATTGGGAGATAAATTTAAAAAAATAAAAAACTGTCCAGTAACACCTTTTGTTGTTGTTTAGTTGTTTAGTCGTGTCTGAATCTTCGTGACCCCATAGACCAGAGCACGCCAGGCACTCCTGTCTTCCACGGCCTCCCGCAGTTTGGTCAAACTCATGCTGGTAGCTTCGAGAACACTGTCCAACCATCTCGTCCTCTGCCATCCCCTTCTCCTTGTGCCCTCCATCTTTCCCAACATCAGGGTCTTTTCCAGGGAGTCTTCTCTTCTCATGAGGTGGCCAAAGTATTGGCGCCTCAGCTTCAGGCCCTGTCCTTCCAGTGAGCACTCAGGGCTAATATCCTTAAGAATGGAGAGGTTGGATCTTCTTGCAGTCCATGGGACTCTCAAGAGTCTCCTCCAGCACCATAATTCAAAAGCATCAATTCTTCGGCGATCAGCCTTCTTGGTCTCTAAGGTGCTACTGGACAATTTTTTAATTTTTTAATTTATTTTGACTGTGTCAGACCAATATGGCTACCTACTTGAATACTGGGAGATGATATATAATGAGCTTTAAAAAACGTTCAAAATACTTTTGTTAAGAAACCAGAATCCATTTTTATTAGGAATTTTAGGTGCTGAGGTACCAAGGGAGTACAAAAGACTATTCATGTATGCGACGATGGCCAGGATGCTCTTAGCCCAAAGATGGAAGGAAGACACAACACCTACAAGAGAAGATTGGACAGCAAAATTGATGGACTATGCTGAGATGGCCAAAATGACTGGAAAAATCAGGAATCAGGACAATAAAAACTTTAATAAGGATTGGGGGAAATCTGTAATATATTTGACAGAGCACTGCAAACAGTTAAAAACATTGGCAGGATTGAAATAACACTTGCAATGTGAAAATGACTATAGGAGAAAATAGAGTTTTATGGATAAATGGAGGATAACATGATATGCAGTGAAAATGGTTATTAGTGGACTCCGCAAATAGGGAGGATGGAAGTCCGAGAATTCGGAGAATTCTATATCTTTTGATTTTATTTTTTTCTGTGAATGTAAAACCAAATTGTAAAACCAATAAAAATTATTATTTTTAAAAAGACAGGGAGCCCCCAGTAGGGGGAGCCAGAGCCCAGGACAGGCAGAGTTTGATGCCCATCTTCTTCCCTGCAGAATTCTGCAAGGGCGGCACTGAGACTTAAGGAGGATAAGGAAGCAGATAGGCCATGCCAGGAAGGCAGGCCAGTGGGAGGTACCGTATTTTTCGCTCTATTGGACGCACCGGACCATAGGACGCACCGGACCATAGGAGGGGGAGAATGGGGGGGTATTGTTCTCCCCCTCAAAAACAAGGTGCCTTCAAGGTGCGTTCAAGAGCAGGTCGGGGAAGAGCGCAAAGGCTGCGTGCAGCCTTGCCGCTGCTCCCCGAACTTGTGGGGCTGGCGGTGGGGGGAAGCGCTGCTTTCCCCCACCACCAGCCTCAAAGATCCCTGAAGCCTTTGGAGTGCAGCTGCACTCCAAAGGCTTGAGGCTTCAGGGGCATCCTTTGTAGCCTCCATAGGGCGGCAGGGTGCCTTCACCCCGCCGCCCTGCGGAGGGTTTGCGCAGCCATCCCGAAGCTGGAACAGCGAGACGGAGGGCTGTGCAGCGCCCCGTCTCACTGTTTTGGCTTCGGGGACAGCAGGCTGCTATCCGCAAGCCTTGGGAGCCCAGCGGGAATTCACGCCGGGCTCCGCAGGCTTGCGGAGAGCTGCCCAAAGCCCGGGGTGCACAGCAGTGCGCTCCCCGGGCTTCAGGCTGCAGGCCGCTGTCCGCAAGCCTGTGGAGCCTGGCAGGAACTCCTGCAGGGCTCCGCAGGCTTGCGGAGAGCTGCCCGAAGCCCAGGGTGAACAGCGCCGCGCTCCCCGGGCTTCGGGCTGCAGGCAGCTATCTGCAAGCCTGCAGAGCCCAGCGGGAGTTCCCGCCGGGATCCGCAGGGTTGTGGATAGCTTCCTTAAGCCTGGAACGCGAGAGGGGTCGGTGCGCACCGCCCCCTCTCGCTCTCCAGGCTTCAGCGAAAGCCTACATTCGCCCCATAGGACACACACACTTTTCCCCTTCATTTTTGGAGGGGGAAAAGTGTGTCCTATAGAGCGAACAATACGGTACATGAAGGCAGACAGAGGTTGATGGGGGCAGGGCCCCATTCGCTCCAGTGGACCAGCCTCCATTGTCAAAATGCCACCATTTATGCCACCACTAATTTAGCCAGCTAGCCCTGGTGATCATCTAATGTTTATTGGATGGATTTTCCCCCTAAATTGATTTTTGAATTCTGAATTTATTGTTATTCACGTTTTATACTGTATTTTATGCTGTTTTTTGTTGCATCAAGTAAGTGTTTTAAATTTGTTGTTAGCCGCTCTGAGCCTGGTTTTCTGAATCAGGAAGGGTGGGGTATAAATAAAAAATTATTATTATTATTATTATGCACTTACAGTCTTCAAGCAGGTTATGGTTTCTACACATAAGCAAAATGCATTCCACAACTAGGTGCTGCTTATGTCATATATATATGTAATGTTCTGATAATCTTAAATATAACTCTGGAAGCTTTGCTCGAGAAATGGATGTGTTTTAAGATGAGGAGAGAAGGAAAACTGCAAGCACTCCCTTATTGAACCAAGGTCTAGCTTCTGTGGTAACGTTTCTAGATCCACCTCCCTTACTTCTTGCTGTGAGCCAATTCCTGTTGAATCTCATCCCATTCTCTCCACATGCGTGCGCGCGCGCACACACACACACACACACACACACACCCAACACCTCCTACACCTTGCTTAGCACTCCAGAGGCTCATCGCCTGGCACCAGTTAGATGGTGGTTTGACTTAAGTCTCCCAGGATACCTTAAGAATCACCTGATTCCTTACGCCCTTGCCCGATCTTGACATCTTCAGAGGAGCCCCTTGTTAGTGGTACCCCACGGCTCAGACATTCATGGCTTGTATCCACCAAGAGCCATGTCTGTGTTCAATATTCTGTGGAACTTCCTTCCCAGTTGAGGACAGACTTGGTGAACTTCCAGCACTTGGGGAAGATTTTTTAAATTTTCATTTCAGCAGTCATTTTCCGTAAGGTTCCCCCCGTCCCCGATTTCCTGAGTATATTTTAACTGATTTTATTATTATATTGCATCCCTATTGTGCACTGTTTTATACAGTAAGATAAGGTACGCTAGTGACCAAAATTGTGGAAACCTTTTGGGAAAAGTGTATTTCTGAGGTTTGATGGCTCATAACACCACTTTTTTTTGGAGTAATACCATATATTGTGTATGGTATTGGAGTAATACCATATATATTTTTGGAGTAATACCATATATATGCAAAGATAATTTAATGAAGAATTTAATGCAATAAAGTTTGTTCCATTATCTGTATTCTATCAAAAGATATAGCCAAGCAACCAGAAAAAGGAAGCACAACTTGCTTAGGTTGATATGCAATAGCTTTCCTTCATTTGAATGTAGCCAATGAGGATGGGCGTTTAGAGAGCCAATCAGGTGTTATGAGCCATCAAACCTCAGAAATACACTTTTCCCAAAAAGTTTCCACAATTTTGGCCGCTAGTGTATATAAAATAAATAAATAAAATAGTGAGGTCATGACCAAGGTGAGATTTGAATCTGGGACATTTGTCCCACAAACACACACACATACCCTGCAACTTTTCTCCAATGTAAATAGGGATGTCTTCTTGTTGTTGCTGTTGTATTACTACTTATACCCCGTCCATCTGACTGGGTTCCTCCAGCCACTCTATAAAGGGCTGCCTTCGGATGGCTTGGGGGTCAGATAACTCTACACCCTCCAACATTTCTCCAATGAAAATAGGGACATCCTATGGAAAAGCGGGACATTCTGGGAGCAAATCAGAAACTGGGACAGCTTCTGTAAATCTGGGACTGTCCCTGGAAAACAGGGAGACTTGGCAGATCTGCGGACACACGTGACAAAAGAACCTATGATGTTGTCTCTCTTATTCTCCTCCCCATTTATTTCGCCCTCTCTATCCCACCACAGTACCCACAAATCCCAGTGGTAATTGTTCTTGTCTCTTGAACCTTGACTACAGATTCAGGCTCCACGCAGGTACTAGTAACCAAACAGGTTTATTAAGCAAGGTGATATACAGCTTTTTGGCAGTGCTCTTTATACAAGCCTGCAGCAGATTCCTAGCTTAATGAAGATGGGGGAGAATCTGGAGGCTGGGCTGTATTTAAGGAAACAAAGCAGAGTTGGTTCACTATGCCCAAATACAGTTAGGGATAGATAAGTCTGCCCACTAAGATAAGGCAGCATTTCTGTTCACGCGCAGATTTGGGATGTGCAAATTAGGCAGGCTCCAATTCAAATGCAAACCAAATTGAATTTCTCCTCCGATCCCTAAGTACAACACACCTTTGTGTAGCTCTTGGGTAGATGCAGTATTAAATTGCCAAATGAAAAACGGTGTGTGTTTAAAAGCGTATATTGTGCTTACTTTTTATACTTTGTTAATAATAAGAAATAGAGGTGATCTCAAGGAGAAAGAGGAGGTTGGAGGAATGAGACTCCCGACCAGCCTTCCTTTTTCATTTTCTCATTCTCCAAAAAGGTGAGGACTGCTTGGCTGTGCCTGCTTAATAAAATCTCTCTTCTGAGTCTGGGACTTCTGGGAGAGAAGGCTGGCTTGTCTGAGGAGGTTCAGGTATGGTTGGTTGGGCAGTGGAGGCTGATGCTTCTGGCAGAGATGGAGAGGAAAGGCCTTCAGATCCAGTGGGCTGGGGAGAGGCGGGGGATATTTGCAGGGCTGGCTGTGGAGAAGTAGGCAGATAAGATCTCCTGCCAGTTGGCTTGGGATCCTCCAGCAGTTTCTTCAGGTCAGGAAACCAAGAAAAGAAGTCATCCGGTGAGGGAGCCTCAGAATTTTCTGGCGTGCTAGAAAACGCTTTCAGCAAGGGCCCCAAGATTTTGGGCAGGTCGGTAAACAAAAAGGAATCCTCGTCGACCGGCTTCCCTTCTTCAGCTGCCTCCTCCTCTTCAGCGGCTCTCTTGGCAACCAGCCTAATGAAGTTAAGAGCGTCGTCGTCACTCGACATCATTTCCTCCGCCTCTTCCTCTTCCAGCTCCTCAGCAGCTCTCTTGGCAATGAGACTGATAAAGTTAAGGGCATCATCGAGGTCAGTTGGGTCTACTACCCCTTCCAAAATGTTGGTTTCCGCTCGCCTGTTCTCCTTTGGGGACACTTCCACGTTACTCGCTCCCTCCTCGTTGGCGTCTTCTTTCATGGTGTCTTTTGGGGACTCGGTTGTGCCTACTTTGTCAAGTGAAACGGTCCCATCGTATTCCAGGGAGTCGTCACGGTCGGCCTCGTAATAATCCGTTTTAGGCTCATTGTCATCAAGCTCGTTTTCATCCAGGGTCTCCTCCTTCTCAAGGGTACCGGCCACTGATGGATTAGCCACGCCGAGGGATACAGGAGCGCTTGTTGCAGCAGTGCTTCGAAGGCTCATACATGTCACACCTGGGAAAGGACCACAAAGGGGAGAGATTGTGAAACGGTGAGCCTATAAACTGAGACACCCATGCCACATGCCCAAGCCCAATTTGTACATTACGCAGGTTTTTTAGGGACATATGAGGAAACACCATTAGCCAAAGAACAAGCAAGCAGTATACTCCCCAGAGATCTGCTCTGTACCACGTGATTTCTCTGAATATGCAGGTTCCTTTCCTCTTGCTTCATCTAAGGTGTTGCTCCTGTTGCTGCCTCAGGCAGCAGCCCACACACCAGTGACTCCCAAGGGATTGAGAGTTTAAGTGCAGGCCTCACCCTATTTGTATGGCAAAGGACAGGTGACAATGTTTCCTTATCCATCTATCTTCGTATCAGTCCTGTGATCAGGTGTTGTTCCCATTTAACTCCTAAACAGATTCCTGTGTTGCAGTATAGACCAGCTGAACAAAATAACGCAACACGATGGCCAATAACAATGGCACTAAACACTATTTATAAAGGTAAAGGGACCCCTGACCACTAGGTCCAGTCGTGGTCGACTCTGGGGTTACGGAGCTCATCTCGCTTTATTGGCCGAGGGAGCCGGCGTACAGCTTCCGGGTCATGTGGCCAGCATGACGAAGCCGCTTCTGGCGAACCAGAGCAGCGCACGGAAACGCCGTTTACCTTCCTGCCGGAGCGGTACCTATTTATCTACTTGCACTTTGACGTGCTTTCGAACTGCTAGGTTGGCAGGAGCTGGGACCGAGCAACGGGAGCTCACCCCCTCGCGGGGATTCAAAGCGCAGACCTTCCGATCGGCAAGCCCAAGCAGCACAGTGGTTTAACCCACGGCGCCACCCATGTCCCAAAAAAACACTGTTTATAGACTAATACAAATGATCAGAAATTGCAACCAAAGTCTCTAACTCTTCTTCACCACTCACGGTGGAATAATTCAGAAGTTCGATAAATACAGAATCTGTCAACAAATATCACCGGAACAGAGTTCCCGGATAACCAATCTGTTTCATTCAATGCTTCAGCCATTCTTGATCAATTCTTCATCAGCCAGACTTGTAACTACAGTATCATATGACCACTGATCCAGAGCATATTTTCTACAGTGTTTATATTTACTTACATGTAAGATTGGCTTGTTAAGAAATTGAACTGCATCCTTCTCATATTAATTCTTACAAGTCTGGCAGATGAATAATTGATCAAGACTGGCTGATGAAGCATTGAACGAAACAGATTGGTTATCCGGGAACTCTGTTCCGGTGATATTTGGTGACAGATTATGTATTTATCGAACTTTTGAATTATTCCACCGCAACTGGTGAAGAAGATTTAGAGACTTTGGTTGCAATTTCTGATCATTTGTATTAGTCTATAAATAGTGTTTAGTGCCATTGTTATTGGCCATCATGTTGTGTTATTTTGTTCAGTTCCCATTTAACTGGCTGGACCACATACCAAGTCAGGCCACTGGTCCATCTCAGGTGTTCTGATATGGGGCTTTCGTGGTCCTACCTAGAGATGCTAAGGGATGAAGCTGGGGCTGTCTGCATGCAAAGCAGATGTTCTACACTGAGCTATCATCCTTCCAAAATGAAACAGGCCTGCAAGTCTTACATGCCCATTCAGTAAATCTATAGCAGAACTGGATTTGAATTGTGCTGTCTCTAAGTCCAAGCACAGTTATACTGTGCATGAGTCCTTCTCATTGACTGATTTCTACATCCAGGAATATTTCGGGCTGTTTAGGAAAATAAACAGGGTTAAAAAGAACTTCCCAGTATGCTAAATCAAGTTGCCGTTGGCACTGTTTCCTCTGAGTAACAGCACTGCATAATCCCAGTGAAGTGGCTCTTAAGTGTTTCGCAGGTAGAAAATCAACAGGTACAGTTGCACCTCTTTGCCGGGAAAGCGACATCTGCTCAATATCTGCCTAAAATGTGGATACTAAAGGCACAGCTACTAGCAAAATCAGGCAGAAATTCAACCAGCTGAGAATTTCCCCATTCTCTCTCAGTGGTGAAGTTGAAGCTTAACCTGTTGGATTGGCCTGGCCCCAAGAGATTAAATGCACAGAAGCCCCTCCCAAAAATCAAGGTGACTTCTGACTTATCTTTAAATGGTAAGTGAGTTATTTGTTTATTTAAATATTTTACGTATCACACTTTCCTAATAATACCACACCATATAGAACTACAGTACAATAATAACAAAATCATCAATAAATGCTGGTTGGTAATACAAAAGCCATGACTGAACAACACCATTTGTTGTTTATTAAAGCTTTTTTATTCGTAGCTTTATAACAAAAGACAAAACACACCCACCCACAAAACAGAACAAACCAAAATCCACAACTAAGAAATAGCAGTACTGTATAAACGAGCTTCTTTACATTAAGATAGGTCTGCCATATGTCCGGGTTCTCCCAGACACATACGGGATTTTCACTGAATTGGTAAAATGCCCGGGAAAACCCGGACGTATGACAAGTAGGGCAGTATACTTTTAAGAGTCATGTAAACAGAGGCAAGTATAATTTCTGCCAAACTTCTACTGTCAAGGAGTTAACGCAGGGCAGCAGAGCTCGCCTTGGCAAAGACGCAGACCCCTCATAAAGGCCAGCCAAACCTCTTATTTATTCGGGTCTTAATAGAAGGAAGCACAGCCGTCAATAATTTTAATAGTATGTCTCAAAACGATCCAGCTCCACCCTGAAACCAATTAAATTGTTTGTCACCTTCAGCACACCTTTGCTGGAATGCAGAATTCATAGCTGAGGGATGAAAGCTGCTATTGCTTCAGATAGAAGGATTGGGGGGACCTGGAGTCCTCCAGGTGTGGCTAGACTCCAACTCCCATCAGCCCTAGAGCCATCATGGTCAATGGTTAGCGATGATGAGAGTTTACTTTATTTGTCCCCTGAAAATTTTCAATATATATATATATATATACACAATGGGATGAGGGGGGTTTGAGAGCAACAGCACCTAGAGGTTCTCTGCTCATGAACTACAACATGCAAGAAAATAAGATGATTCGGAATGGGAGGCTTGCTTTATTATTTTTAATAATTCTTTTAATTCTTTAAAAAGATAATTTTGAAATGCTTGTTGAATAAATTTATACCCCATCTTCCCTCGCAAAGGAGCCCAAGGCAGAAAACAGAGGATAAAGGAACCTAAATCCTGCCTTGTATTATACAACCTTCTCATCCAAGCAAAAATTAGCATATATTGAACCAGGTTGCAAGGGTTTAGGAGCATGTGAGAATCCAGTTGCCCCAGAGACCCCTCTGCAATAAGGATAGATTGATCAGCCTGCTTCAAGTCTGTGTCTGCTTCATGTGTGTTTCTTCAAAAGTCTGCTCCAATCAATTCCCACTGTAATCTCACATTTTAAAATCTCCACAAAAATGCATTTTTAAAGATATTATCAAAATTGTACGTTGATACATATTTATTCCCAATACATGCATTTTTAAACATATTTTTATCCCGAACGACACATTTTAATGTGTTCCCATGCATTCCTTAAGCTGAGAACTGAACTACGATATTCAGAGAACGGCAGAATTCAAAGGATAAGTACATACATTCCTATCCGTGCACGAGTTCCTGGAAGCGCAGGTCAAGTCGGTTTGCATCATAACACGAGGAAATCAAGTTTCTCAAGCCCCCTACCTTGAAATCACTCTCACGGAGTTCAAGCCGTACGTGCCTATTTCTCGCAAGGGTCAAGCTCTGACAGCGGGAGTTCTGGAGCTCTGCAGAAACAGCCAAAATTCCACACAGTGTGGAATGACCAGCACTCTGCGATGTCGTCCGAAAACGTCCCCTCCAATCCCTGGGGCCATTTTGAACTTGAAAGTACCTAGATCACTTTGGAGAGAGTCTTTGCTCCAATCCCAGGCCTAGATGTGAATCAAGGGTTACTCTGCTTAAACTAAGCTTTGGTGTGCATCCCCCTACCTTTCAACATTGGGCCCAGGATGCCTTAAGGACAGCCCTCCTTGGGCAAAAGATTCCAGCTTTGCAGCCCTTCCAACTCTACAATTCTAGGGCTAGGTCTATGCCTTTCCCACAAATGTCTTAAGGCGATGAGTTAGATCATAACTGGGGAACACTACTGCTGGTCTTCCATGGACCAGAAACACAACTCACAAAATAGGCCCAACTTTTTGAAACTCCTTCCCATGAGAAACCAGACAGACGCCGTCCCTGCTAAGTTTCAGGCCTTGCTAGGTTAAACAGACTTTGTTTCAGGAGGCCTCTGCGCTATGAACATTGTTCTAATGTTTTCTATTTTCTGATGTTTTTGATTTTGTATCTTTTATGTTTTTTGTGTTGTTGTTTTTTGTAAAGGATATAGCTTTCTTAAATAAATACATCAGTGGGCTGTTGGACACACACTCTGCACACTGCACTGGTTCCCGGTGGAGTACAGGATCAGGTTTAAGGTGCTGGTTTTAACCTTTAAAGCCCTATATGGCCTAGGACCCTCGTACCTACGGGACCGCCTCGTACCTACGGGACTGCCTCCCCACGGAGGACCTTACGGTCTTCAAATAAAAACATCTTGGAGATCCCGGGCCACAGGAGGTTAGGCTGGCCTCAACCAGAGCCAGGGCTTTTTCGTCCGTGGCCCTGATCTGGTGGAACGCTCTGTCACAAGAGACTAGGGCCCTGCGGGACTTGACATCTTTCCACAGGGCCTGCAAGACAGAGCTGTTCCACCAGGCCTTTGGCCAAGGCACAGTCTTGTTGTGGTCCCAGAATGCTTCATATCAGAATTGCCACAAGACAGAACAGTGGGAAGGATGGGTGAATGCCTTGCCAACCTGTCGTCTCCCATCCAGGAGGACTGTCCCTCTCGCCCACATCACTGTTTAAATTCAAATTAAGGGCTCCTGATCATAACAGCAGAAGAAGAAACTGAACCGAGTTCAGTAAAACCGTGGGCCAACGCTTACTTGGAATGCTTCAGAACCAGGGAGGCAGGAGCATTTCATTCTTCAGGAATCTTGATGTGAATGAACTTGATCCGCAACTCCCAGACTAACGTGAACATTGGAACACAGACACGATTTGGACTTTTCCCTTCTCTGTATTTTGCAGCACAGTTCTGGGCTTTTAGAACTGCGTACCCACTGAGAAAATGCTTTCAAAAATACAGTGGAAACTCAGTTTTCAAACATAATCCGTTCCGGAAGACCGTTTGACTTCCAAAACGTTTGAAAACTGAGGGTCGATGGGCAATCGGCAAAATCCATTGGGGGGGGAAATGGAAGAACACGCAGAGGAAGCCATTCTACAGTGGTACCTCGGGTTAAGTACTTAATTTGTGCAGGAGGTCCGTTCTTAACCTGAAACTGTTCTTAACCTGAAGCACCACTTTAGCTAATGGTGCCTCCCGCTGCTGCCGCACCGCCGGAGCACAATTTCTGTTCTCATCCTGAAGCAAAGTTCTTAACCCGAGGGACTATTTCTGGGTTAGCGGAGTCTGTAACCTGAAGCGTATGTAACCTGAAGCGTATGTAACCCAAGGTACCACTGTACTTCCGAGGTGCGTTCGAAAATGGAAGCAATTATTTCTGGGTTTACGGCATTCAGCTTCTAAATCGTTCAGCTTCCGAGACTCTCAAAAACCGAGGTTCCACTGTAGATATTTAAAATTCAATTTTTCAGACAGACTGTAGATTAAGGTGAAAAAGGAAAGGGGTCCGAATGGACTAATGAATGAACACATACCCAACCAACAAAGACAGGAAACAGAATGATCCGTTGATCCTTATTGCGTTTTTGTGAGTTTCCCACAGGCATCTGGCTGGTCACCGTGAGAACAGGATCCTGGCCTGACCTAGCTCTTATCCTTGATCACAACATAGGCTGAATGCCAGCGTCTGAGCATCCCACAGAGTGTTGGCAGCACCCATGTACCAAATGGGTAGTGCTCATAAAGACCCATAGCGAATGGTTCTTGAAGGAGGATTTGATAGCGTTTGAACATGGGTTACTAACATCTTGGCAGGCATTAAACTCGTTAAATGTCTTCAGCTTGGCCGCTCTCTTTCAAACTCGCCAACTTCAAAGGGGTAATTATGGGTTAGAAATAGAGATGGATGATACCTTGGGCACACTCAAGAAGCAATCTAGTTTCACCAGTCTAACAAACTCGCCTAGTACTTCTCCTCCTTTTTGGGGACAGAAACTCTGTAGGCCCAGAGCCATGCACGATATGCCAACTCAGACACAGGTAGATACGGCCCCACATGATGCAACTTCTTTGCTGAAGCTAAGAAGGTTGGGGTTAGGACAGTGCCTGAGTAGGAGACCACTTGGGACCTCTTTATGCACCCTCCAACACTACTCTAACAAAAATCAGGATGCATGTCTTTTGGTGCGGCGCTCTCGTGGGAGCCAGCACCACCTCATCCCTATAATAATAATGTTATTATTTATATCCTGCCTAGCTGGCTGGGTTTCCGCAGCCACTCTGGGCAGCTCCCAGCAGAACAGTAAAAACACAATAAAACATCAGACATGAAAAACTTTCCTAAGCAGGGCTGCCTTCAGATGTCTTCTAAAAGTCAGATACAGTGGTACCTCAGGTTACATACGCTTCAGGTTACACACTCCGCTAACCCAGAAATAGTGCTTCAGGTTAAGAACTTTGCTTCAGGATAAGAACAGAAATCGGGCTCCAGCGGCACAGCAGCAGCAGGAGGCCCCATTAGCTAAAGTGGTGCTTCAGGTTAAGAACAGTTTCAGGTTAAGAACAGACCTCCGGAACAAATTAACCTGAGGTACCACTGTAGTTGTTTATTTCCTTGGCATCTGAAGGGAGTGGGTTCCACAAGGAGGGCGCCGCTACCGAAGTCGGGATGGCTTCTGTAACGCCATGAATGTCCCGAGCAAATGGGGACGGTTTGAGGGTATGGGTGCCATGGAAGAAAGATATAAATAAGCAATGGCAACCATGTTGACCGGCTGATTTGACAACAGCAGACGGGAAGCAGACGGCGGCCACAGAGATTTGGCACCTGCACACGTCCTCCTTGGGAGCGATGCTTCCTGGTTGCTCAGTAGACTCTAGAAGGTCTGCCTGAGATCTTCTTCTGAATTCCACTCCCCCCGCCCCCCACATCAACCTCAGGGGGAACCTTTTCCACAGCACTTCCTAGAATTGTAGAGTTGGAAGGTACCACGAGAGTCATTTAGTCCAACTATATCCAACATTCTTTACAATCGGTATCGGCTCATCTCTAGATTCGGAGAAGTCTTGGGCAAGATGTACTAGGTGGGCTCACTTTAATATTGCCTGTTTTTGCTTTCCTGCTCCCACTGGGAAAGAGAGGCTGGTGTTCAGGGTCCTCATTCTTGCCACTGCTTGCATGCAAGGAGCAGGCAGGTGAAGAGGCATTGAAGAAGAGCACATCCAAGAGACTTCAGGAGTTGGCCGCAGGCCCTGTGCAGAGAAGTGACCCTACCAAATGGCCAATAATACCGATGCTTGATGCGATCCCTATTTACAGTTCTTACAAATTTAATTCTTACGACAACCTTCTAGGTTGGGTCGAGGGATGATGTCCCAAGCTATCCAGTGAGCATCATAATTGAACTTGGATATTAACCTCCCCTCCCTTCCTGTCCAGACGGAAGCAGCAACCCCCTGAACAGATGCAGCGACTGGCCAAAGATCACCCAGTGAGCCTCATGGCCGAGTGGAAATTTGAACCCTGGTCTTCCAGGTCTGGTGCTCTAACCACTATACCACACAACTGCATGACCTAGATCAGGGGTGGCCAGCTCCCAAGAGACTGCGATCTACTCACAGTTAAAAACTGGCAGTGATCAACCCCCTTTTTTGGGGTTCGGGTCAAAGTTGTTGAGTTTTTTCAGGGAGGAGGTAAAACGTTGAGCTTTTTAAAGGGGAGCCACAGTTGTTCAGCTTCTTTGGGGGAAGCCAGGGATCTACCAGGGATCTACCGCAGACATCCAGTGATCTACTGGTAGATCACGATCTACCTGTTGGACATGCCTGACCTAGATGAAGTCAAGTACTTCTAACCCTCACTGATTTCCATCTAAAGGTTAATAAGCATGTGTTTTTCTCTCTCTCTCATTTACATTGTTAAAATCCTTTTTCACCCATCTGGATGAGTTACGTAAATCTATTTTACACATTTGCTGCTTTAAAATAAAACATTTCTCTAACAAACAGGTATGCTGATTGCTTGCCCGGCCTCATGAAATAATGGCTACAATTCCTTCAGTCTCTCTCCAAACTGGGGGCCTAAGCTGTGGCTCTCAAAGTTGCTGCTCAACTACAATTCCCCTTTACCCCTGACCATTGGGCCAGGCTGGCTGGAGCTGATGGGAATTGGGAGTCCAAAAATATTTAGGGAGCACAGTTTAGGCCCATCCCCTTGCTCTAAATTTGCAGGCAGTGGTGAATGAAGAACAGTATCAGCGTTTGAGTCTACTCAGTATTCCCTCCAGCATCCTAACCTGCCAGGACACAAGACCATTTTTTCCTAACATAGTTCTTACGCATTGTGGTGTCTAGTCATATATTTCAAACCAGCTACTAGGGTAACTCATAGACAGGCTCCATTTTTTTCCAGCCCAATCAAAGTAAATCCTACTTCTTTCCAGAAGAGAAAGCCATTGCAGGGCCCGGCTTTGGTAATATGGCACTCTGAGCGAGGACAGCATTTGCATCTCTGCCCCCACCCCCCCAAAAAATATATTTCTTCTTTTCACAATAATTGCTTTGGGTACTGTTGCTTTTTATGGACATTATCAGCAGATACCCATATAAATACAGTGGTACCTTGGGTTACAGATGCTTCAGGTTACATACACTTCAGGTTACAGACTCCGCTAACCCAGAAATAGTACCTTGAGTTAAGAACTTTGCTTCAGGATGAGAACAGAAATCGCTCATGGCGGCGTGGGGCAGCAGGAGGCCCCATTAGCTAAAGTGGTACCTCAGGTTAAGAACCATTTCAGGTTAAGAACAGACCTCCAGAACGAATTAAGTTCTTAACCTGAGGTACCACTGAATAGGATGATGATGATGTTCAGTGCCTTGTATGGGGAAAATCTCTGCACTGCCCAAAATCCACCACTGGCCATTGTTACGGTATTGTGGGGCTGGTGGCAGGAGGAACTGCGGAACTGCTCAACACTGTTTCCTTGTGACATTACTGGCTGTAGCACCATCTTTTGCGTGACTCAAAGGGCCTTTTTCTCCCCCATCCCACCCCCAACCTGGCTGGATCCCACATCATCCTCGGAAGCAAAACAGACCGGAGGAACAGTCTTTGTTGCTGGGAGCTAAAAGAAGTCAGAAAGCAGCTCGACTTTCTCCCATAATCTGTTACAGCAAAACCAAGAAAGGGTCTTAAAGGTAAAGGGACCCCCTGACCATTAGGTCCAGTCGTGACCGACTCTGGGGTTGCGGCGCTCATCTCGTTTTACTGACTGAGGGAGCCAGCGTACAGCTTCCAGGTCCTATGGCCAGCATGACTAAGCTGCTTCTGGCGAACCAGAGCAGCACACGGACACGCCGTTTACCTTCCCGCTGGAGCGGTACCTATTTATCTACTTGCACTTTGGTGTGCTTTTGGACTGCTAGGTTGGCAGGAGCAAGGACCGAGCAACGGGAGCTCACCCCGTTGCGGGGATTTGAACCGCCAACCTTCTGATCGGCAAGTCCTAGGCTCTGTGGTTTAACCCACAGCGCCACCCGCGTCCTGGCAAGAAAGGGTCTTACTGCGCCTTAAAAGACTAACAACACGATCCTAACTGTGGAAATACTACTGAATCTCGGGTAAGTGGAGCTAGAATCGCAGCCCATTAGATTTCACAAGCTCCTACACACTGCAATGAATGTGCTAATGTTTAAGGAGCTACAAAACTTTTCATAGTCCTGTTTTATTATGTCCCCCCCCCCTTGGGACCACCCTGTCAGTTACCTACCTTGAAGAAGAAGAACCACTGCCAAGACAAAGGCAGATTTCACCCCCAGGGGCATCCTGCCCGTACTGAGCTTCATCCTTTCTGTTTTGGCAAGTTCAGGGCCCCGCTTCGTAAGTCAGGACCGGCTCCGCGCAGAGAAAATTGCTCCAGACGTTCTCAAAAAGTGGGGGTGCCGCTTATATCCTTGCTAATGGGATGAAGGGCTGGGTTTCCCAGACTGCCAGGGCGTGGTGCATTGCTATCACCTGCAAGGAAGCGCCTTCCCTGGTGTTTCAACAGAGCAGACGCAATGTTTGGAGAGCATCCTCCTACCGGGAATTTGGCAAGAGGCGACAGGAATGACGAAAGGAGCCCGTCCGATGGAATTGTTTGGGAATGGAGTTATTGTGGAACAGCAGCATGCATTGGCAAGAACGTTAAGGAGAGCTCAGCCGTGTCGAGCCCAGCCCTGGTTGGTCCAGCATTCTGTTCTCCAGGTGGCCAACCTAATGCCCATCATAAATCCACAAGCAGAGGCGGATTTAGGGGAGCCCAACCAGTTTGGTCGGGACGCGGGTGGCGCTGTGGACTTGCTGATCAGAAGGTCGGCAGTTCTAATCCCCACGACGGGGTGAGCTCCCGTTGCTCAGTCCCTGCTCCTGCCATCCTAGCAGTTCGAAAGCACGTCAAAGTGCAAGTAGATAAATAGGTACCACTCCAGCGGGAAGGTAAACGGCGTTTCCATGCGCTGCTCTGGTTCGCCAGAAACAGCTTAGTCATGCTGGCCACATAACCCGGAAGCGAGATGAGCGCTGCAACCCCAGAGTCAGTCACAACTGGACCTAACGGTCAGGGGTCCCTTTACCTTTCCTAACCAGTTTGGTCACTGGGGTGCCACAACTATTATGTAGAATGGAAGACAAGAGGTGAGGGGGGGGACCCAAATTTTGCTATTGCACAGGGCACCACTGACATTTGAGGCCCCCCCCAAAAAAATCCACAAGTATGACCCGGGTGCAATAGCGTTCTCTCCACTTGTAGTTCTCAACAACTGGCTTTGAGAGGAATACTTGAGAGGGAGAACATAGGCATCATGGCTATTGGCCTTCATAAATTGGCTCAACGCTTCAATCTGCAGAACCTGAAATTCTGTGAGTAACTCACAATGTCTGTTCTGCATTTGGTCATGCCTTTTGTGCTGGAGCATCTGTACTTTGGAACTCCCTGCCTAGTGACATTCATTAGGAGGGTGCCATTTTTGTATTCTTTTAGACAGCAGCTGAAAAGCTATTTAGGGGGGCCCATCCAGACACAATATTTATGTGTTTTATTGTGTTTTGTTGTGCTATTTTTTTAAAAGCATGCTTTATTATAGCACGTCTTACAGCATTATTTTTGTTTTTAGATATTCTTAATGGTACCGAAATGTTTTACATAATTTTTAAAATTGCATTTGTACTGCAGTTGTGTTTGCTGCCCTGGGCTTCATTAGCAAGAAGGGCGAGATAGACATTTAATAAACAAACAAACGAAAACAGCCCTCTTTTAAAGCGGCAGTGAATTCCATAGCTTAACTATGGGTGTGGTCGTAATCCTGTTTACTGCGCACTCCCTGCATTCTCCTGGTGTGTACACCAAAATGGAAACGACTCTGACACTATTGAAGCTGTGCTGATGTGAACAGTGAGCGATTAAAACCTGTGAAACACGGTGGAGGGGGGGACTTCACTGCCCCCTAAGGCAGCAATGTGAACACAGCTGTTGTGCTCTGCATGAACAAGTACTTTCTTTTGTCTATCTTGAATCTTCCAAAATTCAGCTTAACGAATGACACTGAGTTCTGGTATTATGAGAGAAGTAGAAAAAACTTTTCTCTATCTACTTTTTCCACACCTTGCATACATTTAAACACCTCTGACATGTCTCCTCTTCCTCGCCTCTTCTGTATAAATTTTCCTCATAAACAAGCAACCGCTACACACCTTCTAAATTCCCAAAGCTGAGACGGACACAGTGCAGCTCCTTTCATATCGAACTTTTAAATTGCAGAGCTGTGAATAATGTAAGGAGCTTTCATTCCCCACAGGTGGGTGACTCTTCGATGACCAACCGTGATTTCCCATTGCCTCAGCCCAGAGGATATAGTTGCAGCCCCAGAGTTCCCAATTGGAAGTGTTGTCATGCTCATGGTGGACAGGCAAATTTTAATTACTGGTGCTTTCCCTCCTCTGTGCAAGAAGGCATAAAGCAAGTGGCAGTATTGGAAAAAATTTCACAAACCCAGTGTTGCCACACGTCCACAATTTCCTGGAGATATACGGAATACTGTTGTCGGCAACAGTGTCTGGGCGGAAATCACCATAGTATCTGGGAACATGGCAGCTCATATTGGCCGTATTGTTTATAGCTCAATTTTTTGCCTAACATACACAAATTTGCATTTTCCCCATGTATTTTTGAATGCTTCTTTGTTTTTATTTATGTTTGTATTTTATTTGTTTTTATTTTATCCATCTAACCTAGTTTGCCTGATCTAAGCCCACAGTTTCACTAAGGAAGAAACAAAATGGCTGCCCAAAGCATCCTCCAGGCACTCGGTGCAGTTTGCAGCCTCTAATATTACTAATTAGGTGGTGAGCCCTTAGGCAGAGCTGTGTTGTTTTAATCTGTATCAGGTACCTAGCTTGCTCTTAGGCCACTTAACAGACACAACTAGTTGTTGTGGTTGTGGCAGCAGCAGCAGCAGCAAAGGGAAAATAGCGCTGAGCTAATCTTTCCATGTCAGCTTCTCTCACTTTCTCATTTTTCCAGTTTTCACTTCACCATATTTCCACATTTGTTTGCTTTTGTTTGTTAGTTTGCTAGTCAACACAAAAACCTACCAGCATTTTAGAATGTAACAGCCGCGCTGGATCAAGCCAAAGGCCCACCTAATCCAGCATTATGCCCTCGCCGCGCCCAAAATATTTTGTATGTTATTTTCACCAATAACTAAGAAATAGTGCCTGCATTTGCTCCCCACCCTCCTTCCTCCCAAACCCCATTCCTTTTGTGTCGTGTGTTTTCGACTTGTAGGCCTGAGTGCAGGGACTTACAACAGTCGCTTGTAAGACGCTTTGGGAGAACTGCATCACATCCCACAGAAAAGTGCCCATTTCAAAGGATAGCCTGGATTTCAATTTGTGTATTGTTTTGAGAAATGCAAATTAAAATAGGTTCATACACTGGCATGCTGGGGGGGGGGGCGCAGAAATCTCCCTCATCCCTGGTAAACCTAAGCTTCATTGGATGCTAATATTTCTGCTCACAGTGCATAATTTCATACACCTCTATCATGTTCTGCCTTGTGTACTTTTTTCCTAAACTAAAAAGCCAGCAAACTTTTGTCGTATGGGGATTGCTCCAGTTCCTTGATCATTTTTTGGGCCCTCCCCCTTTCGGCGAGGCACTTTTCCAGCTCTTCCATATCTCTTCTGAGGTACAGAACTGCACACGGTGTTCCACAACTACCACAGCCACACCATCACTTTGTAGGTAAAAGGTGTTTGGCTACGGCAGTTTTGTTTTCCACCCCTTCCCTTCTTGTGGAAATTGCTTCATTTGCATCTGCTCATTATGGAAGAAAGTGTTGCGTGATCCTTTACAACACGGATTGAGTTGTGTCTTCCCTTCCTGCTCTTTGCCATGCGGGCTCACAAACCTGGTCCTTACTAGGGAAGGGCCGTAGCTAAGTATTGACGCATATGTTTTGCATGCGCAAGGACTCAGGTGGACAATCCCTGGCATTTCCCCTTCAAGGAGGCATCCCGAATCCACGAAAAACTGGTCCCAGCCACAATCATGGGCTATACAGGACTGCAGGTAAGACCAATTGCAGAAGGTAGGGGCTGGACCCACTGGCTAACTATGTGCCAAATATGTTGAACTGGTAGGCCTTGGTCTGCTCCACAGCACTTTGGATCACTCCACAATGGATCGCTTCACTGCATACTTTGGATCCCTTAATGTAGATTAGTTACACCTTCACCGTGACGTATGCAGTGGAAATTGAGGTTTGTGGATTAATTGCACAAATACAAGATGGGTGACACCTGGCTTGAGAGCAGTACATGTGAAAAGGATCTAGGAGTCTTGGTTGACCACAAACTTGATATGAGCCAACAGTGTGACGCGGCAGCTAAAAAAGCCAATGCAATTCTGGGCTGCATCAATAGGAGTATAGCATCTAGATCAAGGGAAGTAATAGTGCCACTGTATTCTGCTCTGGTCAGACCTCACCTGGAGTACTGTGTCCAGTTCTGGGCACCACAGTTCAAGAAGGACACTGACAAACTGGAACGTGTCCAGAGGAGGGCAACCAAAATGGTCAAAGGCCTGGAAACGATGCCTTATGAGGAACGGCTAAGGGAGCTGGGCATGTTTAGCCTGGAGAAGAGGAGGTTAAGGGGTGATATGATAGCCATGTTCAAATATATAAAAGGATGTCACATAGAGGAGGGAGAAAGGTTGTTTTCTGCTGCTCCAGAGAAGCGGACATGGAGCAACGGATCCAAACTACAGTGGTGCCTCGCAAGACGAAATTAATCCGTTCCGCGAGAGTCTTCGTCTAGCGGTTTTTTCGTCTTGCGAAGCAACCCTATTAGCGGCTTAACGGATTAGCGCTATTAGCGGTTTAGCGGCTATTAAAGGCTTAAAGGCTTAGGGGATTAGCTGCTAAAAGGCTATTAAAGGCTATTAAAGGCTTAGCAGATTAGATAAAGGGGGGGAAAGCGAAAAAAAAATCTCAAGACTTGCAAGACATTTTCGTCTTGCGAAGCAAGCCCATAGGGAAATTCGTCCTGCGAAGCAACTCAAAAACGGAAAACCCTTTCGTCTAGCGGGTTTTCCGTCTTGCGAGGCATTCGTCTTGCGGGGCACCACTGTACAAGAAAGAAGATTCCACCTAAACATTAGGAAGAACTTCCTGACAGTAAGAGCTGTTCGACAGTGGAATTTGCTGCCAAGGAGTGTGGTGGAGTCTCCTTCTTTGGAGGTCTTTAAGCAGAGGCTTGACAACCATATGTCAGGAGTGCTCTGATGGTGTTTCCTGCTTGGCAGGGGATTGGACTCGATGGCCCTTGTGGTCTCTTCCAACTCTATGATTCTCTGATTCTCTGATTCTAGGTTAAGCACAACAAACACATGTGCGCACACATGTGACTTTTTGCTGTTAGGAAAGTGATGAGGAAATGCACTAAAAAGTACAGTATGGGGTAATGATCAGTTGAGGAGAAGACATATAAGCTCCATGCAAACAGATAGAGGTGAAAGCTCATTATCATTAATTGTGGAGATTGCCAAAGAGGATTCGGAGGCCGGGCTGATAATAGAACTTCCCAGAACATCTAACGAGAGGAATGAGGAAAATACAGGAGAGTCAGTATATGTCCCGGCATGCTAACAAATTATTTCTAACAAGTAGGCCCTTGGCTGTGTACATATTATATCTTTAAAGCACGTTCAGAGTATGTCCCTCCCCCCCCAAAGAATTATGGGCACTGTAGTTTAGCCCTCACAGAGTTACAATTTCCAGGAACCCTTAACAAACTACAGTGCCCAGAATTCTTTGAGGGAAAGAATGTGCTTTAAATGTATGGTGTATGCGCACAGCCCTGGTATCATAAATTAGCAGACGGGGAACATGAGGAAATATTGGAAGTAACTTTTCACCCTGAGAGTGTCCACAATAGGTGAGGAACTTCAAAGGTCCCCATCTTAGAAACCGGGTATTGAGAAAGACATTATAGAGATCCAAACTGCTGTATAAATTGCTGTGGAATCCTATAGGTCACTCATTTGAATTAACCAGGATGCAGACCTTTGGACAAACACTATGGTAAAAAGATTAGGACACAGCTCATAGGCAGGTTGCAGATTCTGCATGGATAATTTTAAACGCCATTTATATTTGCAACAAAACAAGGAATCCATTAGCATATTATAGCCCTTGATGCCGCCAAAGCTTTTGATTATGTGGAACGAGACTCGCTGTAAGATTTATGTCAAAGCTGCCTGCTGGAGTTACGTAAACGTGTTATGACTCCAGAATCCAACAGTGATCAGCGAGCTCTGATCAGAGGTTCTGAATGTCTAATATCAGTTAACTACTACCTTAGTTGGAAAGAGAAGGCTGAACGAGATCAGTGGGGATTTGCAAATAACTTTGAGGTCAGGGAAGGCCGGAGTCAGGATGGAATTTGAAAGGAAAGGGGGTGACCATAGCTCAGTGATGGGATTGTGCTTTGCATGCATAAGGTTCTAGGTTTTAATTCCTCTCAACTGTGATTAAAGGCTGGTAAGGGCCTCTACATGACAGCCTGAAGAACCATTGCTTGTCAGGATACTGGGCCCTTTGACAAGCAGACTGTGGAATTCCCTCGCCTGGGAAGGAATTGTCGCCATTATTTATTGGCGTTCTGACATGCCATGGGGAGACGGGGGGGGCATTTTTGTTTCACTGTGCTATGTGCCTGCCTTTAGTTCTTATCTCCGATTTGATTTATTATGACTCAGATTTGCAGACTGTTTTCATTTTGGGAGATTGAACCAAAGGCTTCTTAGAAACAGGGGATTTCAAAAACATATGTGGGAATCCAGCAAGCATAATGGTTTCACCTACGCAAGTGCAAACAAACGTTTCTCTGTTCCTTTTCTTTCCCAGTTTGTGAGTATAGGGAATGTCCTCTCTTGCTTGTCTTTTTGCATAATTAAGCTCTTTCGACATTGCATAAGTGTACAATAGCATAACTGGCGTGACTAAAGGTGGATCCCAGGAGGCTGTCACACCCAAACTCAATCCCTGTATCCTGGAAAAAAAACAAAACCCTCTTACCCTCTTGGCATCTTCCTAATTAGACATATAGACAGAAGGCACCACCATGAAGATTGTTCAAGTGGATGCATATAATAATGGCCAACTTCTGGAAAAGCCACACTGGATTTTGCATTGTATATTTGCCACCACTATGAGTGTAGCAACAAAAAAATTGATATTTTTTTATCACAGTGTTTTCACATGTTTGCAACAGTCTTTTCACATGTTTAAAACCCAGTCCTAAACACTTTTGTGAGAGTTTCATTGTACCATTGCTAGTGGCAATCTCGTAAAGGGCCTTCTCTGTGGTGGCACTTCTCCCTCTGAAGCCCTCGAAAGGTCTTAGGAAATATCCCTTCAAAAATGCATCATTGTTTGCTCTTCCTCCTCATTTGCCTTAAGCACTGCATCAGCCCCTCCCGTGTTGAACATGCCTCTTCAGATATCGCCACATTTCACTGGGTGCCAGGATTGGACACCTATCCTTCCATCTTGTTCTGAACAAAGAAGAGGTACAGGGAGCTTTTCCCTCTGAGCAAGTGTGGGAGTCATAAAGCCACGGTAAAGGCTTGTAATATTGCAGGGTGCCCCCTGACCTCGGCTGACCAGCACTCTGAGCTTTACAATGTATTGGAATGTATTGGAGCTGTGTTTCCTCTGGGCAGTGATTGACCCTATATGGTGAAGGGGGCAATAAAAGCCTTGGCCGGATGAGGTAACGTGAGACACTGGCAAACAGCCATGCGGCTGGAGAGAGAAAAAGGAATAAAGAAGTTTGCAGGAGGAGGAGAGGGAAGTTCGAGAGGAGCTGCTCCTACCATCATGAAAATATTGCTGGCTCTCTGTGTCATAATTTTATGCTAAACTTCGCCATTTGTACGGCTGGCTCCGACAAGCAAGGATGGTGGTAGCTGATGTATGTGCCTTTATTCCCATTGATGAGGCAGCTGAGGTGGGGAGCTGCCCATACCAATTTGTGATTCTGTCACACATAGTTGTTCTCTTTTAGACATGGCAGCCATTACACCATGCCACACATTTTGTGTAAAGCTATGTCCCTAAGGCAGCCATCTTGTTTTATAGCATGCTCCCATGGCCACCATTTTGTTACTGACATTCAAAACACTTTCTCAGAATCCCAAATACGTCTACTGCCAGAAGGTTGGTGACCCCAACTTCTGCTGCCTCTACTGAGATTTTACTGCGAGCTAAATACATTTCATTACACAGGCCCTTTTAGAGTATTAGTACTGGACTAGGTCCTGCCATTACATTACTGGTTAGATGTTATGTTTATTGTTAGTATTTTATTTCCCCAGGTTTATTTGGAGAGATTTGGAGGGCCCTGCAGGGCCCACAGGGAGAGAATGTTCTGTTGCACATCCTCTTGAAATGCATGGATGCAACCCCTGAAAACTGCTTTGGTGGTCATTTCCTCTCCTCATAAATCCTGGGAACTGGAAAGTTGGGGAGAAACAATCTCAGCCAGAAAATCCTTACCACCCTCTCTCCAAATCACCAACCACTTTGCCTGAAACTTTGGCTTATTAAACCTCAGTAAAACACACACACACAACCTGACATGTATTTATTATAGGCCCATCCAATTCATGACATGCAGAAGTGACATGATGTTTTTAATAATAGCAAAAAAAAAGTTGTTCGTAGAAGTATTGTGCTGTGGCTAGAATGCACCAGTATTTTATTTAAATTAGAGCACAAAGCCATATTTCCAGGACACAAAAACGCCAAAAAACACGATTTTTCAATTTCCAGTCTTTTAACCATGATTTGCCCCCTCTTCAGGTTTACATCACAGCAGAGTGTGTGGTGACTCATAGGCTAAAAGCAGTCAAAAGATGCTAAAGTAACTGACTCTGCTGGTTAAACTGGTTATGGGAAAAGTGGAGAAAAGCCAAGCAATGGGATTATAACCCACCCCCGCAGCCAGAGATCACGTTGTATGTTGATAGTCACCTATGCCTTTGGGGATAGTAAAGTAATATATTTTTAGGAACACCCAAGATTCATAATGTGGCATGTAGGCTTTCGAGTTATATCTGGATGAATTAAAGAAGCTCTGGAGCTGACTGCCGCTTCGCAGGTAAGATTCACCTTCTGTTGTGTGGGCAGGATGGTCCCTCCCCTTACCTGGCCAATGCCCTGGCAACACCTCCGCAGGGGGGATTGGGCAATTGGCTGAGGTAGGCGGAGACCTCCAGGTATCCAGCCTGGGGAGGATGAAGCCAGCCCGAACTACCAGGAGTCGCACTGGGATCCGAAGGGCTGCGCACGACCATTTGATGTGGGGAACGGTCATTGTTTTTAAATGAGAATAAATGGCTATGGAAAAAGACACTGTGCTAAAAAGCTTTCTTCCCACACTGTGGGTCTTTGACAGGGGTCAGCAACCTTTTTCAGCCATGGGCTGAAAGACCACCGTCCCTCAGACCATGTGGTGGGCTGGACTATATGGGGGGGGGGGGGAATGAACAAATTCCTGTGCCCCACAAATAAACCAGAGATGCATTTTAAATAAAAGCACACATTCTACCCATGTAAAAACACCAGGCAGGCCCCACAAATAACCCAGAGATGCATGTTAAATAAAAGGACACATTCTACTCATGCAAAAACACGCTGATTCCTGGACTGTCCGCGGGCCGGATTGAGAAGGCGATTTGGCTGGATCCGGCCCCCGGGCCCTAGTTTGCCTACCCCTGGTCTATGAGTTCATCCTGGTATTGAAGGCTCCTATTTTTATCTAGATAGATGGATGGTTGATTTTTAAAAAAATCACAGCTTCAATTCCTCAGTCACTTGAACAGCAAGCAGCATGGTATACCTGTGAGCAGATGGGAGGCCTCACCATCCTGAACATTTCTAGGCTCAGTGGTTTAGACCACAGCGCCACCCGCGTCCCGTCCCAATTATAGGAGCCTCATTAAAAGAAATTAAATTGAAAGGATTATAGATGTCAAGAGCAGCCATAGCCATAGGAGCCTTTTACTCAGGGGATAATAATCGAGATCCTAATCAGAAGCTGGGAACAACATTCAAGAATTTCAACTCTGACCAATCCTATTCTTACCCACTTTGCTACATTTCCTTTACACAGATGGCAGCTCTTTTAAGGGAAGCCAGAGATTAATAGGTAGCCTCTGTGCCGTGTAAGAGTGCAGTGCCCGCAAACTGGACCTGTCTTTCACACTACGCAATGGACAGGACTGATCAGGATTGATCACTTAATCCTCTGTATTTACTTATGCATCTAACTAGATTTCTCTTCTAACATGCTGGCTGGCACAACTACACACACAAAATGTTGCTCCAAATGTTGGCAGAGCCAACCAGATTCCAGAGAAATTCTAAACTGGGCTTTGGGGCATTGATGCAAATGCAGAGAATCAGTAAACAAACATATTGCCATGTGCCACCCCGATCTCCAAGCAATGTGAGATACCAGAGGTTCCAGGCTAGGGTTTGGTTTCCTTGGAATGAGGGATGGCAGACATGTCTTTGTGATGTATGGTTTACTTACACATATATGCAACCTGAGCCTACCATACTCACAGCATTAACACACCAGAAACGTCTTGCTTCTCCCAACGTCAGTGCCTTGGAATCACACAGAAATACTAACAACCGTACTTAGGGCCATTAACTTACCAAGAATCTTGCCTGGCTAGTTCAACATTGGCAGGAGCGAACTTTGGTAATCTTTGGTAATATGGCAAGGTCAAAATTGCTTCCCCTTCCCCCTGATCTTGCTCAGTTATGGGTCTTCTCAATTTTGCACCCCCTCCGCTTAGTGCCCTGTGTGGGGCAACCCTCCACACCGCCTTAAATCCGGTGCTGACAGTGGGATCCACCATTAGATTTTAACCCTTTTTGGACTCAAGAGCCCAGGAGTTAGAAGAGACATAGGCATCAACGTCCAGCCCGTGTGAAAAGGTAGAAGAAATGATTGACATTTTCCAACGTTACACTATTGAGTTGTTTTTGTGACGCTGAAGAGGGGTAGTTTTATGCTTGTTGGTGCAGCACTTTGGTTTTTTGGATGTTGAGCTATAGGCCAAGCTTTTCGTAAGCTTCTGCAAAGCTATTTAGGATGGTTTGGAGGTCAACCTCTGAGTATGCACACACTACGTTGTCATCAGCATACTGAAGCTCTATGACGGAAGTTATGGTAACCTTACTCTTTGCTTTCAGCCTGCTCAGATTAAAAAGCTTTCCTTCTGTTCAATATATGATTTTTACTCCAGTGGGGAGTTTCCCTTCAACAAAGTGTAGGATCATGCAATAAGCATAATGAATAGAGTCGGGGCAATAACCAAACCCTGTTTAACAACTGATCCTTCTGTAAATGGATCCACTCTGCTCACCCCGAAAAGGGGAGGGGCTGGAAAAGGTGCCCTAAACATAAGTCTGCTCAGGAATCATACAGACCCACACTGTCAGCCTCCCCACTCCCCAAATCACAACACTGTATTTCATTTCCTCTGTGCGTTTGCGTGTGCCCATCACGTCTGAAGGCACCTTAGGAGGGGGCGTTGCAACATCGAGGGAGCGTTATAACGGGAGCAGTGTTTGATCACAAACGTGTTCTATATGGAGCGTTCTGACATCCAAGCGTTCTGTGCAACTCGGAGACAGCGTTGCTCTCCGCAGAGGCGCGCACACGCCACGTCTCTCTCTGCACGACTCTCATCTCCATCCTTCCTCCATCCCGCCACCATGAATTTGAAGCACCTGCCTGGAAATTCCTATCTTCAGCAAAGGTCTAGATTTGCTGCTTGTCTTACAGGTTGCAAATTCCCCCCACCCCAAAAGGCATCCTTTGAATCCCACCACCAGGAACGAGTCAAGCGCAAGTCCCTTTTGAGTGGCATTTGGGAAACTTCAGCGTGTTGCAACCTGCTGCAACGGGGCGAGAGGCGGGGCTGCGGACTATTTCCCAGTGGAAATCCCCACGTTGCCCTTTTAACATGCTCCGAGGTGGTCAGCGACCGTCCAAGCCCCTCAGCGTTCCGTGACCAACTAACTGGAGCAGCGCGGCCTTAAAAGGCGCTGTTTGGCTCCTGGCGTGCCTCCGTCTGCGCCTGCGCTGCCCAGTCCGTGTTTTTGTGAATTCCTGCCCTCCTAACTTGGCGGTTTCCTCCCAGCACCGCGGCCGTTAAAAATAACAAACCGCCCGTCCGCACATTACGCATCCTCGCCAGCCAATCCGGAGAAAGAGCGGCTTTTAAGGCCGCCGTCTCCTAGGCGGCGCTTGAGTCGTTCTCAGCCTATTCTGAGTCTCTTGTCCCTTTCGCACCCCCGCGCGCGCACAATTTAACTTTGAGCCCTAGGGGTGGAAAAGGGATTTATTTTTAACCGCATCAGCTCAGTGTTTAAGCTTTATTATTTTCTTCCCGGCCCCTTGTAGTTAGAATAATTGAAACAAGGGCTGAACTTGCACGGTGATTCAAAATTACCATTTTAGTGGTTTTATTGCAGTGAAGAGTTGGCATGGATGTTTTTCTCTACGTCCTGAGTTGTTTTGGAAGTTCACAACTTCCCTGCAATTTTGACATAACTGGCTCATAATTAGAACCAGGGTTGATCCCTCCCCTGCCTGGGATTTAGGAATTAAGAATCAATGAAAGGACCTCTGAACATAGGCAGAGTGCGCGCCCCATATCCATGAGCACTTGCAGCTGGGATTTCCAGGTAGGCTTGAATTTGCATTAGAAATATAAGGCTGGATGCATTTGCACTCGACACATCCAGGGGAGCAACTGAACCACAGAATTGTAGAGTTGAAAAGGGACCATGAGGGTCATCTAGTCCAACCCCCTGCAATGCAGGGATTGTTTTAACATTGCAGCATTTAATTTAAAAGGAGAAGGCACTTCCAGACTCACTCTTCCGCAAATGGGGTTCAGCACGTAACAGGAAATTCTGGTTGCTCAAATAAAGTTTGTTTGGAAGCCTTACGCATCAAACCCACTTCCCCTCCCAAACTGGACTTCTTGCAATAAGGGAAGTGATGGGGATACGCATTGGGAAAGTGGGGGGTGAAAGCTGCTTGATGTTGGTGCCATGTAATCTTCCTGCAAACCGAATGAATGGTCAATAAATAGCTGGTGAACAAATGGTTTCATTGTGAGCAGACCTCTCACAGAAAGAAAACCTTACAGAATTCCCTTCTGATTCTGCCTGCCAGCTGCTCTCTCCAATAGGGGTTCCTGGCCTGTCTCCACATTTGGTAGCAACACTGGGTCCATTTACCTGTAAGTAAGGCCCCTTTAACGCAATGGGGCTTACTTTTGGTCAGATATGTATCGCATTGTACTGTTTGTCCAGTATAAGAAAATAATTTTGCCCTTTGCACCCATGTAGCAGTTCAAAAAACTAAAATCCTGTCTCTGGTCCTTGCTTTATTGAGATCTCCTATACCTCTCCCCAGTCTCTTCACAGGTGGCCAAGCCAGGTTCAGTTTCAATTCCACATTCTCTGGAAATCCACATACAAAAAAATACCAGATATTCCTTATTTTGAAGGAATGCAGTTTGTTCCAAAAGATCTCAGAGAATTATGTACGCCCCTTATTTCAGAATGTTGCTGCTACCTTTGCACACTGCAACACAGAATTTGCAGTTCCAAATGGCACTTCTCTGGAGTGTTAGAAGCCAAAAATTCAACCTCATATTATTTGACTTCTATGTATAATAATAATAATAACAATAATAATAATTTATTTATACCCAGCCCATCTGGCTGGGTTACCCCAGCCACTCTGGGCGGCTCCCAACAGAATATTAAAAACATGATAAAACTTGGAACAACAATAGCCTCATTTACTATTCCTTTCATCAGAGCCTGACGAAACAATGGGAAGGGAGGCATTTTAATAATTTGAGGTGTGAGGATGCTTGTATGTGCAATCTTTAGCACATTTACCACACTTGTTCAATTCAAATCAATGAGACATGCCTCTGTGAAAACATGTTCAGGATTGTCCTGTAAAAAGATTAAGCCCTACCCACAATCGTTGGCCAGAACAGAAAAGCTTATTAAATACACACACTGAAAAATATTTTTTGGGCTTCGGAGTTTAATAATTTGATAACATGAATTGATTACATACCCTTTATAAATTAAAAAGATTGGCACAATTGGTGTAGCATGGTTTAAATTCTGATAAAAAGCAAACTAGTCTTGAACTTTTGGTTGCAGATCATCAGCTAAATATTGCAGCACCGTATTCCTATTGTTTCTATAAAGGGACATAATGGCTTGCTAATGTTGCAAAAATAAAGCAGGCTTCTTCACAACTTTTTTTGGCATTTGCAAATACAATTGCTTAATAATTTAAAGATAGTGATTGATCTACTAATATTTCTTTAATCCAGTGATAGTCATAATAGTTTTGCCAAGCACACCTGAGAATTGAGTTCTTTTTCAATTATGGCTTCCTACCTTCACTTCTGTCTTAGCTGTTTTTAAACCATGAACACTTTCTCTCTGTCTAGTGTGATGCCACAGTCCCCAGTGCTTCCACCAAGCTGTCCCGTGAGCCTAGGCTACATTACAGACCCTGAATCTCTGGAGGGGCAGTTACTCAGGCATGCTATTGAGGGCAAGGTCAAGAAAGCCAAGATACTGCTGAAGAGAGGTAAAGCCAATCTGTTTCAAACTCCGTGTAGGTACGGTAATTTCCCTCTGGTAAACAGTCCTGACAGAATATGAGGACTGCTTGGGTTACAAAATGAGGGGAAGTCAGATACGCTTCTGTATGGGTATGCTACTTAGGGCATGGGACAAGACTTGGTTTTGCTATTTGAAATTGAAACAGTGCATTCTGGTACCATAGACTCGTAGAATAGTAGATGGACTATGAGGGTTGTCTAGTCCAATCCCCCGCAGTGCAGGTAGTCTTTATCTCTTCAACAAAACCTCTTGCCGTTATTCACGAACAGCGTTTGTGTCTCCTTCTTCAGGTGTGGATGTGGACTGCCACAATGCATCTGGGCAGACGGGTTTGTATCTTGCTGCCCTACTGAGACACGTCCCGGTAGTCCGGCTATTTCTGCACTTCGGCGCCAACCCCAACCAGTGAGTGATAACAAAATTCTTGGAGATGGTGTCTGGAAAGCTAGCTATTCTTGAGAAGGCCTGTCTCCATTTGAGTCCGGTCCTTCTTAAAACATAAAATTTTCTGTCTTGTCTCAACATATATATCCCCTCAGGCTAAGGTATATGTATGTTTATTTAGGAGAGATGGCAAAAGTTTCCTTCACAGTGCTTTTTGGGGGGGATGATGTTCACAGCTTTGGAGTACTATCACCTCTTTTTTTCCGCAGCCATTAGCTAACATTTTGTGCTGACATCCATAGCAACGTTTCCAATATATGATACCAGCTCCTCATATTTACCGCAAAGAGTTCTGGCTACCATTGGCTGTATAAACCTTAAGTTTCAGATTGGTAAACATTGATGCCTCTTATGGGGAAAAGACCTTAAAACATTTTATTTTCAGGCTCTGAATCAATTCTTTTCTAGCCGCCAAGGTCTTGTCTTTCAAAGCATAAATCATGTCATTTGGTTAACAGGGAATACAACTGAGTAACCCCCATCTGAGCAGAGATGTGTGCATTAACTCTATCAGCTAAAATGGCATTTCTGATTACAAAAACTATGGCTGGCAGAACTTTACTTGTCCCCTGTTCTTTGCACCCTAACACCTCTTTCTCCTTCTCTCCCCTCACCCCAAAGCCGTTGTTATGATGGTAGCACCCCAGTCCATGCAGCTGCTATCTCAGGCCACCAGAAACTTCTGGGCCACATCCTGAAAGCCGGAGGTGACCTAAGATTCCACGATCAAAAGGGGCAGACCCCTAAAGACTGGGCCCAGCTAGCTGGGAGTGAACAGAATGCCGAGGTATTTACAACTTCACTTTGACATGTCTTAGAGCAGTCATGGAAATAAACCATCAAGGTTACGTAGGGGGGGAAATTGCTTCCTTGTTGGAGGCTGGCAAAGCAGGGCTGGAGAGGGTTGTCCCTCCTCTGACATCCCTCTTTAGTATCTATGCAAGGTTGAAAGGAAGGACCAAAATTTTGCTCCCCCTTTCCTCCAGCAGCCCACTCATTAGCCTTCACGCAAGGGGCTTTTGAAGTTTGTTGTGGAATGTTCTCCAAAGTGAGGTTTGGCTGCTGCCTTCACTAACATCCTTTCGGTGCCAGGTGAAAACTTACCTTTTTGACAAATTGGGGGTGATTTTTATGTCTTTTTTCGATGGTGTGGTTCTACTGCTGTTTTGTTGGGTTTGCTTTATAGGCTATTGCGTGGCTTTTATTGTAGCACATTGTGTTTTCCTCTGATTCTGTGGCACGCTTTATACTTTTAAAGAGTTGCAAGTCGCTTGGAGACTCTTTATGCGCCAAGCCCCATAATAATAATGATAATAGACTCGAGGTCAGGGCACAACCCATGACAACACAAATTTGCATAATATTTGCACTTGCTCATTCATATAGAGAGATGCCCTTGGGCAAATTAAGATTGTGGGTTTAAAACAAAAGGTTGAGGTAAGGGCATCCTGGTGTGAGAATCCCAGGGCGTGGATCCCCTGGGCCGCCCCATAACCTTGCTGCTGCCAGTGTGCGATTCCTTGTTGTCTATGGCTACCAGGCAGCTGCATATAACCATAGAATCGTACAGTTGGAAGGGACCCCAAGTGTCAGGGACTGTGCTGAGGAGGGCTACAATGAGGAGGCATGGTGGGAGCCACCTCCTCCCCCCAACCTTGAATTTTCCCAGGAGGACAGTATAGATTTAGAACAGTGGTTTGCAGAGGGGCGTACTACAGGAGGCAGAAGCTGGGAAATACTGGATGGGGAACAGCTAGGAGAAGAAACACTAGAAGAGAGAGGGTTAACAGATTCACTCTCTCTGGAAAGCATCCATCCGTTCTCCTCAAGGTCAAGGAGAGCTGAGAAAGTGGGAGAACAGAAAGCACAGAGCATATGAGCTCAGGTTACAAGATTTAGGAGTGACGTAGATTAATAGGGACGGAAGGGGAGTAAGCCTTAGTTGGGAGCACCGCCATTCTAGGAGAGATGCGTTCTGTTGTCTCTCGCTGTGGTTATTAAAGATTCTAACTGGTAAGAAGCCTCCTTTTCTTTTGTTCTGGTTATCTATGGCCAAGGGGGGAGGAAGCCAGTTCTCTGAAGCCTGACACCTAGTCCCATCCCCCGCAATGCAGAAATCTCTACTTAAATCACGGCTGTTGTGGAGTGCTGTTCCGCTGTCTAGCACCTCTCTTTTCCGTTGCCTCAAGGTCCTGGATTTCATCCAGCGGTGCTTTGGCCAGATGTCTATGCTGGTGCAGCACGGGGACCTGTTGATGTATTCCAAAGCTCTAGCAGCATCACCACGCAGCCTGCGCTCCTCGCTCTCCTCGCTCTTATCTGTCTCCCTCTGGTAAGGATCCAACCTTCTGCCTGTCTTCTCTAACGCCGCGGGAGCCTTAGCCTAGTCTCTGTTTGGACCCAGCCCTCCGCTGAGACAGACAACTGAATGGTGGCGGTGATAATGATGTTAAAACATCTTGGAATGAGCAGGTTAATGTGCAGTTTCGGGAATTACAGTAATTGTCCCCATTGAACATGTGGGGTTGGGATACAGACTTTGTCGAGTTCCATTCACACTGGAGGAAGGAGAAAGCGGTTAGGGAGGTGATTTTCACTGACTCCTTCTGCCTCAAGTGCCCCCTGAAAAGCTGCTCCAGCAAGTTTTTCCTGAACAGTGTGGGGTGGTGCTTAGAGCTGAAGGGGGAATCTGTAGAATTCTCCCCCTTCCTCTAAGGGGAATTTTCTTTCTGTGTATCCATCTATCTATTTAAATGCCTATATTCTGCAGTATCATAAACAAATCAAAGCAGATATATAGATATAGATGATGATGATGATGATGATGATGATAATTTATTTGTACCCCGCCCATCTGGCTGGGTTTCCCCAGCCTCTCTGGGTGGCTTCCAACAAAGATTAAAAATCCATTAAAATGTCACACGTTAAAAACTTCCCTAAACAGCGCTGCCTTCTAGTTCTTTATTTCCTTGACATCTGATGGGAGGGCGTTTGACAGGGCAGGCGCCACTGCCGAGAAAGCCCTCTGCCTGGTTCCCTTTTTTGTTGTTGTTGCAAAACTTGGTGAAACAATATTTATAGTATTACTTTCTTCTACTGAAACTGTGGGGATGGGTTTAAAGAGGTAGGAGAGGATATATTAATTGCAATCTATCCCTCCAGGCCCCCACGTGTGTGGGTTGAACAGAGTTTTAAAATCCCACCCTGGGCAACTACAAAAATTAAAAGCATAGGAATTAGACGGTAAAGCCTTGTTTGAGCAAGTCCGGCGATGAAGTAAGCAGGCTTCTGCCTGCTCACCCCACTTAACAGAGAATCGAGCAACAAGTTGTAAAGCAAGTTGAAAAATAAGACTTATAACCATGCAGCGGTTCAAAGCAACAGTTGCAGTAGAACGTTTGCAGGCAAAATACGATCTTTTGTGCTTCGACTGCATTTCCGGACCACTTATTCTCCCGTAAAAATCACTGGGGTTGCCCAACGCCAGTGCTCCTGATACTTAAATGTGTCTCACAAGGCTTTGTTTCCAACCCCTCCTGGTTGCAGGCATTTGGACGGCTCCAATAGGTTGGGAAGCAGCAAGGAGACAGCTATTGGATACAGACAAGTAAGTAAACTTCTCTGGAAGGGTGTGATTCAGTGTAGTAGAGAGGCCATAGTTTCTAGGCTCATAACTCCTCCCTTCTCTTTCAGCTGTGCCCAGGCAAGTGCCAGCAGCCCGGGATTGCTGCCTTCACGTTCATTGCAGACGACAGCGAGCTGCTCCGAGGTTACGGAGAACCAGACTGGAGTTACCAGAATGGACCACACACACTCATGAAGAAGTAAAGCTATCAGCATTATCTATCAGCCCTGTCTGTTCTCACCTCCCATCTAGGATAAAAAAAATAGCAATAGCGACAATAGGTTATCTTCTTGCAAGACCCAGTTCTAGGGAGATACCTGATCGCAGGGAAGCAGACTGATCACAGTGAAATGAATCAGGGAGGGACACAGCTCAGTAGTACAGGATGTGCTTGGCACCAGAAGGCCCCATGTTCAGGTAGGGCTGGGCGGGACTTCTGTCTGAAACCATGGAGAGCTGCTGCCAATCTGTGTGGTGCACGCTCTGGTTATCTCTCGCTTGGACTACTGCATATGTGTGGGGCTACCTTCGAAGGTGACCCAGAAACTACAACTAATCCAGAATGCAGCAGCTAGACTGGTGACTGGGAGCAGCGGCCGAGACCACATAACACCAGTCTTGAAAGACCTACATTGGCTCCCAGTACGTTTCCAAGCACAATTCAAAGTGTTGGTGCTGACCTTTAAAGCTCTAAATGGCCTCGGTCCAGTATACCTGAAGGAGCGTCTCCACCCCCATTGTTCTACCCGGACACTGAGGTCCAGCACCGAGAGCCTTCTGGCGGTTCCCTCACTGTGATAAGCCAAGTTACAGGGAACCAAGCAGAGGGCCTTCTCGGTGGTGGCACCCGCCCTGTAGAACACCCTCCCACGAGATGTCAAAGAGAACAACAACTACCAGACTTTCAGAAGACATCTGAAGGCAGCTCTGTTTAGGGAAGCTTTTAATGTTTGATGCATTACTGTATTTTAATATATTGTTGAAAGCCGCCCAGAGTGGCTGCGGAAGCCTAGCCAGATGGGCGGGGTATAAATAATAAATTATTATTATATTATTATTATATGTGTAGACAGTACTGAGCTGGGTGGACCAATGGCATAAGGCAGCTTCCTATATCCCTGTAGTCTCGTATCACCCGGAACCCTAAGACTTATAGTGTATCTTAATCCTCAAGCAGAGACCTTGTAAGATATTGGATAAATAACGTACTTATTATGCAGTCACATAACCTCTGCTCACCTGGGGCTGCAGGGGAGCGGTGTTTGCCATGCCATGTGGCCCCAACCCTGTCCGGGGGGGGGAGCTTTCTTCCCATTGCAGCTGCGGGGTGATGCTTGGCGCCCCCACCTCCGGGTGCAATTTTATTTATTTATACCCTGCCCATCTGGCTGGGTTTCCCCAGCCACTCTAGGCAGCTCCCAACAGAATATTAAAAATGCAATGAAACATCAAACATTAAAAACTTCCCTAAAAAGGGCTACCTTAAGATGTCTTCTAAAAGTCAGATACAGTGGTACCTTGTTTTGCGACCGGGACCTGTTATGGAGCCCTGTTTGCTAGCTGAAAAGGACGCAGGGCAATGTGCCGCGTCTGTGCACGCATGCGGAGCGGTTTGTGCTTCTGCGCATGCGCCAGCAGCAAACCCGGAAGTAACCTGTTCCGGTACTTCCGGGTTTGCCGCGGACATTTGCCAGAATGGATGTTAGACAAGGCGGACATTCGCGGAGGTATTACTGTAGTTGTTTATTTCCTTGATATCTGATGGGAGGGCGTTCCACAGGGCAGGCGCCACTACTGAGAAGGCCCTTTGCCTGATTACCTGTAACCTCACTTTCACCTTTTCCCCCTTGCTTCCAGCTTGCTGTGGAATGGGCAGTTTGTCACGGTGCGAAGCTTAAAGCCCGAAGCCCATCCCCACTGCAGTAAAATGCGTGGCGCCCTGGACTTACTCCTCGCTGAACAAAAATACTGCAGGTAATTCCAGCTGGCGGGCTTTAGGATTCAGATCATGAAGGGATAAGCCCTGTTGTTACGTGGGCGCTCACTCCCATTTGTTCAGCATGGCTTCCGTGTTTCCTTCAGCCAGCTGCACCATCCCCACCTTCTGCTTCTCTTGGCCGTGAGCCCATCTCTGGACCTGCAAAACCTCCAGCTCGTCTTTGAGAGGGTGGGCATGTGTTCCCTCTACTACGCCTTGCACTGTGAGGTAAGTGAGACGGTCGGGGAAGCTCGGCTCCTTTCCTCACTTCCGAAGCTTATCCCTCTCCCTCTTCCCCCACTGCAGAAGTCTAGCTCCCCAGCTCCCTCGGCGACTCTGCGTTTGCTGCTGCAAGTCTCCGAAGCGCTCTTGTTCCTGCACTCTCGGGGTTATATTCACCGGGCTGTGACCTCCCATGCAGTTCAGCTGGTGAGACCTGGACTTGCCAAGCTCAGCAACCTCGAGCACATGCAACAGAGGTTGGTTGGAGCAAGTGCGGTCTTTGGGAGACTCCAGTAGGATTCCTCGGGACATTTGACTGGTTTCAGTTCTGTTTCAGCAGGGCGGAGAAAAACAGGTTAGCCCAGCCTATTCCTCCAGCCCCTGCTCTCTACAACTGGCTGCCCTTGGAAGTCATCAGAGAGCGCCCGGCTTCCGTAAACTCTGACCTCTTCAGCTTCTGTACGGTGATCCAGGAGATCTTTACAGGTTGGTTTCTGGCCAGGGTGGGAAGCGGTAAGCAAGACTGGCATGTCTCAAGAAGCCCATCAGCTGATTATAAGTTCTCAGGGAAATTCCAATTGCCAGAAAGGTTTGCCTTGGCCTGTAAATGTATTAGCAGAAGAGAAGCAAGCAAGCACTTTAAAATGGCACCACAGTCGTACCTTGGTTTTCGAACAGCTGAGTTCTCAAATGTTTTGGCTCCCGAATGCCACAAACCCGGAAGTGAGTGTTCCAGTTTGCAAACTAATTTTGTAAACCAAATGTCCGACGGCTTCCGATTGGCTGCAGAAGCTTCCTGCAGCCAATCAGAAGCCATGCTTTGGTTTCCGAATGTTTTGGAAGTCAAACCGAAACGGATTCCTTTCCACTTCCAAGGTACGACTCTATTTTTAGCATTAACATTTTTAGGCTTCAGCGTCGAGCTCTGAGACCTGCATTACAGTGGTACCTCAGGTTAAGTACTTAATTCGTTCCGGAGGTCCGTTCTTAACCTAAAACTGTTCTTAACCTGAAGCACCACTTTAGCTAATTGGGCCTCCTGCTGCTGCTGCGCCGCCAGAGCACAATTTCTGTTCTCATCCTGAAGCGAAGTTCTTAACCTGAAGCAGTATTTCTGGGTTAGCGGAGTCTGTAACCTGAAGTGTATGTAACCTGAAGTGTATGTAACCTGAGGTACCACTGTATTTGAATATATTTTTTCCCCTTAAGAATGCAAAGCTAATCTACAAGGATGGCTTGAGGGTAAGAAGAATCAGTTTACAGAGAATACCGTCTTTTAGAGGATCTGAGAGGTGATTTGGTAATAGACCGTTGGTGAGAAGGAGAATTGGGTAAGGGGCTCTTTTAACAGAGGGAGGTATCTAATACATAGCATAGGTTGACCATATGTCATTACTTAAAATACTAATGCAAAGGTGCAGAAATGGGCTACCAGATGGTGAAAGAACTGGAGTTCCTTCCACATGAGGAATGGCTGAAATGTCTGGCATTCTTTGGCTTAGAAAAAAGGCAGCTGGGAGGATATGATAGAGGTTTATAACATGAGGCATGGGTGTGGGCAGTGGTGCTAGATTGCTCTTTTTCTTCCATTCTCATAAAGCTAGAACTGGAGGATATCCAGAGAAATTGGTTGAATGAATGAAGGAAGGAAGGAATTTATATACCACCCTATACCCGGAGGTCTCAGGGCAAGTTCACAGAATAAAATCAAAATATAAAACCACAAAATATATAATCAAAATAAAAACAACAACCCAATAACACCCCCCCCAAAAAAAACCCCCACATTTTAAAAGGACATTTTAAAGTTGATTAACAGTAGATTCAGCACAGACAAAAGGAAGTACAAACAGTGTGCAATTAACTTTTGGAATTCGATTCCGCACAATGTGAACTTGGAGGGCTTCAAAATGGGATTGGATTGAATTGTGTGGGTTTTAATTGTGGAAGTTAAGCAGGTCCTCTTGGGTTCTGAGTTGATGTTCTTCTGGATCCCAGTTCCTGAGGAGGAAGCTGGGGCTCCCTTGTCCTCTCAGCTGACTTCTCACCTGGTTTACCTCCCTTGGAAACTGAATTCTGGGCTGGACACACCCATGTTCTCATCCAGAAGGGCTCTCACTTAGGTTCTTTCTTCCTTCTCCCCATGAAGGAAGCTCCCTGCAGCTCTGAGGCAACTGTTTTGGTTACAGATTTGTTATGATTGCTGTGGGCTGAGGGGATTAAGTTGTTATTCACTTCCCTCAGCCAACGCAACTCAGTCACCCCAATCCAAAATCCAGTTGTGCCTGCGCCCTGACCTCTGGGAAAGAGGGAAGTATGGAAGCATAGAATCATAGTATCACAGAGCCATTTGGGACCCTTAGGATAATCTAGTCCAGCTCCCGCAAAGCAGGAATATGTAGCTGTCCCACATGAGGATCAAACCTTCGACCTTGGCGTTATCAGCACTGTGCAAGGTCAAGGGATGCAGGTGGCACTGTGGTCTAAACCACTGAGCCTCTTGGGCTTGCCGATCGGGGTGACCACGACAGGGTGAGCTCCCGTTGTTCTGTCCCAGCTTCTGCCAACCTAGCAGTTCAAAAGCACGCCAGTGCAAGTAGATAAATAGGTACCATTGCAGCGGGAAGGTAAACGGTGTTTCCGTGCGCTCTTTCTGTCACAGTGTCCTGTTGTGCCAGAAGCAATTTAGTCCTGCTGGCCACATGACCCGGAAAGCTGTCTGTGGACAAACACTGGCTCCCTCGGCCTGAAAGCGAGATGAGCACCACAACCCCATAGCCACCTTTGACTGGACTTAACCGTCCAGGGGTCCTTTACCTTTATATATATCAGCACCATGAAGTAACCTACTGCGGGCACCAGCACAGAATGGTTGAAATGGGGTGCCAAAAATGAGTCAAGTGCCATCACAAAAAAAGCGCTGACTCTTCTAGACTTATAGTGGGTCTGCTTAACTTTGTGTTTTATGACCCTACAAGTCAAGCAACCTGTATTTTTCAGGGGAAGTTCCTTGGGGTGGTTTGGATGGCCTTGCTGTGAAGGAGAAGATGGAGGCAGGGCAGTCTCTCCCGGCTGATGCCCGTGTGCCCCGGCCTCTCTATGAGGTGGTCAAAGGCGGCACAGCCTTGAAGGAACGTGATCGGAAGGGTACTTTCCCCGACTTACGCTATGTTTTGCGGGCAGCCCAGCAGGTGAGGAGTTAATGGGTGTTGCTTTAGTTTGCCTCCATGTTGTTGTTTAAATTATAATAACCAGATTTATTTATTTTTTCAGTTTGGAAAGAGATTGACAAGTGTGAGAAGGACAAATTTGTTTTAAATGGTTTTTTATTGTCGTTTTTGATGCTCTAACCCGCCCCGGGGCATTAGGTGAAGGGCAGGCAACAAATAAACCATTATTAACAATCAATCAATATTAACAATGGAGAGATATTTTAAAAACCCATCAACAAAATGAGATGAATGTCAGGTGAAAGCTCGCTGTCATATAACCTCCCCGCAAACAAATTATTATTATTATTTTATTTATTTAATTCATTTGCTGTCCTATACCCAGGGGTCTCAGGGCAGTTCACAGAATAAAATAAAGATATAAAACCACAAAATACATAATAAAAAATAAAAACAACAACCCCATAGCTCCCCCCCAAAAAATTTTTTAAAGGGCATAAGTTATAAATCAGATCAACCCAAGACCTGGTTAAAAAGGAACGTTTTTGCCTGGTGCCTAAAGCTGTGTAATGAAGGCACCAGGCAAACTTCCCTGGGGAGGGCATTCCACAGACGGGGAGCCACTGCAGAGAAGGCCCTGTTCTCGTGTTGCCACCCTCCGGACCTCTCGAGGAGGAGGCACACAAAGGAGGGCCTCAGAAGATGATCTCAGGGTCCGGGTAGGTTCATATGGAAAGAGGCAGTCCTTGAGGTATTGCTCAACAGCTGCTTAATAAAGACCATATGTAAGCTTTGTGCAGGTAACTTGGGGTGGGTGCTGGATAAGCCAGTCTTCTAAAGAAGTCCTTACTGTCATCTCTATCTTACCTGAAGGAAAACGTGAGACAAGCATGAGTTGAGCTCAGGTTGCACCTGGCTTCCTGATTATGCAGCGCCTCAAGCTTTTCTCTAGGAATAAGCAAGCTGCCTCTGTAGCCCTTCTTGTAATTATCGTGATCAGAAGCATACGGTGTGTCATTTTTCTCTTCCTAGGATGCCTCAGGGGGCATCCCTCTCGTTTCATCAGCGGCATCGACTCCCAAGAAGCTCTGTCTGTGGGCAGGGCAGGCTGAGTCGGACGAATCATCCCTTCCAATAATTCCTGAAGGTCAGTTTGATCCCAAACGGTAGGAACCGGCCAGGATGCGCAACGGGGCATTGCTTCATGGGTTCAGGAAAAAAGATGTGGGGAGGAGGAAGTCAATGTAGCACTGAATCAAAGTCCTTTAGTGGTGTCCTAGTTGCACTAGTGGAATGGACTTGTGCAAGAGAAGGTTCTGGAAGCCAGCATGGTTCTTGTGGCTAGGTGTGCAACAGGTTGCTGTGGCCTTGATCTTGTTGTACAAGCTTCCATTAGTGCAACCATTGCGCTGGATTTCATATTGTGCTACCATTATTCTTGCCCTTACGCTGTGTGGTCAGAGAACAGTGAACCTAGGCCCAAAATCCTAAGGACAAGTGACCAGAATGGATTTGAAAATTCAGGTACTCTCTTAGTTAGTGCTTTTTTCCCTTAAAAAATGTTTAGAGGTACTCTCATTTTGACTCAAGGAAATCACCATTTCATAGTTCAAATCAGGGAAAATAAATACAGTAAACAGACAAAAGTACAAAGAACATGCATTACCTCATATTACACAGCTGACAGCTCACAGTAACTTCCACGTTGGCATGAGGTTGTGTGCACTAACAGCTTCCTGACTTCCATCAGTAAAACTCCACACATCCATGTTCCACACTGCTTCACACATTAAACGCTCGCTTTCGTCTGAGACACAGGAAACACAGTGACAGGAAATGAGGCCGCCATTGGAGGTGGTAACAACGAAACTGACCAGTCATTGTGCTAGATTCCAACTCCTACTTCACACATTAAACGCTTGATTCCATCTGACACACAGGAAACACTGTGAAATGAGGCCGCCATAGGGGTAGCAACAGAACTGACTATTCATAGAGAATAAACTTTTTTTAATAAACAAAACAGTTTCTTCTCCTGCTAGATTCACAAAATGTTTAGGGGTACACTTACCCCTGCATCCCCCCAGAAAAAGCACTGCTCTTGGCTACGAATCTGATGCTTTGTTAGGCAGGACGTTCTGTCTCATAGGTTTGCATGAGGCGGGAATTGCAAATTTTGTAGACTTAAGAAGCATGTGGGTAATAATGACTAATAAAAATAACAACTGAATAAAGAAGAAAGGGGGAGAAATGGAGGCTTGGGAAGGAGCTAAAAATGCTCGTAGTTCTATATGCTCTCGTCTTTGTCTATATTCTTGTCCTCTAGAGCCACCATACTTTGAGGTGGAGACTCTCAGCCGGAGTGCAGAACAAAGCACTCCCAATGCCCAGCCTGAAAGTGAGACAACCAGACATGCACAGGTAACAGATGACCAAGGCAGAATAATGGTGCTGCATTCTTGAAGCTTCAGGAGCTTTTTCCTTTCTTCTCCCGTGGAGGACCATATTCTGGCACAAGCTGCTCCCACCATGTGATTCCCTAGGATGGGCTGTCATAGCATAGGCTAAGAGGGACCCTGACCCAAAGGCGGAGCTAGCTGCTCCAGCACCCAGAGTGGTCCGAGGGGGTGGGGCTAGCCGCCCGCGGGGGTGCACCAGCAGAGCATCCCGGGGGTGCAGTGGCAGCGGGGGGTGTCCTGGGGGGAGGCACCAGTGGTGGGGAGAGTCCCAGGGGGGCGCCGCTCACAGCAATGTCACCCCCCATCAGGGATGACACCCTGGGTGGGCCGCACCCACCTTTCTCTGCCTCTGCTCTGACCTCTAACCTCCACCATTAGTTTGTGTTCATAGTGGATAAATCTGATAGGGTCGCCATATTTCAAAAAGTGAAAATCTGGACACAAAAGTTGTTGGGCTCCCCCCCCCACACACACACTTTTTTGCCGATTTTCGGAAATTCCGCCCAGTCACTATTTCCGCGTGTATGGCAACAGTAGTGGAAATTGCCGGTGCTCGCTTATTCGTCTCACATCTGGAACAGGAGTCAATCCAATGAATATGGTCAGCGTTCACTGTTGCTGCTTGCAGTCCCCAAAAGAGGTGTAATTGATTGCATAAATTTGCATTGGCTTCCCCTTGCCCTGAAATGAACGGGATGGAATAATATAATGACAATATAGTTTGTGTAATTAATTACACAAATTACGTAAGCTACGTAATTTCGTCACAGCGGACAGCAAGGCAAATAATGTCGGTTTTGGCAGAAGATGAACTGCAGCAGAATGGCAACAGTGCTGCGTGTGCCGAGTATGGGGTGGGATGGAAAATGATGCCCCCTGGCAGCCTTAAATCTACTTTTCTCAACTACATCATGTCCAATTATTGAAGAGGAGGGACTCTTCCCACTAACAGGGCCTCTGGTAAAGTTTATTTGCATAGCACCGCCTAAGAAACAAGGGGAGGAATAATCCACGCCTGGTTGGACTCCACCCCTGCGGGTTCAATGTTGCTTTCTTGCAGAAGGAAAATGATCAGCAGGGAAATATCCCTTGCAAATCCTCTCTGGGAGAGCACAAGAGATCAAACTCTGGCAGCACCTGTGAACCAGCGAGCAGCGGTGAAGAGGACACAGCCGAGTCAGATAACAGGAGCCTGGTTTCTGCAGATGTGGTGAGATTCTGCTGTGCTTCACTTAAACTCCGTCAGCCCTGATCTGCAGACCCCTGAAACCAGATCACAGGAAACACTGGCTGCTAAATCCAATATATCCTCATGTTGTTTTAACCATTGGGTCACGAAGAGTCGGACATGACTAAGTGACTAAACAATAACAAACCTCTAGTATTTGCCCTGTTATGCATATCTCTTGTTTCCCACCCCAGAGCTATGTCTTGTCCTCTTCTGTTTCTGTGCTTTTCCCATCTGTTCCTAACCATTTCCGCACTTCCAACCCTCATCCCTTCCAACCTGCACCCATAGAGGCCTATACATTTGCAACCATGCTGGAATGATTCACGTTTGATATGCAATTGACACGTGATCGCCTTCTCCTTTTGGAAGACGGAGGCAGAACAAGGGCAGGGTGGAAATTGCAGGCCGTGCTTATACACCTGGTATAAGACTCAATGCTGCCACTTCATTCTTATAAAAAGGCTTTTTTCCACTGATGAAAGGAGTTTTCACTGAGTGTTTATAGAACTGCATCGTTGAAACCGTAGTTTTGAAGAAATAACTTTGTGCATCTATAAGTCTCAGCCAGATCTTATTAGAAGTGACCTTCCCTCCAAGGTGAATGAAGGGGGAATGGTTCTTCGAAAATCGTACCTGCCAGCTCCAGCTTTATGTGAACATAATGACATTTTTTGCCTGATTGTGAATACCTTTCTAGGTGACTAAAAAGTTTTTTAGTCTACTGAGTTCATTGATTAAAGTTCCCTTAATGAGATCAAGATCTTGCTCAAAGCTCCCTCATTCTTGGCCTGCACCCCTCAGTTAGCTCTCTCGCACCCAGGGCTTTTTTCCCCCTCAGCCGCAACTCAGTTGCAGCATCTCTCAGGTGGCCGCCATGGCCGCCAGTGGGGAGTCTCATTCACAGTGAGTTCCGGCACCTCTTTTTCTAGAAAAATAGCACTGTTGTTGTTCTTGTTGCTTAGTTGTTTAGTCGTGCCCGACTCTTCGTGACCCCATGGACCAGAGCACGCCAGGCACTTCTGTCTTCCACTGCCTCCCACAGTTTGGTCAAACTCATGCTGGTAGCTTCAAGAACACTATCCAACCATCTCGTCCTCTGCCGTCCCCTTCTCCTTGTGCCCCCCATCTTTCCCAGCATCAATATCTTTTCCAGGGAGTCTTCTCTTCTCATGAGGTGGCCAAAGTATTGGAGCCTCAGCTTCAGGATCTGTCCTTCCAGTGAGCACTCAGGGCTGATTTCCTTAAGAATGGATGCATTTGATCTTCTTGCAGTCCATAGGACTCTCAAGAGTCTCCTCCAGCACCATAATTCAAAAGCATCAATTCTTCGGCGATCAGCCTTCTTTATGGTCCAGCTCTCAGCTTCCATACATCACTACTGGGAAAACCATAGCTTTAACTATACGGACCTTTCCTCTCATCCTAGCATATCCTTCTCCCTGCTTCCCAAAATTTGCTCTCCTCACAGTTCTGTTATCTCCTTTAGGGAGACTCCGTTGACAAGCAGGAGTCGGCGTTTGTGAGCAGTCTGCAGGATTCGGCCTGTCTCTTGGCAGAGGCCCAGGCCTCGTTGGAGAATCTTGAGAAACGCTTTGCTTCGGGCATCCACATGCTAGAATCGTTAGTCGGCCAGCAGGGGGCACCGGGCCGAAGCTGCCACAGCGATGGAGCCTTGCCTAAGCAAGTAGCACTGGGTGAGCTTGAATCGTGGAATCGTACAGTTGGAAAAGACCCTGCGGATCATCTAGTCCAACCCCCTGCAGTGGATTCCTCCAGCTGTAGATCCTTAACCTTAAAACATTTGAGATGGGCTGTCCAAATTATATTTTGTGGTTTAAAAGGGTCTGGTTTCAGCAAACTAAACAAAGCATGGAAAGATTTACTGTTAAGGTTACAATCTAAGTAGGAATTATTGAGGGACGAGGCAAAATCCAAATCATTTTGAGGGTCTTTTACACAATCAAGTGGTGTATAATTTTTGTGAAATAAATTATTTGCATAGATAGATGGTTAGATAAATAAACGCTATCTATCTATCTATCTATAAAATAGAAATGTCTATACCCCACAGTGGCAAATGGGAAGTAATATAGAGTTGAACTGATACACTCTAACAAACAGAACCTCTCTATGGTTTTAGGGAGAGGTCTTTCCTAACAGGGCCACATGAGATATCTTAGCAAGGGAGTTTGTGAACTGTCTGGAAAGCTTTTTCATGCATACAGAGTATGCATTGTACCTTTAAACTACAGCCTGTCTGCCACAAAATCTCGATCCAATGGAATTGGCCTTTTGTGTATTGAGCTGTGCCATCAATTTACAAAACATCGCTGTTTCCCAGCCTCAGTTTTGAACCTGCTAGGTCAGGGGGTCAGCAAACTTTTTCAGCAGGGGGCCTGGTCCACTGTCCCTCAGACCTTGTGGGGTGCCAGACTATATTTTTTGGGGAAATGATGAACCAATTCCTATGCCTCACAAATAACCCAGAGATGCATTTTAAATAAAAGGACACGTTAAAGCTAAAGGGACCCCTGACCATTAGGTCCACTCGTGGCCGACTCTGGGGTTGCGGCGCTCATCTTGCTTTATTGGCCGAGGGAGTCGGCGTACAGCTTCCGGGTCATGTGGCCAGCATGACTAAGCCGCTTCTGGCAAACCAGAGCAGCACACGGAAATGCTGTTTACCTTCCCGCTGGAGTGGTACCTATTTAACTACTTGCACTTTGACGTGCTTTCGAACTGCTAGGTTGGCAGGAGCAGGGACCGAGCAATGGGAGCTCACCCCGTCATGGAGATTCGAACCGCCAACTTTCTGATCAGCAAGCCCTAGGCTCTGTGGTTTAACCTGCAGCCCTAAAGGATACATTACACTCATGTAAAAACACACTGATTCCCAGACCGTCTGCGGGCCGGATTTAGAAGGCGATTGAGCCGGCTCCGGCTCCTGGGCTTTAGTTTGCCTACCCATGGGCTAGATTCCATATCCAAGCAGTCAAATGATGTTGCTCATGGCCTACATTATGCCATACCGAATTCTTGCCTCCCTGTCCCCGTTTACATTCTTAAGATTAATGTGCACCTGTCTCCACCTGCAGAAAAGTGCAAGGATCACACTCAAAACCGCTCCCTGCAGACCCTCATTGATTTGTCAGCCAAGGCTAGGAAAAAGAAACAGGTAGAATTTTATTTTATTTTATTTTGTAAGGAGAAAGCTGCCAGCTCCCTGTGTCATTCCCTTATGGAATCCTAACCATTCCCTAACAGTAATAATTTTCCTCCGCAGCGAAATCCTGTCTCTGCAGAGATTTGCCATAGGAAAGAGAGCACCCCTGAAGGGCCACCTTGCTGCTTGCAAACGTACGTGGGTTGAACATTTTCACACAGGATTGAGCTTTCAGTGCATGTTATCTGATAGATCTGATAAGCAATGTGCCTTCTTATTTCAGAGGCATTTTCACAACTTCCCTAAAATCCGTGGCTCAGTTGATCTTCCAGTTAGTATGTTCTTGCTGGATTTCGATCCTATGCAAGTGAATCCCAGTGGATTCAATGGGACTTTCTCCCAAGGAAGAAGGCACAGGGTTGCTGCACCCTTTAGGGGCGTGAAATATACTTGGAGTCGAGAGTGGATTTCATGCTCTTTATTCAGCTCATAGTAGTGAGGAGGAATGGAAGTTCCCCCAGAATGTCTGCCTTATATACATTATTTACACAATGGGCCCCACGTGATTGGCTAATTCCAGGATTCTCCTGTAGGCCAATCAGGTTGCGGATTCCCTTCCACCTGGAGCTGGATTGGGTGGCTCCTGTGGACCAATCAGACTGCTGCATTCTGGATTCTATTGTTCTAGGACCAATCAGACTGCTGCCTTTGGGATCCTATTCAACTCAGTACATAACAGGGCAGTATCTTGCTAAACTCAGTTCTGCCACTGCAAGAACTTCTGGCTGCACAACAGAACTTCCCCTCCCTCTCCTCTTTCCGTGATCAGTTCCAGAGGATTTAGATTTAATGTTCAAATCTTTATCCCATAAACATTCCCCCCCCCCCCCCGGGTTTAAAATTTTAGGAGGTCTTGGCTTTGCGCTGAACTCTCAGCAGTATAGGGACAAATGTGTTTCTTTTCGTTTTAATATTTTAAATCAGGGATGAGGAACCTGGGGCCCTCCAAATCTCGTTGGGCCACAGTGCCCCCATCTTTCCTGGTCACTGGCCTGATGGCTGGGGCTGACGTGGGTTGGAATCCAACATCATCTAGAGGACCAGTTTCTCCAGGCCCTGTTTCAAATCAAATTAAGGGACAGACAGGTGGCTTCGTCAGACCCAGGTCTTCTCAAGTAGATGGGGTCAGGGTGGCAAAGACACAGGCTCTCACAGGGGAAAGAGAAGCAAGTGTCAGAGTAAGTCCCTCTTTGACAGCAGACAAAGAGAGACAAGGGGGAGGGAATGAGAAATTACTGAGTGAAGGGGAAGAAGCAATTGGCCACAGGAATATGAACTTTGTACACATCGAGACGCAGGGAGAAAGAACACAGAGGCTAAGCTCAGAGAGGGATACAGGGAGTGCCATCTCTCAAATCTTGTAGGATCACGAGATTGGCCGAGAAGCGTGAAATTAACAGGAAAAGAAAGTGGGGGTTTTCCTGTTGGGGGAGAAGGGGGTGGAGCTCAGTTCCGGCAACGCTTATGTCGGAGGAGGACTGAATTAGCTGAGCTGCGATTGGGGCTCTGTGATTTACCAATAAATCAGAAATAATTAACTACTGGAGCCGTCTCATTGGGGGGGGACGGGACCCCTTCCTGACAGCAGGATATCCTGGTTACTCACAAGCAAGGCTGACCTGGAATGCTTTATAGGAAGCAGGGTGTGTTATCACATGGCCGGCCCTGTTTTGTAGGGACAGGAAGTTGCACCACCTTGGTGCTAGCATTAAAACCCAGGAGTATTCTCCACACACACACACACACACACACACACACACACACACACATCCCGCTCCACCTGCATCATTGCCTAGAAAGATTTTTCAGCATTAAAATAAAAAATAAAGCACTACAAGACCAAGAAGCCCTGACAGTATTGCTTTCTCCTACTTACATTTGTTGGTAATTACTCTTCTGAACTCGTTTCTAAAACCAGGCATGTACATTCTGGAAGTTACTTCTGCCTTACGTTTCTCTCATTTCTAAAAAAAATAAAATACCACATGGAACTGTGTTTCAAATACATCTTGCACATCCCTCCACAGGTTGGACCTCCTTCAGGAAATCATCCAGGAGCTGCAAGGAAAAGGCGATTCTCCCACTGTGAGCCAAAGTAGGTGGAGCAGTCTGTGTACATACATACTTTTAAAGCACATTCATAGCGCCGGCTCCCCCCAAACTTCAGTTTGCGCCTCACAGCTACAGTTCCCAGCATCCTTAACCAACCACAGTCCACATGTACTTTAAATGTATGGCGTGTATGACTGAAGGACGAAGCACATATATATCCACTGTTCTAAATATGTGGCAGAGTAGTGAAATAAGTTATTTGTTTATGTATCGAAACAGTTGTACAGTGGTACCTCAGGTTAAGTATTTAATTCATTCCGGAGGTCTGTTCTTAACCTGAAACTGTTCTTAACCTATAGCACCACTTTAGCTAATGGGGCCTCCCGCTGCCACCGCACCACCGGAGCACAATTTCTGTTCTCATCTTGAAGCAAAGTTCTTACTATTTCTGGGTTAGCAGAGTCTGTAACCTGAAGCGTATGTAACCCAAGGTGCCACTACATACATATATATATATATATATATATATATATATAAAACCTCTTTGCTATCTTGCATCTTCATTCACGCTTGCAACATCACATCATACTCCAAGCTGGCCGGTTGCCTTTATGTTCATTTTTTAAAGCACCACTTTTGCATTTCTAATATTAGAAGTTCATGCTCATTAGGCCCTTATTTTATTTTTTTAAATCATGGTAATTAAATTGGAGGGCTATGAGTACTCAGAACACAGGAGTGGTCAGGGAGATGAGCTGCTCAGTTCTGTGCCGAGCTAACCTGCCACCTACCTGCCCATAACTTGAATGGCTTCCCTTCAACTTGGAGAGGAATAGGTATATGTCTGGCCAGTAGGTGGCAGGTGATGCCTGCCCTTTGAAAAACAAAAACAAAACTTAGTTAATGAGTTTATTATACAATGTGGGATTTGGGGATGTGGGATTCTTTCCAGACCGTGCCTGGAAAGAGTAGAGGAAAGGTAAGTGTGGATAAGCCCTCAGGGCATGGGTTCGGAAAATGAAATAGGAGTATATATGAACATATATTTGCACGTTTTGCATAATAAAAATTGGCTTGCTGGCCAGAGGATGCAGGAAACTATTCACACTGCCTTGAGCCCCTGCCTCTGAACCCTTGAAGTCTCTAGTCTGCTCCCTTCTCTATCTTCTGAGATTTCAGTGGTCTTCCCCATATGCTGTCCAAACTACCGTATTTTTCCATGTATAAGATGGCGCCTATTTTTTTTAACCCAAAATTAAGAAATTTAGTTGTTTAGCTTTTGGGGGTGGGGGGTCACTTCCACCAATTCCTCACCCGCCTTCCCACCACTGCCAATTGCTTGCCACAGCCACTTCCGATCGCACACTTCGCTGCATCCGCCAGTTGCCTGCCGCAACTAATCGCCAGCAGGCCTTGCCGCTGCCACCAATCACCCGCCCAGTCGCCACTGCCAATCTCCTGCTTGCTGCTGCCATTAATCACATGTCTCCCCTCTCATTTCACTATCCATGTGTAAAACGACACCCAATTTTTGCCTAATTTTTTTTTAGCAAAAAGCATCGTCTTATACATGGAAAAATACAGTATCTTTACCCTCATTCTCTTGGAGAGCAGATCCATAAGCAACAGCTGAGATTCTTAGGACACTGAGATGCTCAGTGTCAAATTCCTCCCTTGTGCAAAATCTCTTTCTGTATTTGTTCTAGAGATGAACCAGGAAGTACCATCTGTACCCAAATAGGAGAGGGAACATAGCTTAACAATAAAGCATGAGTTTTGCATGCAGGAGATACAAGGTCCAGCCTCTGGCATCCCCAATTAAAGGATCAGGACTCCACAGGTGGTGTGGAGAGCCATTGCCAGAGTAAGCAACACAAGGTGGACAAATAGATGGGCAGCCCCTGTGTTGCTAAGCGTGGAATCTTAACTGACTCGTCACAGCATAGCATTGTGTCTCATAAAACCCCACCCCTCACTTCCTTAAGGCAGCAAGCAAGGAATGGAAAAGGACAAGCTCTTGTCTCAGGGCAAAAGAAAACAACTCCAGTCCCCGCTGCAGGGCAAGGGGCGGTTGCTAGCTTGAAGAACCAGTGAGTGATCCTTACCATAACCGTTCCACTGGACTGGACTGGACCAGAGCTCCTATTCTGAAATAAAAGCAATCTGCATCCTCGTTCCTTTATCAACCCGTATGGACTTTGAGAATCTACTGCCCCGGATACACAACTTCTGACGCGCTAATTAAATAGTTCAAATGATTCCTGTACTTCTGTGCAAGTTCTGTTTCTAATTTGTGTTATTGTTAACCAAAATAATTTGCAGAGGACTCTGGACGGGGGTTGGGGCTACGGGTCAGGTTTGTGCGGAGGCTTTCAACCCTGTCAAAGGCTGGCCATGAGCCCAGAAGGGGTCAGGGTTCTTTCTAACCAATTCCCTCAGGTGCACATTGTTTAACTCACTTACATTTGTCTTTTGTGCTAGTAAAGGTAAAGGGACCCCTGACCATTAGGTCCAGTCATGACCGACTCTGGGGTTGCGGCGCTCATCTCACTTTATTGGCCGAGGGAGGCGGCGTACAGCTTACGGGTTATGTGGCCAGCATGACTAAGACACTTCTGGCGAACCAGGGCAGCACACGGAAACGCTGTTTACCTTCCCACCGGAGCGGTACCTATTTATCTACTTGCACTTTGATGTGCTTTCGAACTGCTAGGTTGGCAGATGCCCAAATGTAGGCATATTGACACTGCTCTCTCTCTCTCTGTGTTTATACAGAAAAGCTTAGTCCCGTGTTTTCAAAACAAATAACATGAAAGCAATTGGGGTGTACCATTCTAGAAACGTAACTTTCCCCCATTGGGACGAGGAGGGGCAATGAACAGGATTGAGATCGCAGTAGGTACTGAGCAGAGTGAGGGTGGGGTTAACCCTTTCCTCTTACCCTGCAATCCTGATTAACACACACACCCCACCTCTAATCTACTTTTAGCCTCCAGAAGAATGGCTCCATTGATCCTGATTATATTGGATTGCAACCTGAGGGGGAAAGGGCTAGGCCTCACTGCCGATTGAGATCTTCCAGTTCTTTTTGGGGAGCCCACAGACCTCCATAAGCTGTCCTGGAAGGTCCTAACAAAGAAAGGCATGATAGTTTGCTTAGCCTTCGTTTAATCTGAGAACTACAAAATGGCTTCCTCACCTGGATCCTTCTAACCAGCCTGGAGCAGGCTTAGATTTCATAACGCAACAGCATCGTTTGTCCCTCAGACCATTCAGTGTGGCCAGATAGCAGGGCTATAGCGGCATCGCAATAAAATTTGGGGTTCTGTTTTCAGTCCGGTTTTATGTCGCTTCTCTGCAAAATGAAGGGAGAGCAGCTTTGGGGATTTGTTTTGGTTTTTAAAAGGGCACCTTACACACAAACAGCTGGATTCTAAGACCCACATGGGAGCTTTTTGAGCAGGATGCTAGCACTCCTCTGACCTAACAGGTACCTCCATTTGCAACTCTACAATCTAATGCAAAGTTAAACATGCAGGTGTTCTTCGCCACCCAGTCTCTGTCTCTCTCTCTCTGCTTCCCAATGTGTAACAGCATTTCCTTATGGAACAAGTGAAATATCATCATAATTGTCATAATTCTTAATGTAGTGGGGAAGGATGCTTTGAGGCATCGGCTGCTGGGATTTGGGCAAGCAGTGAGTCAACAAAAGCAGGGTTATGCAGTATCCTGTCTACCATCAGAAACCAGAAATAATGGGGTAAATAATTTGCTGCTGTTCGCTTCCACCTTCCAGCAGTCTGAAGTTAGGAAACGCTCTGAGCTTCAGCTGACATTTCCTAACTGTATTGGTTAATAGCTGTTGATTATATGATCCTCTCTTAGCCTTTTATTTATTGTGGTCAGGCTACTGGCTTTTAACAGCTCCTCAGTGCAGTAAATCAAAGCGGATGAAGGGTGGTTGTGTCCCAAATGTGGAAGCCTCCAAACAGGCCGTAGCAATTAAGGTTCCTTTCATTAGCTGGAAACAGATGAGGTGGGATACCCACCCAGGCCACTGTAGTCAATTCTCTTTGTAGCTTCACTGCGACTTGGTACATAGGCAACCCCACACTTGTATATAGGCATGGTATATAGGCAACCCACATTTGTGGGTTGGCCAGATCTTACAGATCGTATCCTTTATTTCTTGGAAAACTGAACCACGGGAATTGAGGGCCATCCGTCAGAAGAGAATAATTTAAAAGAGTGACAGCCCCACCACAGCAATCCCATAACCCACCAAGCATTGTATGATGGAGTGAGTTTAACAGCAAAGCCCTATTTGGATGCTGCTATCAACCCCTGACTAAAAATTTAGAGAGAAACTGGAAATGTGTGTTGTTCCTGTTGAACACTTAAATTTGGGCAGGGATGGGGCAATCCAGAGAAAAGCTGGGAGACTTTCGGTTATTTGGGAAATGAGAGTTCTTCTTTCAGCGTAGCTTTATGGCCTCCCTTCTCTGTGCTGTTCCCTATAGATGTCTGTTCCACCACCATGTTAGAAATGAAGGGGGAAAGCTCTGATCTGTATTATTGATTTCCACCTCAGATTGGGAAGGCAACTTAGTTCAAAACTCCAGATCTGCTGAATGCTGTTAGACTCCTTTCCAACATTGCGGTTTCGTTCCCACTCTTTTCTACCCCTCTCCCCAAACTAGCAAGATGGCCCCAGAGGGGGATTTGCTCAGAGGCCCGGGATCTGTTCCAAAAGAAGACCATTAGATGGCATTACAGTACATAGGATTTTAATACAAGCATTTTGGCCCGACAAGAATACAAAAAAAAGGCTTTGCTTCCAAGTGACATAATAGTACATAACAAAAGCAGGTGACAAGAGGTGGCAGAGGTTCTTTAATACATTCTGCTTCAAAAAGAGAGATGCACAAAACAATCAGGCCGACATCACAAGCAACTATAAAACAATTTTGATACAAACAGCCCCTTTGATTTTGGCATCTCAGGCAGGTTTAACTCCCCTCAGGGCTGCACTACGCTATGCAGGCTTGATCCAAGATGGCCGTCGGCTTCAATTACGTTGGCACAGACACAGCCTGCCCAACTGGGTCATGTAAACTGGTTCTTAATCAAGCGACGAGCTAACAACTATTGCCTGAGCAAAGGATTTTGGCGTCTGACTGGACAAGTCATTCCATATGACATACTTTAACCTACTGGGCCACTGTTTCAGACATGGGGGACTGGGACAGACTTGTGACACCAGCAAGCTGAGAGCAAGTGATTTTGCGTTGGGATCTGGGCTACCAAGGAGGGTTGAGAAGGGAGGGTTTCCTAATGGAAGAAGCAAGGGGGCATTGATTGGGAAACAGCTAACCTACAAATTTGAAACTGGATTGCCATGGGAGGGCAGCCAAGATGGTCAAGGGTCTGGGAACCAAGCCTTATGAGGAACAGTTGAAGGAGCTGGGCATGTTTAGCCTGGAAAAGAGGAGACTGAGAGGAGATATGATAGCCATCTTCAAATCATCTGAACGGCTGTCCCATGGACGATGGAGCAAGCTTATTTCTCCTGCTCTGGAGGGTAAGACCCAAACCAATGGATTCAAGTTTACAAGAAAGGAGATTCCGACCAAACGTCAGGAAGAGTTTTCTGACAGTAAGAGCTGTCTGACAGTGGAACAGACTCCCTTGAGAGGAGATGGACTCTCCTTCCTTGGAGGTTTTTAAGCAGAGGCTGGACGGCCATCTGCCAGGGGTGCTTTGGTTGAGATTCCTGCCTTGGGTTAGATGACCGTCAGGGTTCCATCTCTGATTCCTCCAGAAAACTCTTGTAGCTCTATGGCGGTTTGGAGCATATTTGTTAGGCAAAAGTTCTGAAAACTCCTTGGATAGGAGGACTCATAACCGTGTCTTTTGAATGTGTTTTATTTTATTTTTTTAAGGGTAGGGGTCCTAAAATTTTGGGGGGAAACACAGCCTAAGATCACATACTCCTCTCAGAAGAGTTGAGCTGACATTCCACCCACCCTGCCTCAAGTTCCCAGGATGTGGACCAGCCTTTTGCCCTAACAGTTTTGAGTGCAAGGGTTTTCTTTATCCCCGCTGTCTCGCTGTCCGCCTGGCTGCACACTTGCAGGGACGGGCCCATAGCTGCCGTCATACGTGCCCCTCGGCCCGTATGCTATGGACCCGCCGCTGTAAGTCGATCCCCCTGCCACTGCTCCACCGCCGCCGTATGGATATAGCCTAGGTGGCTCGTTTCGTATTGGGATGTAGCCTCCACCCCGCTCCTCAGCAGTCGGTATGTAAGGGAACCCAGGTCTCTTCCACACTGGGCGGGGAAAACCCTGGCTGTTATATCCAGGGCCATAGCCATATGACCCAACGCCAGCCCCATAACCTGGCATGCCAGGTTTCACATTTGGTGCCCATAACGGAGGAGGGAGCGTCCCTCCAAATATAGACCCCAACAGCCCAGGCCGGCTTGGCTTGCCAGATTGGAAGGGGCTTGCCCCTGGTGAACTGGGGCCAGTTGTAGAAGACCCCCCTGCCTGTCCCCCAAAGGTCGCAGGGCTGCCACCCACTATGCGGGTGTCTCCTCCATCAGGGATGCAATCTCTTCGCCCCATTGACGAGACGTCGGGCTGCATGAGGCCGCTGGGCAGAGAGTTCCGCTGGACCCCAGGAGGCAAGGGCTGCAGGTCTTCCGCAGACGACCCTTCGATGCATCTGGAGGCTGAGCCTAGAAAGAGACAAAGTGGCCGGTTACAGGAATAGTACCATGGCATTCTGGGACTTGCCACGACTACCTGTCCTGTTGCCTTTAGTCTGCCAGTGAAGTCAAAGGTGTGGAGGCTCAGGGGGCACTGACACAGAACGGAGACAATGGCAAGAGAGAAGAGGGGCAGAGCCAGGCCCAACCCACTCTGTGGTTTTGTGGTGGAGCCCCTGCCCAGCTGCTCAGTCTTCAATAACTTCTGGTGAACAAACTCAGATAGCAAGCCCCCTGTTGAAATCCTGGAGTCTGTTAGAGCAGGCATGTTCAACAGGTAGATTGAGATCTACTGGTAGATCACTGGATGTCTGTGGTGGATCACTGGTAGATCAGTGGCTCCCCCCAAAGAAGCAAAACAACTTTGGCTCCCCTAAAAAAAGCCCTGCACTCCCCCCCCAAAAAAGGCTTTCCTCTTCCCTATAAAAAAGGTCAACAACTTTGACCTGAACCCCAAAAAAGGGGGTAGATCACTGCCAGTTTTTAACTCTGTGAGTAGATCGCAGCAGTCTCTTGGGAGTTGGCCACCCCTGTGTTAGAGGATACAGCGATGGGAAGCTAGGTGGACCAAGGATCTCCCTTCGCACCAAACATTTAAAGCACTGTGATACCACTTTAAGCAGTCGTGGCTTCCCCCAAAGAATTCTGGGAGCTGTAGTTTGTTAAGGGAGCTGAGACGCTCCGTTACCCTCGCAGGTTCCCCAAGCGGTTTAACGATAAATCTCTCTTCACGTGGGAACTCTAGAGATGGTAGCTCTGCGAGGGAAATACTGTAGGGGTTTTTCTAATAACTCTCAGCACCCTTAACAGCAGCTCCCAGAATTCGTTTCACTCATGTGTGCAAATATTATGCAGATTTAATTGGGTCAGTTAAACGATTACTTGCTTTTGCTTTTTTTAAAGGTGCACTTGTTTACAGTGGTAGCTGGTCCATTACGGCAAAAGGGTATATTGCTCCACCATTGTCTGTGTGCCAGCTCCCATTTGACAGCCTTCTTACTTACAACCGGTCCATACCTGTCAGTTTCCTCCTCCTAAGTTAGTGTTGCCCTTGTAAACTCAGAAGGGAGAAAGACTGGGACAAGACTTGCCTGTCATTGGCTCTGGCTCCCCCTATTGTTGACCTCCCTGCCTTCCATCCAATCAGGTCCACCAGGCACTGCTGTTTTCGTTTGGTTTTTAAAATTTAAAAGAAGTCTAGGCTGCCCCTCAGTTCAGCAATCGGGATGCAGTAAAATTGACTCAACACAAAATCGCTTTAACTGAATGACAGCCCTCATTTTTTACATCTTAATGGAGTTGAAAGGAAGGCACTCAGGAATGCTGTCAAGCACCTTAATTACCAGGCTCACATTGGAGAATCATTCTTTCCACGGCAAGTCACGAGGATCTTTAAAATCAGTTTCAGCTTGTGCTGAGTGAGGCCTCTGATGGATGACGAGATTCTTGGAAGCACAAGGAGGGAAGGCAGGAGAGCAGTTTGCTAAGATGGGAGGAGTCGGCTGGGTACCATAACCCGTGGGTGGCAGTCTAGGGGTGTGGAGAACACAGACTGCCGCTCACAACAACCAAAGCAAACAAAGGCTTATTGAGGACGCTTGCTTTCAGTTCACACGCTCTGTGTGTGTCAGGGAGGGGCAACTGGGAAAGGGGTGGGGTGGGCCCTTCTGTGGGAATGTTGACATGAGCAAATCTCTCTGGAACAAGGGCACCATGCTTTCCATTAAAGAGGAATCAGGACGCCTAGCTCCTTCATCGCAGAGCTGTGCCTCTCCTCCAAACATGGTTGAGCTCCCAATTCCCATCTGTCCCAATCAGCATACCGTATATAGCTGATGGTCTGGGATGATGGGAGTTGTATTCCAGGAATATCTGGAGCCGTGCTATTTTTTCTAGGTGCCGGAACTCTCCATGAATGCCTCCCTTGTTCTCTTTTCATGGCAATGGTGCCCACCTGAGAGGTGCTGGAACTGAGTTTGCGTGAGTTCCAGCTGGGGGGGGGAGCCCTAATCTGGAGGGATGTTGCTCATCCCTCCTCTAACACCTCCTGTGTCTCCCCTGGCAGCAAACAAATTATTGGAACAAAAGGGGAGTTGGTGCATTCTGGGTTTGCTAAGTTGGGGTAACCTAAGAGCTCATGAGAACCTAGTTGCAATTGGGCGGGTAGGTGGGAAGGATTCCTAGAGTGTTGGAGTATAGCTGATTGATTGTGATCTATGCTCACCCACATTTTACCCTTTTGTCCAAATGTGGACATGCACATCAGTGGCTTTAAATGCAGCAAGATCATTTGGCCCCGCTCCGTTTCAAGTTGCAATCGCACAGTGCTGTGCACACCAGAGAGAGAGGCTGGGAGTGTCTTTTTCCAATGCATATCATCCTTTTGGTTTCCCCACCGCTGTAACCCCAGATACCCCTATTGATGAAGCTGTTGTCTGCCCACGTGCAATGGCTCAAACGTACACACCAACGTTTAACAGCGAAGTAAATGTGCCTTAAGTTTTCCTTTTTTGGGCTGAGGCTGGTTTGAGGAGGAATGCATCAAATGGCAGTATTTGTCGAGAAACCACAAGGTATCTCTGCGTCTTGGGTAATGTGTGTTTACAAATTCAAAAGCCAGCAGTGGGAGTGCGCCGGAGCCAGAGTAAATGGCAATGTGTACGCAGCCTCGGATAATGCAAAGTGAGAAGAGGCAGTGGGAGTTATCTGAGACATTTGCTCCGTTAGTGTATATAGTACAGTGGTACCTCGAGTTAAGAACTTAATTCGTTCTGGAGGTCTGTTCTTAACCTGAAACTGTTCTTAACCTGAAGCACCACTTTAGCTAATGGGGCCTCCTGCTGCCGCCACGCTGCCGGAGCACGATTTCTGTTCTCATCCTGAAGCAAAGTTCTTAACCCGAGGTACTATTTCTGGGTTAGCGGAGTCTGTAACCTGAAGCGTATGTAACCTGAAGCGTATGTAACCTGAGGTACCACTGTACATACAAATGTATCGTATGAGCGCAAGCCTGCATTTGTAGCACACTTGCAAGCACAGTAGAGGTGTTGAATGCCAATTTGGCACCTGCGCAAGGAGCACTGCTTTACAGTGCAGTGACTGGAGACATTCTGCAGGATACATTTATGGAAATTGACTCAATAAGTGTCTGCTGGATCAGGCCAATCGCCCATCTAATTCAGCATCCTGTTCTCACAGTCGCCAACCGGGTGCCTGTGGGAAACCCATAAGTAGGATAAAAGCACAAGAGCATTCTTGCGATTTCCAGCAACTATGCATCCACTATGCTCCCATGGCTGGTTTTGGAAGCCATTAGCCACCATCTAGATCTATCCTGTCCTTTCTTCTGAAAAGCTGCGTTGGATGCATTTCCCCTGCACAAACCAGCCTTGATCTGAATTTAGAATAATTCACGCCTTATCCTCCAGTGTCGCAACTGCTAATCACCGCACCAGGCACGCCCACAAATTTGATACTCGATACTGCCTCTCATTCCCAAGCGCTGAGTGCATTTGGAACATTACCCAGGAATTCTGGCTCCCAGCCACAAAACATTTTCCTAATCTATAAGTAATAAAACAAAAGCATGGCTTTCGTCACTAGGGACGGACTCATCTCTCCTATAGGACATTCGCCCCAGGCAATGGGCAGGCCAAGAGCATCGTGTTAACATGATCCAGGTCAAGTGCTGGCAATAATCGCAATAAAGGCAAACATGGGAGAAGGGGGGGAGAACAAGACTAGGAAAAATGAAAAGGGAAGAAATGATCTGCATTGGCAATAGTGCATTCCCATCATCCACTCTCAAGATTCTAGTCTTCTCTCCACCTGCATTTACATCTTATCTCCCATTTCATTCTGTCTGCTCTAGGTGTGCAAGCTGATTCTTGTTTGTTTGATTACTAGCGTATGATTTTATGCTGTTAACCACTTTGTAAACCACCCTTAAATGGTGGTATACGTTCTATAAACAGTGGGCAAATAAATCAACGAATATTGGATCTTCTTCTTCTTACTCCCACTTTAAGCCACGGTGCCATGCCATTCCCTAGGGGTGGACCAGCTCTCGTTTTTTGCAATTGGAGCAGTGCTGCAAATTTCCTTCCACATTCCCCTGCTATCATTCCCCATCCATTAGCGAGAAAAGAAATTGCATTCAAAAATTATCAAAGGGGAGGGGGGAAATTGAGTCAAATTCTCGTGTGCGGGGTACGATATGAGCTTTTTGTTGTGGTAACCTTACTTCTGAAGTGGAGGAGAGATTTGTGAACATTCCTTTTTTTACCATTCTGCAAATCCTCTTTCCAGGGGTCTACACTCTGTAGCTTCACTGGGCGCTTGTGTTTCCTGAAAACCACCTGACACTGTCAGCGGGGCTTCCTTGTAAGTACAGGAGGCGAGGGAGACTTTCTACCAACGCTACTGACAGCTGTTTATTGTTGTTTTTAAGTGAAGCCTTTTAAAGAAATCAGCATGGGTTGTTGTTTTTAAAAAGAGAATTTTTCTTGAACAAAATAACCATGCACACCAGTCTGAGACACTTCCTGGCTTTCTGTGCTTCAGTTAAAGCCCAAAAGAATAATAGAATCATAGAATTGTAAAGTTGGAAGTCTAGTCAAACCCCCTGCAATGCAGGAAAATGCAGCTGCCCCAAATGGGGATCGAACCTGCAACCTTGGTGTTACTGGCACCATGCGCCAAGCAACTAAGCCATCATGGGAAGGGTTGTTGCTCAGTGGTAGAGCGCATGCCTTGCATGCAAAAAGTTATGGGTTCTGTCTCAAGCATCTCCAGGGCCAAGTTGACAGATGGGCAGAACCACTCTCCTGCTAATCACCTGGTGTCAGTTGACACTTTTATACACACATAACATATTGCTGTCAGGGGGACTATAGCAGACAGTCTCCCTGGCTTCCTGTACTTACAGGGGAGCCTGACAACCAAGGATTGACACAGCCTGAAAATCCTCTTTTGGCTGAGCCAAAAGCTCATTGCCTGCCCCACCCCCAACGCCCAAAATGCCTTGGCAACTTAGCAGATCTAAAACATGGGCACCCCAAATAGCAAAGGAGTCAGGTTAAGAACCTAGGAAGACCCTGCAGGACCATCGTATCCAACATTCTGTTCTCACAACGGCCGCCCAGATGCCAGTGGGAAACCGCCAAGCTGGACCTGAGCACAAGAGCCCACTGCGGTTTCCAGAAACTGGTGCTCAGAAGATAGACTGAGGGACTATTAAGGATTTACATACCCTCCAGCATTTCTCTGCTGCAAATAGGGACGGCCAGTGCTATTTTTATAGAAAAAGAGGTGCCGGAACTCACCACGAAAGCCTCCCTTGTTCTCTCATAATGGCAATGGCGCCCACCTGAAAGGTACTGGAACTGAGTTCCGGCTGGGGGGGGGGGGAGCCCTGGGGATGTCCTATTCCATACCCTCCAACAGTTCTCCAATGAAAATAGGGACATCCTAAGGAAAAGGACATGGGTGGCACTGTGGGTTAAACCACAGATTTCCCGATCAGAAGGTCGGGGGTTCGAATCCCCGCAACAGGGTGAGCTCCCGTTGCTCGGTCCCTGCTCCTGCCAACCTAGCAGTTCTAAAACACGTCAAAGTGCAAGTAGATAAATAGGTGCCACTCCGGTGGGAAGGTAAATAGCGTTTCCGTGCCCTGCTCTGGTTCGCTAGAAGAGGCTTAGTCATGCTGGCCACATGACCTGGAAGCTGTACGCCGGCTCCCTCGGCCAATAAAGCGAGATGAGCGCCGCAACCCCAGAGTCGGCCATGACTGGACCTAATGGTCAGGGGTCCCTTTACCTTTAAGGAAAAGCGGGGCATTCCCTGATCAAATCAGAAACCGGGACAGCTTCTTTAATTCCGGGACTGTCCCTGGAAAATAGGGACACCTGGAGGGTTTGCATCGATGATGTCTGAATGATGATAAGCCCTTGAGCCCCACCAAACCATACCTTGCAGGTGGAGACACAGAACCAGGAGGATGGCCGCAGAAGTCATGCCACAGAAGGGCCATCGCCCAGGACTTCCACAGTTCATCTTGAGAGGCCTCTGAGAGCAGGAAGAGGAGAAAAAGTTCTGCTTCCCTCTGCTGACTCTGCCTTGGAGTGACAGAAGTATCCTGCTCCCTCCCTCTGTGCTCTGGGACTTATATCACCGGAGCCCAGCCCCGCCCAGCCTTGAAAATAGCATCCCGAGATGGGATCAGGATACTGCATTCCACCTGCTGTATCACTGCGGTTGGCCACACCTATCAGCCTTGCCATTAACCTGATGGTGCTTTCGGGGCAACAAGGTGATTGGGTGGGGAAATGGGAGGAGCCTGTGATGTAGCAAGTGAAACCTGGAGGGGATAAGGATGGGTTTTAGGGAGGTAAATATGGAGAAAAGTGGACCATGCATTAAGTGGGGTTACTTAGCCACTCCAAAGAGGAAGAATGGTTACGAGAAAGTGTTAAGGGACACCAAACTTTTCTCCAGGCTAGGCTGCCACGTTTTCGTTAACAGCTGCATGTCTGAGAGGAATACATTCAGCAGGATAAGGGTTTCACAGAAGCATGGCATTGTAGAGCGGGAAGGGACCGAAAATGTCATCTAATCCAACCCCCCTGCAATTCAGGAATCTCAACTTATCACAGGCATTACCTGCCCAGGGACAGGGCTCTTTATGTGTACTGAGGGGGTATTCTATGCTTCTTTTTTAAAATTGATTTTCATTAAAAGTTTTCATCATAAAAGACAATAAAAATCACACTAATGTTAAAAAGAAAAATAGAAAAAAGGAAGAATAAGGAAGGAGGAGGAGGAGGTAGAGGAGAAGAAGAAGAAGAAGAAGAAGAAGAAGAAGAAGAAGAAGAAGAAGAAGATGATTAAGGAAATTATAAACTTCTCTATACTCTCAATACTTCTCTATACCTCTGCTTCTAACCACTGCCTAAAGAATAATTTGCTACACAAAACGACCTCTTCAGAAAGACTCTTCCTCTGTACAGAAGTTGGTACCACCCTACAATAAAGGTTTTACAGTTAAAAGCACATGTGTTCGGACACCCATTTTTTGCCTTCTGAACAAAAACCCTGGAATTTCCCCCACCGCATTCCTGGGATAGCTCAGTCAGTAGAGCATGGGACTTTTAATCTATGGGCCAAGCTTCCTCAAACTCGGCCCTCCAGATGTTTTGAGACTACAGTTCCCATCATGCCTGACCACTGGTCCTGCTAGCTAGGGATCATAGGAGTTGTAGGCCAAAAACATCTGGAGGGCTGAGTTTGAGGAAGCCTGCTCTGGGCTGTGGGTTCGAGCCTCACCTTGGGTGAAAAATTTCAGCGTTGCAAGGGGTTGGGCTAGATGACCCACGTGGTGCCTTTCAATTCTACAGTTCTGTCATTCCAGTGGTAGTTTCATTTCCCTTCATCTCCATGCTAAGCCGAGTTTGGCCTGCTGGAGTTTCTGGTTGTCCCCTTGGTGCCAATGGGCTGGGACCAGCTAAGTCATGGGTAGGCAAACTAAGGCCCGGGGGCCGGATCTTGCCCAATCGCCTTCTAATTCCAGCCCGCAGACGGTCCGGGAATCAGTGTGTTTTTACATGAGTAGAATGTGTGCTTTTATTTAAAATGCATCTCTGGGTTATTTGTGGGGCCTGCCTGGTGTTTTGACATGAGTAGAATGCGTGCTTTTATTTAAAATGCATCTCTTGATTATTTGTGGGGCCTGCCTGGTGTTTTTACATGAGTAGAATGTTTCCTTTTATTTAAGATGCATCTCTGGGTTATTTGTGGGGCCTGCCTGGTGTTTTGACATGAGTAGAATGTGTGCTTTTATTTAAAATGCATCTCTGGGTTATTTGTGGGGCATAGGAATTCGTTCATGTTTTCCCCGAAAATATAGTCTGGCCCACCACATGGTCTGAGGGACGGTGGACCGGCCGCCTGCTGAAAAAGTTTGCTGTGTGAGGCAAACAATTTCCGCTCGTGCAATGGAACTTCCCATCCCTTTTCCTTCCACATGTGCCCACCACATCACCTCCCAATCTGCTCCAGATGGTTGCAGGGAAACCCAGATCAGATGTTGAAGAAGTTTAGGGGAAGAGCAGAGGGAGGAGAAGTCCTGCTGTACTTGTGGAAGTCTTTCTGCTTGCACAGTGACAAAGGCTGTTGTGCAGCTCTGCAACCGGTGTCCTTCTGCCACTGGTTTCGGAAGCAATGTACACACCGCCTAATCCACAATTTGTATCTATCCTGCACCTATCCTTTTGTTTTCTTACGGAATGCTGTGTTTCAACACGCTTTTCCCCAAACCGGCTTTGATCCGAACTGAGAAAAACGATGGTCTTGCTTGTGCTGTGAACTGACAATGTGTACACTGCCCTTGTTGAATACACCCGGATTTACATATAAGCTAAACAAGCTATAGCTTAGGGCCCCACTCTCTTGGGGGGGCCCCAAAAAAATAAAGGAAAAAAGAAGATGTACATTTCCAAAATATAAGATAAAAAACAAATAAAATAAAACCTACATACAGCAACAGTGTTTTGTGTTCTGTAGGCTCCTATGAATTACCATATAGCATATATTCAACACAAAATACAGCAATAATTTGTTGTTGACAAAGGACAGCTGGACATAGAAAGGGCCCCATTACCTTCAGTAGCTCAGGGCCTCATCAAACCTAAATCCGGCCCCATGGATTCAGACATCGTGTGGAGGGCATGTTCATCTTTGCTTTAGTACTGTGGTGAGTGCAGCCCTTCTTTGGTGTCCGGTCATTACAATGCCATTCTTGGCCATATTCAGCACCACAGTGATTCATGCTGAAGAAATCATTACAAAGCACTTTAACATTCCCTTCCTTTCATATTAGGTACCACGGTGATTAATGCTTCATTACGCAACAATTTGATTACGGGCAATTTCGTTGCCTTCCTTTCATATCTGGTACTTTGTATAACTGAGCCACTGAAGTTATATATTTTGCATTCTATCTACCTAATTTTGTTTGATAAAGAAAGACTTCCTTTGAAGAGGATTGAAATAACACTGTGAAACAGTTTGCATAACCGTCTGTGATAAAAATTAAATTACTGTATTTTTCTGTGTATAAGACTATATTTTTTCCTAAATTTTTGAAGTTTAAAATAAGGGGTCGCCTTATACACAGATAGTGCATAGTGCATTTTCTTAATTTTAAGTCCCCCAAAAAAGAATGTGTCATATACACGGGGGCGTGTTATACACTGAAAAATACGGTAAATAACAGCAGCAAGACACATGGACAATGTTTGAGCAATTAGTTCTTCTGCATTCAACCATTGTGAAATTTGCTAACTTGATAAGTACTTCACAACTCGGCTACTTTGATCAGATGATATGTCTTTGAACAAACAGTGCTTTCCACCTGAAGCGCAGAACTGTCCAATATATACAGCAGTGAAGAAAACTAAAGTGGTCTGTAAAACAAAGAACAGCTGATACAAACTTGTTGAATTCCCAATCACCCATGAGGTTCAGATATATAACTTTTATCCCTTTCTAATCTAGATCACACCCGCCCTATACATTTAAGGCACTCTCTTAGCGCTTGAGCAGTGATGGCTCCCACTAAAGGCTCCCGTAGTTTGTTATGGCAGATCCACAATTCCCAGCACCCTTAACAAACTACAGTTCCCAGGATTCTTCAGTGGAAGCCATTACTATCAAGATGGTACAAGAATGCTTTAACAGTATGATGTCGGCGTGACCCTAGTCTCTTTTTCTTCTCCACTTCCTTGACCACCATCAAAGCTGTAACCAGTGCTTTTTTTTCCTAAAAAAATGTTTAGGGGTACTCTCATTTTCCTACTCATATTGAAATACTGCCCCTCAATGAGGCGAAACTTAGATTCACAAAATGATGATGATGGTGATAATGGCTGGATTTCCCCAGCCACTCTGGGCAGCTTCCAAGAAGAGATTAAAAATACATTAAAACATCAGTCATTGAAAACTTCCCTAAACAGGCCTGCCTTCAGATGTCTTCTAAAGTCAGGTAGTTGTTTATTTCTTTGACATCTGATGGGACGGTGTTCCACAGGGCAGGTGCCACTACCAAGAAGACCCTCTGCCTGGTCCCTGTTACCTCACTTTTTTCGCAGTGAGGGAACCACCAGAAGGCCCTCGGAGCTGGACCTCAGTGTCTGGGCAGAACGATGGGGGTGGAGACGCTCCTTCAGGTATACTGGGCCGAGGCCGTTTAGGGCTTTAATGATCAGCACCAACACTTTGAATTGTGCCTGGAAACGTATTGGGTACGTTGAGGGGTATGCATACCTCTGCGTCCCCCCAGAAAGAAAAGCAAATGCGTTTAAGCTAGTTGGAAAAATAAAGTAACGTAACAAGAACGGCTGGAAGTCAAGTCACTTGGTGGGTGTCCGTGTGGGGTAGGTGTGTAGGCATGTTGATATGTACAGTACAGTGGTACCTCGGGTTACATACGCTTCAGGTTACAGACTCTGCTAACCCAGAAATAGTGCTTCAGGTTAAGAACTTTGCTTCAGGATGAGAACAGAAATCGTGCTCGGCAGCAGCAGGAGGCCCCATTAGCTAAAGTGGTGCTTCAGGTTAAGAACAGTTTCAGGTTAAGAACGGACCTCCGGAACGAATTAAGTACTTAACCCGAGGTACCACTGTATAGGTAGGTATTATATAGAGTAATGTAGGTATGTTTTATGTTATGAAAATAAGGTAGTGTTTTATGTATGCGTATTGTGTAAATGTCTATGTATGTATGTTACTAATAATAAAAAGAATAAAAGAGAAAAAGAGAAAAGAAAGAAAAGCACTGGCTATAACTCTTTTTAGTTCATGTTTACCTGCAGGGCACCATGTACCTGAATCGGTGCTCTATAAGAACATAAGAAGCGCCTGTTCAATCAGGTCAATAGCCCATCTAGTCCAGCACCTTGTTTTCACAGTGGCCAGACAGATGCTTGTGGAAAACCAGCAAGCAGGATCTGAGCTCTCTCCCCTCCTGCACTTTACAGCCACTGCCTTTCAGAAGCAATCCTGCCTCCAGCTGTGCCTGGTAGCCCTTGAGAGCCTCACTGCCTCCTGTGGGAGTGAGTTCCGTAGTTTAAATAAAT